GGGGGGGGGGGGAAGGCCTGTTGCGGCATGGGGGCCGGACGAGGGATACTGTCGAGTCGGTCCCTAAGAGCCTTAAAGGGCCGCCCGCGACCCCGTTTTAACAGAATCGGAGGGGCTGGTCCCGCCATACTTGAGGGGCAGCCGTAGAGTTCGGTAAACAGTTTAATAGTAACTGAGCTGACGGGATCCTGAGTTCTCTAGCGCTTATGGTCATATACGCTGAGAGCTGCGCTTCTTAGTAAACACGGCTATTTCTAATATTCGCATTGCCTTTGCGAGACGTAACGCGAACTCAAAGATGGGTGAGTACTAACCAGTCCTCTTCCCAATACGATTTATCATCTTTCCCACTCTGCACCTCCGTACGGCCACAGCACTGACGACCTTTTCAAGCACCTTCTGTCTCGGGCAGGCCTCGTCCCATTCATTCCTGTTACTCCTGGCGCAATGATCCCCTCCGACTGCATAGTCCGTGCTCCAGAACCCACCCGAGAACTTGAAGGTTTCTAACTAAGCAGCTTACGTTTATATCTGTCTCAACGTAGGGAATGTGGGAAAACGGTTCAATGGGTCCGGAAGAAGCTGCCGGAAGAACTAAACTAACCCGAGGCTGGATCTCAATTGGAATCCCAAATGGAATCCCAAATGGAATTGAGGAGTGGGGCATGAAATTTGGGGAGCCAGGGACCAGATGAACGGTGGGGGAGAAGCGTAGATTGGGGCTGACCCCTAGCTCCGACCTAGTCAGCCCAAGAGCCGCGAGGACGACGGACAAAGGGAGCAAGTAGCAGGTGTTAGTCGATCTGATGCATTGAGAGCCGGCAATGCAAGGCAGCCGCCCGACTCTCCTAGCAGCATCTCGGGCGTGGGCGGGCAGTTCGCCGTCGCACGTTCAGGCCTAGGTGCCCTCAGGTGCGGCTCAGGTGTTCTCTGAGCGACCTAGTTCGGGATCACGCGGCGACGCCGGGCACGACTGGGGGTCTACCTACTGAAAGTAGCATGGTGTGGTCATCTCTGGTATATGAAACTAAGGGGCCCGTTTCATGCGCGGCACGTGATCCTCCCTTTCTGCCGTCTTATTAACGACCACCTGGCTAAAACAACAACAACAACAATGTCTGCTATCATGTGATTCCACGACAACCAACGCGTTGCGCCACCACCAACATGGCGGGCAAGCACGACACAACTGAGCCGTCATGGCGGCCGCTGGCACAGAAGCTGACAGGTCTGATGGGCCGCCGAGGCTCGGCAAAGAGCAAGAAGTCGCTGGACACGACTGACGAGAAAGCCTCCGTCTTCAGGTTCAAGAGACAGAAGAAGGAGCAGAGCCCGGAGAGTTCTCTGAGATATGAGCCCCTCAAGGTCGATTTGGACAAACTTGAGGCAATGCACCTCTCGGACGGCTGGCTCGACACGCACAACCACGGCGCTGATCATGAACAGCGCCAGGGGGCCCAGCCTGCAGCTCAAGATAACACAACAACACCGATAGCGGCGCTGTTTGCCAATAAATCAGTGCTTGACATGCCAAACTCAGTCCAGCTAAGCCGGTCTGATTCGCAGAATGACACCGGTAATGGCCGCCGGCCTTTCTCCATGATTGAGACCCACAGCGTCGCGTATCACCGTGTATCATCAGATCTTTCCTCAACCCACGAGGTCCAATTCACGGGCAGCGTTTTGGACCGTGGCCGGCCTATTGAACCAAAGCGGTTTGTGTCGGATCCCCTGTGGAAGACCAAGGGTTTACGACAGGAGCTCCCGCCGCCCGGCGAGACCGCGGTCGCCGAACAGGTTTCGATTTCGAGAGTTGCCTCTCCAAGACCGCTCTCGTACAGTAGTGGCAGCGCCTCTGTTACTTCCAAGCAGCACGTTCCTCAAAGTCTGTCCTCTCAGCACCGGGCTCCGGAAAAACTGGACGTTTCGAAACGCAACTCCATGTATGCATCAGTCACCCCGTCACAGAAGGATGCATCCGTGAGGACACGGCCAACCCAGGAACCAAGGAGTGCATCAGCTGCGCCACTGGATCGAATAAAGGCCTGGCAGAAGTCTATCACATCAGCACCGAGGTCCCCGGCGACATCGACCTCGGCTTTAACTCCTGCAGTCCCGTCTCAGGCAGGGGCTCCTGTCCGCAGGTTGTCCACACGAGGTGGAGTGGCCAGCAACCGCCTAGCCTGGATTAGGGAACTGGAAGAGAAGAAGTCGAGCAGTGTCAATCGAGATATTGGCGTCCTCAAGAAACAAGTGGGCAGCGTGTCGGACAAACTCGCCATGTTTGAGAGCAAACAGGGGCAAACTCCTTCCCCAGCAGCTCGTCTACCACCGCTCACTAGGTCTAATTCGACGACCAGTCGCTTCTCAATGGCTGCGCCGGAGTCCACCACTTCGGCCACTGGCAATGTAACAGCTACCCCACGCACTTCAATAGACACCGTCAGATCGAGCCACAGAACGTCGTCCGTCATGGACTACTATGATGACTCGTTTCGTGAGAAAATGGAGTCAGTAGCAGGCAGCTATGCCGCCGATAAGGACAAGGACAAGCTCGAGTCAGAGAAAAGGCAACGGGTGACGGCCAAGTTCATATCGGTGAAATCAGAGAAGGGGCAAGTGCCTCAAACCGTCCAAGCAGAGCCAGAAGTAGCTGGCTCTTCCAGTCAACCAGAGAAGGAGAAGGTCCAGCTGGTCCAGCTGGAAACAGCTCCTTCTCTTGTGGAGGTGGCGTCAACTGAAGATAAGGTTCAGGAGAGAGTCGAGGAGAAGACCGAGGAAAAGACTGCTAAGAAAGTTGAGGAGGATGAGAAGGTTCAGCCAGAAGCAGGTCCTTCTCAGGAAGAACCAGAGAAGGGAAAGGAGGTGGTTGAGTCTTCCCAGCCAGGCACAGTCCCCGCTACTGGTGAGCCGGAAACGGTTGTGGAGGAGCCTCACCCTATCCCGTCAGAATCTATTCCTTCTCCTATTGGATTGGAGAAGCCTGATGAGAAGCCGCAATCCATCCAGTTGGGAGCAAGCCATACCCCTGCGGAAGCAGTGGAGGGGGCGGAGGAGCTCCCGTCTGTTCACGCACAACCTGAGAACAGTGACGAAACAATACCTCTCGAGTCGGAGGTTGCCTCTCCTGTTGAATTGGAGAAGAGTGGGGAGAAGCCTCAGTTCGTCCAGCTGGATGCAGATGCTTCTCGTACCAGCTTGGAGAAGGGCGAAAAGGTCGGGTCTCTCGATGCGGCGGAAATAGCCGAGACTGCAGTCGAAACCTGAGCTTAGGGCGAATGTATCCCTCGTCACCAACCCTAAGGAGCGTGCGATTTCTATTATCACTGACACCAGCCATGGACAGTGATCGTAGGAATGGTCTTCGCCTCCAGGGGGGATTGAAGCGCGCAATGCAATGCTGGAGCTCAGAAATGATTCCCTTGTAGAAGTAATAATTTCCCTTTTTTTTTTTTTCCTCTTATGATATCCATTCTTAGCTACCCCATGAACAGCGATTTGAGTTTCAGAGCAAATGTCAACAATATGTTGAAAGCCAAATTGTAAGGTTTTGGGGAAGCAGTTTAAGTTCGCCCTTGACAGGAAGCACCCACGGGTATTCTATCCACCTGTATCAGCCCCAATGCACAACCAAGTTGTGAGCAGCTGACTGACGTCTCCTCAAGCTATATACATGTGTCACTTTGGGAGTATCGTGAAAGCCTCTGACCGCATTAGAAAGGGAGATGGTGAATATTAACATGTCGGAAGAGATATCGCTAAAAGCCAGGCATTCCGACGAGGTTTTGCACAAAAGTGCAGAGACTTTGACATAATGATGTCTGTAAGACAGCTGTCGCATCCAAGGTGGGGCAAGAATGTCAGCTTCTACATCTTATCGATCCATCTTTTTGGTTGAATGCAACCACTCAGATCCAGCGAATTCAACAAGGCCAACTCAAATGCAGCGAGCGGGTCCCGAGCAGATCCAATAGTCAACGAGATATGATCTAAAGAATAACAGAGAACAATCCATACACAACACTACTCTATGGGCAGACAGACAGCCGTCCCGCGCCGTCCGGTAAAAGGTAGCATTTCTAGTAGGGACCTAATCTACTTATCAAGAGCTAGATCGAGGGGACAGAGCGGGGCGCCAAGGCCTTTACGGCTCGAGTGGAGAAGAGCCAGCACAGAGTAAAAAGTATAGATTCGGGACATCTCCCCGGACGAATCCCCAAACTCCGAATGTGCAGAAGGAACATCTCCCTGTCACCTGGGCGAGAAAAGCCCAGTGTTCCAGGGGCGCGTGCAACGTGGAACTGGCGTTCGAACGCGGTGTAGAGCGTTGTCTCGTATCGACGTGTTGACTGACCGCCTCGTAGCGTCCTTTGATAGGCTAGTATTGCCTGACCTGGTAAGATTAGACATATTCTAGAAGGGGGTAAAGTCGTTTCGTGAGTTCTCTCCAATTTCAGGAACTTCAGCCCCATATTGTGAGTAATGATTTGAGGTGACTGTTCGGGTAGTATACGATAAGCCAGAGCATGTGATAAGGCCCAGATCATGGTCATAAAGTTCGGTTGCGTGTCTCCGCGTCCGTTATCGGTTTCATAGTGTCACTCTATACCCCAGCCCGACGCCACAAAGCTGATCATTTGATCCAACCACGACCTAACAATGATTCTACTCATGTAATAATAAGTTCATTACGCTCATGATACGACGCATTGTACCACTCCGACTGCAATAACGGAGATTGATCGAGCTTGGTCCGGTTCATTAGTGGGAGAGCAGCGAGGATCGCTCTAATACACTTTTGTCTTGTCGAGGCTCACGGTCTCCTAGGTGGCTGCCACGTTCCCACCGATGTCTCAATGTGATTCACGTAGTTTTTGTGGATCATTTTTCCAATCTGCTCGTGCTATACCCCGTAGTTTAGTAGGGCGAACGTCGAGGGTACAAGTTCCGAACGGGCCAGACAAAGTGTCTTATCATGGCCCAATGTTGATGCATGCCGCTTTAGTTTCTGGTAGCGCTACCGCTCGCCCCTCCACACCTTCTATCCTGATAAACCACGGTCATGTCCAACCATAATGCTCCAAGTCTCAGGTCAGACCCTCCCACGAAATATCACTGGATGAGATAGGGAGCCTCTGGGCTCTCAGAGTTGTATTCGTGATGCACCAGCCGTTCCGAGCCCATGCTGCCATACCGAGAACCATTGAGTCTCGTTTAGGAGTTGATCTCCTGACCAACAGGCGCTTCGGCCAGGAAATGTTGACCATCACGATGCACCATTATTGGGGTACTCTCCCCGGTTCGCCGAGTGTTGCAAAATGCGGGCTACTCGAGAATAGGTCCTTGAAGATAGATCACCATGATAAGGTTTTGCTCATGTGGAGCTCTTTCTCAATTGCTCACAATAAAAGGACCATGTATCAACGACCGACACCCTACCACATTAGTTTTCTGATACCCATCCACACCTCGTTTTGTCTTCCTAGCTGTAACTATAATCAATATTTGAACTTCATAATACGTCTTGGTTCGTACTCTGATACTACTTCGACTTCATACATTATGGCTGCAGCTGCAGTGCTTCCGGCATCATCCCCCGGGAAATCGACTTCGGTACCCCTTATTGTTGAGCCCAAAGTAACACACGTGTTGGGCAATGAGGAGTTTGATCCTAAGAAGCACCTAACATTCCAGGAGCCGTCCAAGATCTACACCATGAACGATATCGGATTTCCTGACAGTAATGGCATCTCTCCTGTTGCAGTTTCCGAGCCTTTCCAGCTGTTTTCGGAAGAGGCTGTCATGAGGATGAGAAAGGAAGTTTTAAGTGATGAAGTTATGACGAATTGCAAATATTCCAGCAATATCGCACATTGCCAGCTTCGAGGATTTGCTAACAAGTAAGTTTCTTAAACTCTGCCATCCACCCAGCGTGCAAGGAAGCTAAAAGCCCTAGATATGCACCATTCACGTACGATCTTTGGAAGCACCCGGATACTCTTGCAATTATTTCAAAGATTGCCGGGATCGACCTGGTCACCGAAATGGATCTCGAGATTGCCCATATAAACTTATCCATTAAATCTGAAGAAGAGCAGCACCAGGAAATGGATGCATTCAATGAGAGAGCTCAATACGAGGCAGATGAGGGCATCGCTGGGTGCCCTTGGGAAGATGATACCCCGGTGAGTACTTCTCTCTCTTTCCCTCGACTTTCCCCACATGATCATGAGTTTGTTATCATTCATTATAGAGCCTGCCATGGACTGAAATGGAGCTTGGCAGGGAGCATTGAAAGAACGAAGACTAGGGGATGAAGACCAAGAACCTAAACACTAACATTGGGTCTTTCAAAACAGATCGTGGGCTGGCACAGAGACAGTTATCCATTTGTCTGTGTCACTATGCTTAGTGATTGTACCAACATGATCGGAGGAGAAACTGCCCTTCGTACCGGCAACGGCGACATTATGAAGGTCCGCGGACCGCAGATGGTCAGCTGCTATTCTAATTCGTTTCAAAGTACATACGTAGCTTTCTGACTTCAGCGCAGGGTTGTGCCGTGGTTATGCAGGGAAGATACATTGAGCATCAAGCCCTTCGGGCACTCGGCACGACTGAGCGCATCACCATGGTGACCTCATTCCGCCCTCGCTGCCCCAAGATGAGAGACGATACAGTACTGACAACCGTGCGACCCATCTCAAACCTACAAGAGTTGTACCACCAGTTTAGCGAGTACCGGTTGGAGATTCTCGAGGAGAGAATCCGCCAGCAGCTCAAAGACCTGCGAGAGGCCACTTCCAGCGGGCGGAGGATCCCAACCAAGAAGTTGAAAGCATTTTTGGAGGAACAGGAGAGATTTCTTCGGCACATGAACAATGAGATGGTTGATGAGGAAAATGTCGTGATGGGTGTACAAGTGGAGTGTCATCCCGTGGAGGTCAAAGAGGGCTCAAAGGCGAAGAAACGTCCCCGAGGGGAGTAACACGGATTCGCCACCGGGAGCCGTATTCCCAAGCGTTTTGGTTCTCTAGCAATTAGTTAGCACAACTTCACTTGGGCATTCACTTCATATGTTGAGGTGCTCCTGGAAGTCTTCTGAGTTTACAACAGCATACTACCAGCTCTCTCTGCCGCCAGTGGATCGGCCGATCATATTCCTTGAAGTAGTGCTTGTTTCTATGCAGTTCTTTAACGTAAGCCGCCAAAATGATAGACGAACCCACAGATTGGTTGACTGTCAGACACACGACGCACTGCCCTTACATTGATCTCTTGGACTGGTCGCGGATCGGGTGTGGAGGCTGCGTATTGTGTTCCGCCATATTCTTTTGGACATTCCTATCACAGCCGATGAAACGAACCGGCTTCAATGCCAGGCTCACTGGACTGTCGAGTATTCTACAAGACAGCCTGCTAATCAAAATGGGGAAAGCTCTATAAAGCGTATAGGTTATGGGCAATAACAAGCACTAGAGCCCTTGAGTACATGATCTGTCAAGGGGGATACGCTTCTGACAGATATAGCCTTAACAATAAACCGATAGAACAGCCGATAGCACAACAATTGACTCCTTCCGATATTATTGGCGAGCCTGCTCCCAATTACATGTATAAGGGTACTTACTCCAGGGTTAGTGTTGGGCGGTTACAGGCGGGGCGAGGGGTATGAGATGCCGCTGATGTCGGCCGGAGCATTTGTTCCAGCGGCTCCCCACAGAACCTGACCCGCCAATTACAGTAGCAAGGGCTATGATCTGTCATAGGGAGCTACCACAACCATTACGTCCTTGAGCCTCAATTTCGTCATCAATTCCTCGTTTGAAGGCTCAATGTCAAGGTACATTGTCTTGAATTCAGTAACTGGGTGCTCAGTCTATCCTGGCAATGCTGTCGTTCCATCAATCTGCCTCAAAACGTCATGACTTCACTCGCGTTCTGCACCTTGCCCCGCCGTAAGACGTTTGGAACATTGTACACACAATACGAAGCTCCCAGAGCGTCACAACTTCAATAATCACTTGCATCGCAGCTGCCGTGTTTAATATACAACCCTCTTCCATATTACATGATCGTAATCAATTTGTTAGAATGTCTTCGAACCGTGCAAATGTGAACTTCACCCGCGACAAGCTCTTCGACCTGGCGGGCCGCGTCGCCCTCGTCACTGGCGGCGGCTCGGGCATCGGCCTCATGGCCACACAAGCTCTCGTTGCCAACGGAGCGAAGGTCTACATTACTGGGCGTACCGGAGAGAAGCTTGACCGTGTTGTCGAACAGTACTCTCAAGGAAGTGACTCCATCATTCCGCTGACCTGTGATGTGGGCGACAAGGCGCAAATCGCCAAGCTGGTCAAGGAGATCTCGTCGCGAGAGGCTTGTTTATGCATTCTCATAAACAACGCCGGCATCAGCAGCAAGACGGTCTCTACTGAGTCAGGGTCCGCCGAGGAAATGAAGAAGAACCTGTTTGATACCGAGAGTGCCCAGTTCTCTGACTGGACCGAAACCTACAACACCAATGTCGCACAAATATGTATGGCAACACCATGTTCTACAACAGATTAGCGAACATGTTGACTGACACTTGGTAGATTTTATGACTGCCGCATTTTTGCCATTGCTCCAGAAGAGCACCGAGCGCCATCCCGGGTGGAGCGCAACGGTCATTAATATCAGCTCCATCAGCGGGATGGTTAAGTCAGCCCAGCACCACTTTGCTTACAACGCATCCAAAGGAGCAGCTATTCACCTCAACCGAATCCTGGCCTCCGAGATCGCCCATCAGGGCCTGAAAGTGCGGGTCAATTCGATTGCACCCGGAGTCTTCCCTAGCGAAATGACAGCTAATGATAGCGGTGATGACCAGAAGAGCCATATTCCCAAGGAGAAGTACGCAAAGGTACCTGCCGAACGACCGGGCAAGGATGAGGATATGGCACAGGCTGTCCTGTTCTTCGCTGTAAATCAGTACCTGAACGGACAGACTCTCGCGGTGGATGGCGGATACACTATCATGGCTGGCCTATAACCGGATACGCATTCGGTAGTGACGGGCGGCAATCCAATTTGTATCAAGCAATCGTGAGGCTGAGCGAAGGCGCCGACGCACTTCGACAGGGAGCGGCCATCGGAACTAATGAATGATTTGTATTACCAAAATAAACCATTCCATCGACTAGAGTGCGGTTTACGTTTGCTATGAGGAGAGTTTGTGCCTATACGCAACCGTGAGAGTGTCGGATAAAGGCAGCATGCACAGTGTCCATGACTGCGAGATAGTAGAAGCTGAATCCCGGGGGAACGTCCGGCTACAAGAGCGGGAATACCAGTGTCGGGACCAAAATTGAATTTCAAACTCAATCAGGGCCATGGGCAAAAGGTGGCATGGGGTTTTGACGGAAACGGCATGCAATGCTGATGCAACAAAACTGAATGCGGCTACCGGAGCCGACCCAGTCCTCACAGAATCGGTCGCAGTTAATCATAACATTGGACCCGACAGTGACAATTCCCAAAGTCAATCGTTCCACTCGGTCCGATTTCGCGTACCACAGCTGCCCGCATCCGCTCTTTCATGACAGAAAGTGACGCGTCCGATCCTGGCGGTGCGGCCTTTGGCAAGCCGATGAAGCTCTTGCGCAGTTGCACGGCAGATTGCCCTTGGAACTGGGTCGACCGCCCCCTCGTACTTATTGACTCGATCCTGAACGAGTACGCAGTAGGTATCGTGGCTTGCCTGAGAGTGGGTGGGCTTCTGAGCCCACTTCCCCAGATTTCATTCTGGCCCAGCCTCTCGCTTACGGGGAGATCTCCCGTGGCCCTGGGCGAGGAGGGATATGAAAAATCCAAATAAAAACGTAGCGGCAGATCGGCCGTCTTCCGGCAGAAGATTTAGACTCGTCCCTATCGATAACCTTATTCACCGTCGCATTTGGCATGGGCGCACATGCAGAGCCCAGCTAACGCAGGACTACCCCCGCCACGGCGCTGCCCTGGAAGGTTGGCCGCCGTGCTTTAGTGCCAAGAGGTGATGTCACGCTGCACGTTAGATCTGAGATCTTGCACGGACTGCCCGGGAAGCAGGGGCAGCGTCGTATACCCGCGCTGATCTGGGGATGCCGCCGATGGCACTAAGGCAAGGGCAAACGGACGCCTGTTGACAAGGAACCATAGGGCTGGGTTGAAGGCGACGAAAAAGCAGCATGTGATTATACAACAATTATCACGCCCAATCGCGCCCACGGGGGACGGGGGGACGCGAATGCGCCGGGTCACGCGAGACGATCAGGTAGATTTGGTAGAGTTCTAGATTCGCAATTGCATCTCCCTGCGCTTTAGTGAGAGTGCATCGCCTATCTGATGGATAGTCGCTTGGCCAGTTGAATGACCGCAAATTGGAACTCGACCGTGTTCTAATAACCCAGTCGCGCTGGGGAGCCAGCGTCCCTTCATGGGAACACTGTGATAAATGGTTCTTCCAATCTTGAAACTCTAGAAGCAAATATCCTTGCAAGCGAGTCGAGCCCTGTGGGCAAGACGAACCGTCGAAACACACTAATCCAGTCAAATCGGAACCTGGCCCATCTCACTCTCTGCGGGGGGGACCAGAAAAACGCCGCAATGATGCAGAGGTATCCTCAACGGGCAAACCCACCAAGAAACAACAAACCAAAACCTTAACCGGCGCAACAATGAACTTATCTGTGGAGTGGAGGGGACCTGAGTAGAGGGGCTTCACACTCCGGGTATCAATGTAAGAATGCCCTGATGCTGTGATGTATTGGGGGGAAAAAAGAACAATGGTGTCGTGATGTCGCTAGAGTGCCGAAAAACCGAGTAACAAACTCCGTTGCCAAACAAAAGGAATATGAGTGCAAGTCGCTGGTGGGAAGATCGAATCCGATGCAAACTGGAAACCGGAGAAGCCCAATCGATCTGAATGAACCATGCGATGTAACGCGCGTGTCGTGATTGCTAACATCATGATATCGTGAGTTGAGAATTCGTGGTGTATGGTGATCCATGCCGGATGGACCAGAGGTGGAGGATGCTAGGTGAACCCAATGTACGTTGCTTCAGATGAAGCCAGCGACCCAATGCTTGTCTAGCCAGCCGACTTTGTCGAATGCCGTCCAGAGCTTGGATGCCTTGTTAACGTCAATCTTGCAGGCCTGCTGGGCGTCTGTCTTGCGGAACTCCTTGCCAATGCGGAGACAATTGAGGCGTGCCATGAACATCCTTCGCTTACTTGTCAGATAGGTGGCTGCGTCCAGTCGCAAATTGGCTGCCAGCGTAAGTTCGTCGGGATGCAGCAAGTCGCGATGCGGATCATTGCTCAAATCGATTGGGGCACCCTTCCAGTCAACCTTCAAACTGTTGACCTTGGCTGGCAGAGAGCGGAGGGGAGGGCAATAATCCGGAAGCGAGACAAAGTCCTTGTCCTCGCGGCTAGGGGCAGCGCTCCGGCGGGACGCTGGGTCAGGAGTAACACTAACGCGCCTGATCGCAGCAGTCTGCCTGGCAGGTTTTGGGGGTGGTGAGAGAGCTCGTATGGGGCGAGGCGTCGAAGTCGTGGCCTGTGGCTGCCTGTGCTGAACTCTTGGAGGCTTCACCACCTTTGGAGCCTGGGTTCGAATCGTCTGAGGCTTCGCAGGTAGGATTGGGTGCAGCTTGAAGTGATTGTTACGAGCGCCGGCCCTTCTGTCGGCGATGAGTTGGGCCCGCTCCCGTTTCAACCATCCTTTGGGGTTCGATTCAAACTTCCTCATCACCTGCGACTTGAAGAACAGCATCAACTCGTAGTCCTCACGGTGTGGCGGCGTCGCTTCTCTGAAAAAGGAGGTATGCCGAGCGACAACATGGTCGTCCACGATTCGCTGCGTGTCGACTGAGTCGTCGCGAGTGAACAGTGGCTGTTGAGGAGGCGAGACATCCTGCGCAGGGTATAGGATGGGATCCTTGACTGGCGTGCTGAGCGGCACATCTGCACTCGGCGCGCGATCGTTCTTTGTTAACGGACTGATCGGAGGCGACAGGGGAGGATTGGGCCCAAGAACCCGTCGAATTTCTGAGGTGTTGGGCTCCATGGCTTTCGAAACGCTGGAATGCGCAAACGAGTCGAGAGGAGGGAGTTCAGGCGGAGACATCAGGTTGCTGATATCGAAGGGTTTCTTGAACTCTGGGACGCTTGGAGGTGCCATGGCGACCGGACTCTTGCCGTGCACTGGCGAGAAATTGGATGCCTCTGGGGCATTCATGGCTGACTGGTGGTGATGAAAGGTGTTGGAAGGCAGCACCGTGGACCAGCGACGTTTGTCAGCCATGTAAGGTCTTATAGTTGGGTGGGGAGGGTCAGCAGTCGAAGTGGCGAATCAGGCAGAAGCCAGAATGCGCAGCGGTTGACTCAATTGACCAAATTGACGTGTCAATGATTCCAATTACAAGGGCGCAGGGCGGGCGGGATTGTCGGACTTAAAAACCAGGTGGGAAAAGTCGAATTGTTGCTCGGTGCCAATTGCTGAAGGTTGCTGTTGGTCATGTAATGCTAGTGAGGTGGATATGAGAGGCGAAGTTGGTGTTGGAAGAGTGTCGAAAAGGCGAGAAGACGGAATCCGGAAATAGGCGCTAGAAATACCCAATCCGTCGCCTGCTTCGGCGATTGTGCAATTGTCTCGATTGTCCGCGCTCTGTGAATCACAGGGAGAACAATGGGATTGGGGGTCACAACCGGCTGGCCAGCCGAAGACCTGTAGATATGTATGTATCTAGGTAGCGGTAGCCAACAATCGTGAGAGTGGATTGCAAGTTGGGTTGGTTGCCACTATTTGCGGGGTGCCCAGAGGAAACGGGAACAAGGCGCTATAAAGCCGTTTAAAACACAGAGTCTGAGAGGGTGCATGAATAAATATGACCTGGGCCTGAGATGGAGAATCAGAGCCAGGGAAAAGGTGGCAAACGTTATCAATGTCGACAGAAGTCAGCCGACAAGAAATGGGTGCACAGGAAAGACGAAGAGAAGCCAAAAGGAGGATAGAAAGGTCATGTTGCCCATCCGGTGGACAGCCAACTGAGAAGAAGTAACTAGCTGCGCAGCGGAGGAGAGGGAGGGAGACAAGGCAGCCCCCCCCCAAAGCAATCAATCCAGAGAGCCCCAGAGATCGCCCATGGAGTTGGGTGTACATACAGCACAGCGGCCTTGGGGTCCGATGATTGGGGGGAGGGGGGAGGTGGTGGTGGAGGTGGTGTCGTCGAGGAGTCACTCACTCTACACAGTATTGCGCGTACTGCGACGGTCAGTCATAAGGCAGCCCGGCAGGTTGGCAGGCCCAGGACAGAAACGCGGCGTGCGGGCGCAGGGGTGGGGGCCCTCTAGCGCTGGCTTATTTTGGGACCAGGCCCTGCGTGCAGCTCATGTAGGCACCATGTACCGCAGGTACCGCGGCGCAGATATACTTTCTTCAGCCAGTGCTTTACTTCCTCCACGCAACTCTCAGCCAATGCGGAGATTCCTTCGGCCGCCCAGACACTTGACGAGAGCACAAAGGACGCCGGGCAGAGCGTCCGTGGGCTGGGTTGCTATGTTCCCGACTGGAATGAAACCAAGCGGACGCATAGAGTGCTTTGTTTACAAATCTCCCGATATCCTGCCAACTAACAGGCGATAGCCATCCCAGAGAGACGCTGCAGGCATCCCATGTCTGTATGTATGCAAAACGTGGTAAGGGAGGAGAGGACGGTGCAAAACGTGACCATTCGACTAGAATGGATGAAGGGGGTGTGTCTCAACAAAAAGGGCGTGTGATACTTCCGCGTGGATGTGCATCAGGGAACTTGATCAGGTCCACCGAATTGACGCCCAATAGGCACCAGATGTGTCACACCAACACCTTGCCCGTGGGCGTCCAATAGCCATAGTGAATTGAAAGCTGCCTACCTGTAATGCTGGAGCACAATCACCAATCTGCCTGGAACTGCACATTGGGTACCAACGGCGCCGACTCCGTTCGCGTTAGCCTAGACTTCCTCGTGCCAGGTTGCCAGGCTTTCATTCTGGCTGTCAGAGGCTCAGGGAGAGAGAGAGATGGAGAGAGACCGACGCTCGCGTCGTGGTTGGCGCATTGCGTTGCCTCACCACAAACAGTCTCGAACGAATTGAGAACGCGCATCGATGTCGGAATCGATTGTGGTCCTCCTGACTGGGCCAAGAACTGCATTGCTTTCTGCAGCGGACTGTGATGTGTCGCAAGCTTTCTGGTGCCTCGTTGCATGCGGCTACAAAGTCGTCGATAGAGTTCGGTCTGGTGCGCCCAATTGCTGTGCAGGCGGACCGGCGGGCAGCGCGGATCTGCTGCAGTCGACGTGCGATCAAGGTCCAAAGTCTATCTGACATGTCATCATCCCGTCAGCTAGCACACGAGTTGCCAAGCTCCCAATGGGAAGGTAGGCATAATCCAGAATCCTAGTTTCTCAAACGTTGGAGTCAATGGAGCTTCTTGGAGGGCGTGCAGGCCACCTTCCAAAGGCAGACAGCGAAATCCAGAAGATGCCTACAGATTCTACGGCTGGAGCACACTGCTATACCTGACCAAGAGATATTCCAAACCTAGCTCAACTGTTACACAGAGAGATGCTCACCAGTGGAAGACGTGTGTTGCGCGGTTCCATGAAGAGCTCTTCCAGCCGCGGGGGGCTTTCGCGGGACGGGGCTTGACGGGCTTGACGGGTTCTGCAGAACAACATCACCATCCATCATTCAGGGACGGCGTGATTGGCCAATCAAAGACATGGCGACTGAACTCCTGCGCTCCGCCTGTCTTCATGTCCACTGGGCACTGTCCCCGTTTGCTCTCGGTCGTGGGGCGTGAAAGGGCTGTGACTCATATCAATCAAGGCGAAAAGAAGTAAGTGGAAAACTGGAAGCGTGAAGATTGGCCGACCCTGACCGAAACGTGATAAAACCTGCAATTCAGAAACACGACTTGGCCCGGATGGGGTCGCTGCCCAAGAAATTGGGGCCTGTCATTGGTGCAGCAGTGGCAGAGGGCTGCCGCTTTTAGGCTTAGAGTCGGCAATTGATGGGGAAGGGTACAGGTACACTGGCAACACTGGTGACTTCGCCGTCGTATGCTCGCATGCTCGGGATGTACCTTCTGGGACATCTGCCGTACTCTACATGATCGTCTTCGGGCGATACTTTATGCCTAGGGCGCCATCTGTATTAATCATCGTCAATGGAGAGAGGCGTGCTCTTGCTAGTGCTGAGTAGCCAAACCCCGAACAGCCAAGGCCACCTCCGTGGTAGTTGATGGCTTCTGTCCTTGGCTCATTGCCTACGCAATCTAGTGCGGCAGATTCGCATTCCCCCGACTTGCTTGCCTGGTAAATTGCATAGTTTATCGATAGCGAATGCTGACGAGATCTGCTAATGGATCCTTGGTTTGATGGTGTTCCAGTGCTTCCGGCTCGGACTTTCGGACAACCATGGGAGTTATCACCGTCACACAGTCTACAACGAAGGACGTCATTGAACGCTTGATGGAAGGCAGCAATCTTCTTGCTAAGCCCGCCCGCGCCCACCCATGGGAATCTCATTGCACCGCCGTTCTCTCACCACCCAACGACGCCATCATCCAGCTAAGGGACTTAGACACCCCTCCACCGCCAGAGCGACCCACTGTGTGTACAGCCATTTCGCTACCCTCCCCGGTGGAGAATTACTATATAGTAACCGAAGGAGGGGGCCATCGCAACCAGAGATGAATTCTCAACAGGACCAAGCGGGACTTCACCCTGGTAGTTGCTTTGAAGTGGTCAGTCTCGGGTCGATATAGGACACTAGTCAGGACAATGCGATGGTGAGTAGCATGAACCATGTTGATCCTCCATGCCATGAAACCAGGGAAAGACTCCAGGAGTTCGGCTCTTTTGAACGGATACGGGCACGGTGCGTATCATATAATGTTTGGCTTCGTCCGTGAACTGATCCTCCTTATTAATACCTCCCTCATTTCATGCAATGTGACTTCACCAGACTGTCAATGTGCTGTAGTTTTTCTATGTGCTCTTCGCCAACCCTGAGTATTGTACAGACGCAATACTTGCTGCCTTGGAATGCTACACCGCCCACAGGAGATGGGGAATCTTGACCGGTACTAACAAGACCATTTTCACGCACCACGGCGGTGCAGAGTAGCTTTGGGGGAAATTAGGGTTCTCCCGAAAGCCTCCACCAGGCCGAAACCGTGTGTCACTATACTGCAATATACTCGCTGTACGGAGTAAAGCAGCGCCGGTCGGCCAACTCCGAGGTTATCCCCCTCTCTTGACTTTTGGGCATCCACTATGTTCCATTCGTTAACCTCTCGTCTGCTGTGTCACGCACAGTCCTGTCTACCTGTACAATTGTGTAACTTTCGGCGCTGCGCCCCATTGAACCGCCTAACTTGTCCATCTAGATCCCGAGAAGACTGCAGAAACGCGACACGTACCGCACCATGACCGAATCACACCAGGCGGATCGTCGAAGAGGTGATCAGTAGGTTCCCGACCTTATCGTTATCCTAAAACCCCCGAAGGACACAACTAGTATGCAATCAATGGGTCACGCTACGAGCCCACTTGACCATAACTAGCTCGTCTTCCTAGGCACGCGGGAACGGTTGTTATCGCGATATCCCGCTAGATTCCCTTGCGAGATGGTGTGCAAGCCCACCTTCACATGTCCCTCCTTGTCTCCCACAAGCCCACAAGCCCACCTGTCACCTTTCGCGCCGTTCCCGCCCTTCCTCAACCGTCTGCTCCATCTTCCTGGATCCATCGACTCTCATGGGTGGTTGACCCCCCCCCCCCCCCCCTGCCAACCGTGGTATCGTTATCGCCCCTCATCCTGTTTGGTGGGCGGTTATCGTCCAGACTAGTTGGACCCCGCAGTTGCGACGTTCAGTGGGAGAATCTAACGTGAGCTTTCCGTGGCATACAGCCTAACTCCTTATCTGGATTGGATCAGTGAAAAGTGTCATCGGATCTCTCTCTCTCTTACCTTGCGGTGATCAAGTTGCTTCCAGCGAGATTTCACCGCCAAGAAGCACTTCTCTGCCGTGGGCATCGCGAGGGCAACTGTCAGCCTGCAGCGCAATATCATGCCCTGTCTCTCCACTCCACACTCTGACATCGGTAGCCGACCCCACCAGTGTCTCAACGGCGCCCAGGTTTCGTTGGTATAGTTGTATCCACCTGCAGATCAGAGCAGACGAGTTCCCCCCGGCCCATAGTCCATGCCAGTGATCTGGGTTCGCTGACGTGCATGGAGACACGAGAATTACCTGACAGCGCGGGCTGGGGCCCCCGGGAGGCCTGGGGGCCTTAGGGCGCCATCACTCGCCCGGAACCAATTAACGTACCCTATATTATACGTTCTACCGAGTAAGCGACAGCCTAGAGTAGGAGCCTCACTGCGGCCATCACGCCGCCTTTCTGCGAGGACGTCGCCTTGTACTACACCAGATACGCTGAGATAGGTTCATTTCTGTGATCGGCTGCTGTCACGACCACATGGCCCTGCAACTTGTTCATCTCATGCCTGGCGTCACAAGTAAGATCGTACCCCAGGGCCAGGGATCCAGCACAGGTCGGACTGGATAAGCGAACTCGCTCGACCCGAGCCATGGGCAACGCGAATTAGTCACTGAGCGCCGGTTGACAAATAAGATGCCCGTCTAATTGATTTCCGGGCACGCTTTCGCCGGAACTCGACTCGGCTCCTCAATGGAGAGGCTCAATGCTTCGCAAGTCTCATCAGATGCTGACCTGCTTCGGTCGAGCTGCGCCAACAATAAAAGGCCTGCAAGTGCTGCTTGTTGGATGCAGAGGCTCCCTGGTTCTACTTCGTATATGTTGGTAATTTTCCTCCTAATCCTCGCTACGACCGGGCTGCCGTTTTCTCTCACTCCTTCTCTCTTTCTCTCTCTAACCACATTTCGATTCGAGTGGGGTCGTATGCGCGACGTTTAAATAGGTCTACGAGTTACTACTTTGGAATACTGCACTGTTCACAACCCGTCTATTAGTCTCACGATTGCGAGCCTCGCCAAAGAGATCGCCGCCTCGACACCCTTCCGCTGCAGCCTCGTCCGCCTCATGCACCACCGCAACCACCGCACCTATGGCGGCGTACATGTGGAACACCCATATTTACCCAAGCGAATGCTTTGTGGAGTCCTGCGGCGCACTGTTATTCGATCTTTCAGGCAAATCTAAGAAGGTCTGCCTCCTCCATCTCATCAAGAATAACCACTGGACGCTGCCGAAAGGCCGGCGCAATTGTAATGAGACGCGTCAAGAGGCCGCAGTGCGGGAGGTCCGCGAGGAATCGGGCTACTCGTGCCGGCTGCGACCCGTCACCATGCCGACCCGTGCCCCGTCCAACATGGAGGCTGCCGACGTGAAGGATCTTCCGAGAACCTACGACGGGCTTACGGAGCCCTTCTTCTTGGAGGTTCGGGAGCTGGGAGACGACGGCGGAGGCGGCGTCAAACTCGTTTGGTGGTTTATCGCCGAGCTAGACCGAAGCGCAATCCACGGCAAGCCGGAGGTCCACTTTAAACCCGAGTTCTTCGACTGCGACTATGCGCTGAAGAAGCTGACGTTCCAGAAAGACCGAGACATGCTGCGCAGGGCCATTGACCTGCTGGAGAACTCGGGGTGGAATTGCTTCCGACAGTGGAAATAGCGAGATTGGTGCCCGGTTGTGTTCGCCCACTCAAGAAAACGGCGAAACCCAGGTTCACATGTCTAGAACGTTCATGCATCACTGCAAATCGCCATCACGAGCCACGAGAGAGAGCTCGTACTTGTTTGCACGTGCTATTCTGCCACGGATAACTGGCTATACGGCGAATTCCATACTATGTACACTGAATCAAACACATTGACTCCTTTGCCTCTGCTGCATCCTTGCCAATCTCGCTCCGTAGTTCTCGGGTATGTCTCTAGCGAGCTCAGAGTTCATGCTCCCGTTGCGACGATGCGACGGTACAAAGCTCACCGTGCCTAGTTCGGACGATCCACCCCGGGCCCATGAACCTTGCTGCGTCGGGTCATGGTCTCGTGACAGCCCCGGTCTCCATCTACCCCTTTCACTTCAGACGCTCTAGCGATACCGCTTATCCTGTTGACGAATAATTCACTCCGGGCGAGAGCGATGTGCTACTTCTGAAAGCCCAGCGACTCACGATGGGCAAAGAGTTTGGCTCTTCACCCCAGAGCGCGGGGTCAATTCTTGCAGCGACGTCAGGATTCGGCGGACGGATGCTGTACCCGGCGTCTCACCCAAGCATATACCGGTAGTCGATTGGCTTGCTGCTCCCTTGCTAAGGCCTGAGAGCCTGGGGCTGTCCTGCATGCGTAACTCCCGGGAGTGCGTGGTCGCAGGGCCAGTCTCGGCTTCAGCCGACGTGCGTAATGGGCCTGATGGGAATTATAGCTTGGGACCGATCATATACGCTCAATCCAGCATATGGGCATCGGCATGCAAAAGACTGTGTGGAGTGGTCGCAAAGTGGTTCATGCTTGAACCTGATTCCCCAGGTGTGTCATTTCAGTTGGAAGTTTGACGCAAATCAGATGCCGCGAGCAATCTATTACTCGGATGAACTTGTTTGATTTACCACTTTTTGTGTAGGTAGATAGGCTCAACGCCATACTAAGGCTGTGCATGTAAAGAACAGTGATAAGTGTTGCCAACGTATTTGTTAAAGACTGGCTTTATTCATGTTGGTAAGAATTTATGGTCATTAGTCAGGTATACTACCTGCGATATCGCACGTATATTCTGCGCTGCTGCTAGATTTCTGAACATGCCCAATTGGCAACGCTTCCCCGGTACTCCGCCCATCATGAGTGGCCTTTGTCAGCATCAAGACACATCTCGCTGTGAACCCGGTCCTGATACTGCGTGTAAGCAGCTCCGCTATATGGTACAATGTCAATAAGTTAGTCCCCTTGCCGCAACACAGGTTCGAGGCGATCTAGGCTCTGTAAGTCTCGCTGGCTATACGGTCGTACATCCTTGAGGTATGATTGCGTCGACCGTGAACGCTAGTCTTTGAAAATCATCCGCTCGTGCTGAAATAGTAGTTCTCCCAGAGATACTCGTAGTCTTCGAGTATGCTACCGACGAAGCTAGGCATACGCCTCTTGAAGCCGCCCACAACACCCTTCATGACGTTCTCGTAGGCCGGTCCGCGCATCACCCACCAGCCCATTGCCCAGGCCCGTTTGCCCCATTCCTCCCGCTCAAGGCCGGTGGCCCTGAAGCTACGATCGCGCATCTGCCTGGCGGCGTACTCGAGACTCAGCCCCACGAGCCAAGGCGTCCATGACTTCTTGTTCTTGCTTCTCGCCAACGCCACGGCGTATATCAGGGGTGCTAGGATGTGCAGAATCTCGGCAGCCTGCGCAGAGCCTTGAAGCGAATTGAGAAGTTTCGCGGCCGGTTTGATGTCGTCGGCCTTGAGCACGCGGCCCAGAAGATACGAGCTGATGTCGCCGGCGTTGGGCAGACTGGGCAAATTGCTTCCGGTTCGAGGCATCGACCAATCCTTCTCGTGGGCTGCCTTTGCGTTGCCGTTCAGGCCCAAGAGGCTCTCGTCTGACTCTTCGCCCATCAGCTCCTTCAGGGCGTCCTCGTTGCTCTGGGCATCTTCTTGTTCGGGAATTGGCTCTCGTTCCGGCAGCACTGGCGTCACTAGCGGCCTCGAGCTGGTGACGCGCAGCAGCAGTACCCGGCAGACGGCTTTGATAGCCTCGAGGAGTATGACGACGCGCCAGCGCACCTTCTCGCCGCGTCTCTTGGCTGCCATCTCCCATAGCAACTCCGTGTATTGTACGATCTGGAGCAAGAGCGCTATACGGCGATACAAGCGGCTCTTGCCAGTCCAGAACCTGGTGTATCGTGTGTGGGGGCTCGGGACCCTTGCGGCTAGGCCGGGTATGCTGGACAGAGCGCGCAAGAGCACGGCATCGTGGTAAAGCGACAGCAGCTGGACACCTGAGTGAACGGTTTCCGAGGCTATCTCGGCGTCGCGAAATCGGCCCGGTATGACGTAGGTCAGCGATCGCAGGGCGCTCTCAATCTGCGAAACCTGGTGGGCATTCTTGGTGATGAAGTCGCTGTACATGTGCAGCCATCTGGGCGGCAGGGACAGCACTTGTTGGATTGGGTTCTGGCGGGACGACTGGGCGCCGGGGCGCGATGCGCTCCTCAGGGGATCTGCGGACGCTGCCATGGTGTAAAACTCAGCATGTCATGTTTAAAGGGTCAAAGAGAACAACCCGTGGAGTACAGGAAAGCACCGAACGTCGTCTTGAGGTGTGCAACAGAGTTGATGAGTGTGCATGATTCAGCAGCAAGCGTGTCCGTCCTCGCGTGGCCGCATGTCATGACACCCATTCACACACTGCCTCGGCTGTCTGTAGGAAGCTCGGGCCACGGACGGCACTCCAGACTCTCCAGGCGGGAGCCCCCCGCCACCGCTTCAGCCGACGTCACTCACTAATCTGCGTGCTCACATTTCGGAATCCTCAACGCTCATCACGCCAATCCAATGCTCAGATGCTATATCCAGCAGCGTCTGATATATAGGTACCTGCCAGAAGTCCTGGCCCACACAAAGTCCCGCCCCAGACATGGCGGGTGCATAGGCGTTATGTTACTGCATGCGGCATTCCTTGTATTGTGATTGCTAGCTGTGCAAGACACAAGGCCACTGGACTGCTTTGGTGGCTCCCTACTCCACGCCCCCAATGTTGACTTGCCGAAGCCACTCAGCGTGTCTACAGCCAGCCACGACGCGCCCTGCTCCCCAAAGAGAATCGTGTGGCAGACTATTGGATCTCAACCTGGCGATATCAGCTGGCCTCTGGCAACGCGGACAACGGTGCGTTGCTGTTGATGGTGCGGGACGCTGACAGCCTGGTTGAGTTTACCGTCGCTATTCGTGCTAAGGTATAGCTGAAAGTAAATCATGGCGGTCAACACGGCTGTACATGGCAACGCCGCCGTTTCCGCAGCTGGCGAGGAATATGTGTGTGGTGAACGATATTGACTCAAAGCCGTCGCATCAGCATCTCTGACCGGCCGGTGGATAAAACACTCTCGGCCCCGCCAGGTTGCCTTTCGACTATAGGTTTGGGTCACGAAGTTTATGGTTCCGATCCTATAGACTCGCCTTTCCAAAATGTTATTTCGAATTCTGACAACTGCACCTCTTCTGATTTTTACTCGTCGAGCGAGTGGGCTTCTAGGCATCACCCTGTGCCAAGATGATATCCCAACGGCTGTATCAGAGTATTGCCAGTACAGCACTAGCAGTCCTGACGCTTATACGCCGGGCTACACTGTGACCACGACACCTTGCCCCACCACGATAGGACATGTCCGTTCAGCAACGGGACTTGGATCTCTCGAGTCTCAATGGCTCAAAACCCGGACCAAATCGGCCTTCTCAGCCGTTGAAACGTATCTTAGTGGCGCCGGTACGGGATACACCGTCGACAAACTCATGGGCAGCCCGCCACGTCTTGGCTTGGCCTTCAGCGGTGGCGGCTTCCGCGCCATGGTTAACGGTGCCGGCGTTCTTCAAGCATTCAACGACCATACCGGCGGTGGAGGTGTATCGGGTATTGTAAACAGCTCCCTTTACATCTCCGGCCTTAGTGGAGGTTCTTGGCTTGTTGGTACCTGGGCATTGAACGGTTTCCCGTCGATAGAATCATTGGTATGTCCGCGACTCTTGGTACTGTGAACACCCTTGAAAATAGAGATCATCACTGACCATTTAGACGACCTTTTGGAATTTGACCTCGGACCCTGACAGTGCCCTCTTGAGTCAATTCTCACCAGGGCTACTAACGGTTAAGACGCATCTACAATGGCCGTTCATCACATTCCACGGTTCCAACGACTGGGGCACCTGCTAGTCAGTGGTTTTTCTATTATCTCACCAGATGTACAGTTACTGACGCAATGAAGCCCTACCCAGTGCGAGGCAAGCCAAAAGCTTGGTTCGTTGTTATCCAACGGCTTGAATGGCACTATTTCATATGCGGATGTCTGGAGCCGCTTAATGGCTCGGCAGTATTTACGCAACCTGCCAGGAGGTGTTACCTGGAGCAGCGTTTCCAAGTCGGATACATTCAAAGGTGCTGAGGTCCCTTTTCCTATCATCGTCTCGACTGGCAGAACAGCGGCGGATCAAGACGAGTTGTATCCCTACGATGAGACCATCTATGAGATGACGCCCTTTGAATTCGGTTCTTGGGACCCGGTGACTACTGGCGCTTTCGCTCCTATGAGTGAACTTGGTACATCATATTCACAGGGAGTACCTGAGGATGGCACTTGTGTCCAAGGCTTTGACAACGCCGCGTGAGTTGAACACGTGCTGAACTACGACACTGTTCTGACCAAGTACTAGATTCATCCTTGGCACAAGTTCTCTGGCCGTGGCCGGATTCCTCATCAAAGACCTGAACCTCTCCGTTGCGGAATCCACCTCTAACATCCCCAATCCATTCTGCGGCTTTGGGAATGGCGTCCAGGCTGACTGTGCCACTTATGGCAATGCCCTGTATCTCGAAGACGGTGGCCTAGATGACCAGAATATCCCCCTTGTCCCGTTACTGCAGCCCTCTCGGGAACTTGACGCTATTATCGCCGTCGACAACAGTGATGACTCCGGCAATGCTTATAACATCAAGTGCGGATACAACTGGCCACTAGCGGTATCCCTAAACTCGACATTAGCTTACGCCAGAAGCACCAAAGGCCAGGCACAGAAAATCGCTTTTCCGGGATCTATGCCGACCCAGGAGCAGGTACGCATTAACCCAACTTACGTATACACGCCCACTTTCTTCGGCTGCAACGCGTCTGATAGCACTTTGCCCGGTGCTATACCGCCCATCATCATATATCTGCCTAACGCGCCGTATACCTCATTTTCGAATGCCAGCACAGCTAGTACGCTCGACTACGAGTACGGTTCAGTCTTGCAGGAGTTGCTGGAGAACGGTAATGCTCTGGCGTCGACCGGTATCCCAGAGACACTCGCCACTGGTCTCCCAACTTGGGGGGCTTGCCTAGCGTGTGCGATAGCCGAGCGCTCACGGTTGCGAAATGATCTTCCCCGGGCAAAGAGCTGCGAGGCATGCTTCGATGCATATTGCTGGGAGACCAAGGCACCAATTGCCGAGCCTATTGCGGGCGGTCCTGCTTGCGACGGTGAAGGTACGTGGTATGATCCTCCGGCCCTTCTCACTAGCACGCCAGCCAAAGGCACGAAAGACTACGAAGACTGGACTTGGGCATGGCTTTGCGATGCCTGTAACCACAACTGCCATGTTTGGGGTTGTGAAACACTCTGTGCTGCTGCCTGTCATTGGGTTGGCTTTGCTCCTAAGCATGGATCAGGTGAATTATAAGCTGATAAGTTTTCACTTTTTTGAGTAAAGTATAAATTCAGCCTGCAGCTTCAGAAGTTACTGTTGGTAGGCCATCATGCCGGGGCTTTAAAAAAAGTCAAACTAAGATTCTAGAAAATAGAAATCTTGATCTGATTTCATATTACTCTTTGAGGATCAGCCACTTCTTTTTCTTTTTTTCTTCTCCCCCAAATCCCGAGAACTATTAGCAGGCCAAAGCACGTCATTTGCGATCCCAATACTTGGCTGGTTCGAATCCAATTGGCACAGTGTAAGACTACATATCACAAGGACAGGTTCGCTGTCGGGGTCAGGGCCTCTGATCGATGTCCCGCGTCGCGCATCATTTGCAACAAAAACCCTCAACGCACTTTGACGAGAGGACTTGAGCTTTGCCGTCGGCTTCATTAAAACGTTTAATCATATCCTATCTTGTAGTACTTTCTGCAGAACTACGTCCCATAAATGGCTCATGCAAATCAACGTCACATATATGGGTTTGCTGACGAATAACTGCGTAGAATTCAAAAAGCAGTCCGAACACAGTGGAAGCATTGTAGAAACTTTCGGATATGCTCTAGTCGAAGTCGTGCGCAACCAATCGATCAGTGGTGCCAGCCAAACACCGGGTACAGGAGAATGAGGTAGTGATAGTGAGTAGATCGCTTGAAACAGTCTTACCGGACTTGCCGGTGTCTGAATGCTGTACTGGTGATCGTTGAGTCTAGACCCATGTTGTCCGCAGAGAAGAGCGCATGGCTTGGATAGATCATAACCAGGCACATATTGGTGTGGGCGGGATATTCGGTTTGTGGACCAGCCAGCTACTAAGGATTGGCTTTTCATTTTGTTGGCCACAACGTCTCAGCTACCTGTCAGATGCCAGGCGCTTTCCTTTGCACGAGTCGTAAGAGAGAATTACCGTGGGCATCCACTGCCGTGACTACAAAGAGAACACTCTAAGTACGGCCCGATAAGTTGATATCCTCCCACGTACCAAGTCCTTGGCCTGACATCATAGATGCATACAGACAGTCTACGAATAAGTAGTGAAGTCAAATGATGGACTCGAAGACACTGTGTTCCAACGTCGTATTTTGATCGGTAATGATAGTGCCTTGTCTAGCCCTGACTACGCCAGTAACAATGACCTGGACTACTAAAACCAAGGAACACAGGATAATTCGCAGTTCTAGATCCAGTCCAATAGCTACCACCCATGATGCTGTTAAAAACAAGAGAACAATCTGAAGAGGACGAAATGACCTTGTCGGTTCTGATTGGTTATAAGGTTTCGTGTTGTCATATCTTACCTCTTGCCACGTTCGGGCAGTAGGATCGTCCACATGTGGAAGACATTGATAGGTGGCGGCCGGAGTCGCCATGGACCCGCACGTCGGAGTTTTTGTTCAACGTGGACCTTGCTGCCGAGCTGTGGTAGAACGAATGTTCCTTGGCCGTCTCGATGGGTGACCTCCGGCAAAGGATAAAATGCCGGGTAAACCATTGAACAACCGCAACAGAAGGCCGTTTTCAGTCAACGACCAATCAGTTTAGAAAACTTTGGCTGGCCCAAGTGAAATGATTGGGTCAGAGAAGTTCAAGAGTCATCCCTGTTCAATCGCTATATTATACCCAAATGATGGGAACGAACGGCTGGCCTTGCAACTTCGGCAGTCAGAATCATAGAGACGGCTAGTAGCAATAACATCCATGAATATCGTGCAGCTGATGCCTGCCATACATATGTAGCTACCAGAATTCCTGTGTCTCCTTGCTTTACACTTGGGTCAACCTCAACCTTCGAACTCGAGATCAAGGTAGCAAACTCAACATAGCAAACCGTCACGATGTATTGGGCTTCAGTTGCCGCCGCCGCGCTGCTTGCGCAGAATGCCGCTGCTCAGAACATGCTGCGCTTTGCATGCTCCCAGCTCGTCGTCGAGCGCACCGATCCCCTTGTCAACCCCGGTATGAAATACACGCCGCATCTGCACCAGATCGTTGGTGGAAACTCATTTAACGTCACAATGGACCCTTCCACACATGACCTGGCGGCACTATCGACTTGCACGTCGTGCACCTTCAAGGAAGATCTTTCCAACTACTGGACTGCTGTCATGTTTTTCAAGCACAAGAACGGCAGTTATATCCGTGTGCCTCAGGTTGGCAATGGAGGGCCGCAGGGACATCTGGCGCAGGATGGTGGCCTTGATGTCTACTACATCCCCAGTGGGAAGACCACCGCCTTTAAGAAGGTGAGCCTGTCACCACGAGGCTGTTGACTCTGTATTGACTGACAACATCAAAGGGATTCCGTATGCTTGCTGGTTCCGCAACCAACACGGATGCGAGCAAAGTTAGCAAAGGAAACATTTGCCACCGCTGCTGGACTTCGACGAGCGATAACCAATTCGTTGGTGGCGCTCCTTGCAGTGGAAGTGACACGGTCGACATCCCTGCAGACCCCAAGTGCAAGATGATCCGCCAGACCATCATCTTCCCAACGTAAGTAGCAACCCTTCGCCAATTTGTGAACAACATCTGACACAGTTCAACAGATGCTGGGACGGAAAGAACCTTGACAGCCCTGACCACCAGAGCCACGTCGCTTACGGAGGTGCAACAGGTGCCGCAGGGGGTGCGAGCAAGTGCCCATCGACTCACCCTGTCAAGCTGCCCCAGATCATGTACGAGCTCATGTGGAACGTCACACAATTCGCCGACAAGAGCCAGTGGCCCACTGATGGTAGCAACCCCTTCGTATACAGCATGAACATTGGGTAAGAGTCCAAATCAGAGATAATAAAGAGATCGCGGACTGACTTGTACCCAGCGGCTCTGCTGCCCACGGAGACTACGTTTTTGGCTGGAAGGATGACACCCTCCAGAAGGCCATGGACAACGGCTGCAACCTCAATAAGGACTGCACGAAGGCTGGCATCCACGCCCAGGCGGAGTCTGCATATAGCGCATGCAAAGTCAAGCAGCAAGCCCCAGAGGATGTCGATGGCTGTAAGTTGATGCAGGCCCATATCAAGAAATTCCTGACTAATCGTTGTAAACAGGGCTCAAGGCTATGCCAATGGGCGAGATGTCGGTAAAGGCTTAATCGACCCAGGGGCAAGCTGAGATAGTTTTATAGTGGTCAACGACCTATTGCCACTTTTTGGACGTTATCCAGAGCTATATTTTGTTAATTAGAAACTGGACTGTGGATGTAAGAGAGTCGGGGAGAAATGGAAGTTTAACGAGTGATTTTTATTGACAAAGTTCAATCCCGTAAAGCCTATCGAACCTTCAAGCTCCTATGGGTGCAAGGCTGTGGTTTGTGATATGTTAACTTCAAGGCTCAGAAGAGATGCCCTTGACGTGTAATTGTTACTATATTCCCGTGTACTTTAAAGCAGCACTGTTCGGGTGTCCCATTTCTCTTTATTAAGTGCATGTGGGTTCAAAATCATGTGATTAACTGGGGCCGCATCGTATGCTAAGACACCTGAGGACTTATTCTGATCGCTAACTCTGTTACTACTTCCTTCAATCCACCCGCGTGTCTACCCGAGTGTCTGAATCAAAGCTATCAAGCAGGGAAATGCCTGTTTTTGCCCTTAATATTGTCTACTACTCCCATATATGGCCATGGGACTAGCTATTCTTCGTCACAAGGGCTGCAAAATTGGCGTTTCCTGCCGAAGAGAAGTCGTGACTCCAGTAGTTCGTGACCTCATGCACGCCAAAGCTTGAGGAGCTGGACGACGGATTGCTAGGCTTTGTGCGCGAATACGCGAAAGCTAGGCGGTTGGCCCCATTCGGATTTAGTATTGTGACTTTCCCACTTGAGCCGGTGAAAGAAGTGCATCCTGTGCATTTCAGTGTGACTTGCCAATGCGTTCCGTTTGTGTGTGTGCCGGTCCTGAGAACCTGAATTTGTGCGCCGCTGTAAATGTTCGGTGTGACATGGCCGCTGTTTATTTTAGTCAGTCATAATGATGCTATTAAGGTTGATGGTGTGGCAACTCACGTCGCCCAGCGGACAGTAGCGACGGCGCTGTTTCCATTCGCCCATGCAACTGTCAATGGGTTGGTCACCATCGTGCCGCCCCAAGCAAGACCTGTCCATCCAACTTCAAGTGGAGCTGAAATTTGAAGCACAGCGTCATAGGCTGCGCTCGAGGTTGCCGTGCTCGGAACTGCAATGCGGAAGGTGAGCGACTTCCCGATGGCGTACGCTGCGGCATACTGGGAGAAGGTGAAGCCAGTTTCGGAGTCTTGCCAAACCGCAGAATCGGCAGCGAATACTGTAGGCACTGGAGAGATAGTCAGTTCCATCTCTTAGATCTTGAAAACAGTACGCACACGAGGCCAGAATGGCTGTGCCGAAGTTGATTATGCTCCAACGCATTGTGAGTCCCGGTGCTCTTCAGCTCGGATTGAGACTAGGCGTTGAAATTTTGTAATAGAGGTTTATCTTCTTTCTGTCGACGAAAAGTTAGGCACATGCAATAAGGCGCCAAGCTCTTCGATGATTATAATGATGACACTCTTAAGGGTGCTCACTTTATTCCATGGTTCAAAGTGCACAGGAACGGAGCTATGGGGCAGCTTATTGGTTCAGCACTTACCAAGTAATGATGCAAGCAATGATGCAGGCAGGTTTTGTAGATCCTACCGTCGGTAGTTTTAATCTGCAATCCAAGGGAGAAAAAGAAATACCGGGTCAGAAAGGAGGAAGTCTTGCATTTTATGGGTGCATCTCATAGGCTATTCTTGTAAGCCCGTGGCAACTATCGAAAGGAAAGATCTCCCAAGCTAGTTGAAATTTCTTAACGTAGCGCATCCGACGGTCTTCCGCATCGCGAAAAGCACAAAATCCTACTGAATTGCTTTGGCGTAGTTCCGAGGCGACGTGAAGGCAATTTAGCCGCAAATTGCTCGGAGCTCTTGATAGGGGGGCTAAATGAGGCAACTATAACATAGCTATTAATAGCCTGCTGGGAGCCTGGACCTTTGACGCAATGGGTACCAGTTTTACCACAAACGCCGTCATGAGAAGTCTATCGGCTATGCGGATCAGGGTTGTTCGATTCATCACTTTCACCTGTTGCTATCGCAACCCAACGCCATGACAATTACAACGCTTATACATATGCAGGGCAACACTTGGATCATGGTTGATGAGACTCCAGGTTCATAAATCTACCCAACTAATTACGGGCAATGGAAATGCTACATGCGTTGTTGCACTACTTGGGCGTTAACCAATCTCGGTCTCTTCAAGTGCTGCTTTCCCGCTCCGTCGAAGGAGGAATGCTCCATTAGTACATTTCCTGAACACCTCCAAATCGACTCAATCAGTTTCATCCACAGGCCTCGGAGGGTATCTTCGACTAGGCCATGATGGCCGTAAACCAGCCTCCACATCTTGGTGTTCTTCGTGTCGTGTTCCAAACGAGGATTGGGTCATGTGTGGACCTTTGAATCGACCAGTATTACCAGAGTGGGACGTTTCGTTGCCACCATTCATTGGAATGGCGCCGTCATGTGCTGCACGTTTTTGGGCCTTCTCTTTCTCTTCGTTCTTCTTCCGTTGGTCTTTGAAACGAGCTTGACGGACATCGTTTTTCAGTTTAGTTGCCCATCGTTCACCTTTGTCGCTGAGACGGCTACTCGGCATGTCGAGATCAAGCCAGACCCTAAAGAGCCTTGAACGGACAACGAATGTGACACTTATCTTGTTGTATAGATACCACACAGCTGCTCGACACCAAGTGCTGAGTGAGAAGATCAGGCTGAGAAAAATGACCCCCGACGATACCGCAACTACGAAGTATTAGTTTATACGTCACCAAAACACAGTGCGTTCTTACACATAAGCTTCAACTCATCTTTCAGGTCCCAAGTGTCCCCTGAGAACTCCAGACTGTTCATCCCAAACACACTGGACATGAACGACAGAGGTAGCTACAGAGAGTCAGCCAAGAGCAGAAAGTTATGTCTCACGACTGTCGTAGACTCACAAATACTATGGTTACCAATGTAAACATCATGATAGATCTTCCTTGTTTGATAGCTTCGTCCGATTGCTTGACTGATTGCCAGGCTTGTACAACACTGGCTTGTTGTTGTTTTAGCTCCAACAGATCTTTGACCTGATCGTAAATTAGCCACGGCCCTATAAATCAGGTATTGGTTACTTGCGCTGTCTGCTGTGCTAGTAGCTAAGGCCCTGAGCTCTTGAACCTCTTCTATACGGGCGAGAACGCTTTCTAAGCACTCATCTGCATTCAGCTTGAACCAATTGTAGTCATGTCGTTTGCTATCGTTACCCAAATGACCATTTGGAGATCCATCGTGAGGCGCGCTCGGTCGACGGTGGAATTGGTTCCAGAGATGTTTGCTGGTCAACCCCTTCTTACGATCGCTGCTATACTCTCCATAGGGGTCGAGCATATGTTCAGCGTTGAAGATAAATTTCTTTATTATATCCCTGTGACATTTTATAACATGCAAAATGATGTCGAGCTCTTCAATGATATCCTTGATCTCGCGTTCAAGTTTGCCCTCGGGATTGATATCAAGTAGGGGTACGTGAAGGTCGGAGGCGGTTGTGTTTGATCGGTAGATCTTGCTCGCTTCGTCAGTCCACCGCCATAGTTGTTCGAAGGCAACTGTTTGCTTGTGCATCTGTGATGGTTAGGGGCGACACATCGTCGGAAGTAGCAGACCTACTATGTTCCCAATCGCTTTCGAGAATGCATCTATCAAGAGGGGCTGTCGGTCAAGCTTTTTTGTACGATCAAAAAATGTCTTGGAACACTCGTCGAGGATAATCAACGCGAGGTCAAATACAGTCCTCACTTCTTTTGCGCCTTCGATCGCAACTCTGATGGACTTGTGTACTCCAGATGCGTCGTGTTTGTTTTGCCCATATCTTTTTGGGAAGCAAGTGATGATGGTGGAGGCGTCGAGAACCCAAAGCCAGAGCTGATCAACCATGATGACACGGGAAACTTTCCGGATATTGTCCTTACATTGCTCACAGTTTCCTTCAATCTTTAGGTTCTTATGGTCCGACCATTCATTCGTATTCCAGTCGAAAGAGTGAAACGCCTCTGGTCTTGCTGTGGTATGGCGATAAACCACTTGATCTCTGTCTCGAGATCTTGTCGTGTTGAGGGTCCAGAAATAGGCCTGGTCAAGTGTCCGACGTGGATGCATGGAACGGTTCCATTCATCTTTACAGAGATATTCTTCAAGTAGTTTCTTGTCACGGTAACTGACCATTCCTTCAAAGAGCCTAGCACAATCTAGCAAGTACTGGCCCAGTGTGTTACTGACCTCCACTCGACCTTGCCTGTCGGCTGGGAGATGTTTCTCGACAACATGGAGCTCGTCTATCAGGGAATCCATGTTATCTATCCTTGAGGCTAACCTGTCGTGATGTGGTCGCTTTTGCAGTTTTGATGTCAAACCGGTTCGCAGTAGCCCCATCCTTCCCTGAATTCGGTTCAATCTTTCCGTTTCCTCTTTGTGGGATCTGGATTTTTTCTCTTGTTCTACCGCGTCGTCAATGATCTTAGCAAATCTTTCTCTTTGCCTGGAAGTCTCCCAATGAAGATACGGCATCTACAAATAGTAAGTTCTGCTTCTTTATTCATTTAGGGTATATATTTGGGTGTACGTACGAAGAGAACCATGTTCTTAGAGTGGCCCTCGTGGTCGCTCGCTACTCTATCAGTACGTCTCTTTACATCAAAGGTTTTGGGATTTAATACTCGACGGAATAGTCGCACATATAGGACGCATGTGGCGAGCGTGAGGAGGTGCTCTATGACCACCATGTAGCTGGCTTCGCCAGTATGGGTCACGGAGGACCATATGAGTCTGTGTTCTCTCGACTCTTTGTAACTTTCTGTGAATTGCGTGGTGATCAGGTATAGTTTCACCAAAATAGCTGGCTATAGCTTGCTGTTGCTTATTAGATGTGCACGCAACTATCAAAGCAGACATTCTACTCACCTCTGCCCACTGTGTTCTTGAGTTAGTTATTGATAGCCAGCTCAAAGGGCAATGATAACTTACCGACATGTTGTTTGATGGAAAGTGGTAGTATCTAATTCTTCCAGTGTGGCGCCTACGATGGAGCAAATTATCGTCCAGGCCTTCATCGATACTGGTGTCTGCTTCACATTTTGAAAATAACGCATCAACCTTCGTCTTTTGGTTAGGGAATGTGCCCCATACTCTGTCTGCTCTCGGTTTGCCGCTACCATCCAAATCCTTCTCATCTACCCCTCTGCCATTTTCGAATTGAATTATCGGAACGCTTACATCTTTCTGCAAAACGTAGCCACGATCGCGCGTCTCCGGGTATTGTTGCACCACTTGGTTCTTTTTGCCTTGTTCATGCCGCCACTGCCTCACTCGGTCAATATTCTCGCGGAATACTCGGGATTTTCGCCAGGCCGTGGCACTTTCATTCACTTTCTCCACTAAGTGTCTCTCGCTGTTGTCTTCTGCCAGGGTATCACGAAGAAAGATGATCCGGCTTAACTCCTTGTCACAGTTCTTCTTCCAAACATCTTTGATTGCCTTGGCATGTTCTTTAGCTGTCGTGTCTGATGTATTTGGCTTCAATTGGTGCTTGGCCTGCTCTACCCAAACCAGATTAGAGTCGTTGAAGAAGTGTTCTCTCTCGCTGAACTCAAGACAGCCAAGGTAGTGCAACAAGTCGTCTTTTATGGAGTCATGACTCTCAGAGCTCAAGCAGGTGTGCGAACGCATGATTCTGGTTCGTTTTGGCGATTGTGAAAGTACTGACTGATCATCTGTTGGAAACCTTGTGCTATGTTACGCAGCCAGTATGATCGAACGGTTCTGTTCTCGCTGGACGTAATTGATAGTCAGAACTGAATTTGAGCGAGTTTCTAAGTGAGATCTAAGTACGACGATCGAGCGCAACAAGGCTTTTGAAAATGCACCTCAGACATAACGGCCAGGGTTCCGTTTTCATAAGACCATGCATGAACTGAAGCTCACTTCGAACGTCTGCATGCCGCCTGTATCACAACCGGGCAGGCTGCATGCTGACTGCATACTGCACATGAACTTGCCCACTCAAATGCCTTTGGTGGCTTCCAGTGTTGCATCTGGGCCTGCATGGATGCCGAGGGGCTGGGGCTGGGGCCAAAAATGCGCCAAATAGGGAAATCATCCCTCGGCACGGAGACTGCAATTACCAACTCACAGAAGGAACACACCTAGATACCTGGTCCTCAGCCTGCTCAAGTGGGGGCTAAATTGGTGACACAACCAACACAGTCAGCCATAAACTTGTATGCTACCTCGTCTGGCCTACGTAGGCGTCGGGCGATAATCAAGAGTGGATCCGTCATCATGTGTCTGAATGCTATCTTTGGGATCTATGCAAGTCGCCTCAATATTTGTAACATTTCAGCTCTACTTGCTAGAACTAGTTTTAATGAGCGTGAATGTCGTACTATTTGACATTTTTCTCACTGGCGTTTCATTACAGACTTGAAACTTGAGTGTGGCTGCCGTGACCTGCCACTAATTGTTCCCATTGAATCCATTCATTTGGGTCCATCTCGAAGGACAGAAGCTCGGGGATCTCGTAGGATTCAAATGATGCCCAGTCAGGCAAAAGCCCATCGTAGGTCGCTTCATCCTTCCAGCCTAGAGCGGGAATCTTCTCCACAGATTTTTCTTGTAAGCCAGAAGCCTCCATTGTGTTATTCCTGACCCCAGACCCTGATTCTCTTGTGGGGTCCCGACAGCGGCGGAGTGCAGCAATGTATCTAGGCGTTTGTGGCAAGGGTAGATCTTCAGACTTCAAAGCCTCGACGTACTCCTGCCAGACGTCCAACGTCCATTTGCCTAGAGCTTTATACACCGCTCCCGTAGACTCTTCAAAAACCTGGGGGTAGTGCGAAAAGACTTTCCCGATCAACTGCCAGGTCTTTTCGACCTGGGGTCCTGTCTTGCAGTGCCGAGCTTCGATAAGCACGTAAAGCATGGTGTTCCACAAATGACTTGTGCCAATCTGCCACATGTATTTGCCCATATCGTGGCGTCCTGCTTTCAGCCAAGTCACATATTCAAGGAGTTTTGTGGCGTTTGCGAAAGCAATGTCACGATCGCTCTGCGCGACTGCGCCCGGGTTCTGGGCAAATTGTCGTGGACTGTGCGCAAACAGCCGCATTTTACATATCGCCGTCCTGGCCATGGCTGATACAAAAGCGTGGAGCGAATCTGATGGATCGCAATAGCGCAGGTACCTGCTCTCCAGGCGGTCCTCCAACTGATTTATGAAGCTGTCTTTTCTTGCGACCGAAACATCAGTGCTACCGACTGCCTCCCAGCGTACATCGCCGGGCGGGTACGTCAAAGAAGAAAACTGTCGCAGGGCCTCCCAGAGCTCAGTCTTTAGCAAACATAACGCAATGGAAGTGATTGCGTTGCGTTCCGGTGGCAATTCGGTCATGTCTGGCTGCAGGTCCTCGTCGTTGACATTCCAAGGCATTTTGGCGTCTCCGCTGGAAAGATCCAGAGATGGCCTGGTACCAAGTACATCAGCCGTACGAAAATCGACATGTACAAGATGCCACCAGAGTCGCCTCCTCATTTCAGTTTCAAAATGTGACAGGCCAAGTGATGCGCCATCTCGATGGAGTCCCATCTTGCGAGCGAGTCGTATGGAGAGCCCAGATAAAGCATACAATGTGTCCAGTCTGTAGGTATCTCTCATACAGATCTGTATTCTTGTCAACTGATTCATCCAATTTTATGATGCAGGGGCGAAACATACCGTGAAGATTGCGAATGCTCGAAGAGTATTGGGACTATACGTTGATAAGAACTCTGCATTCACCAAGGCTTGGCGGGTAGCAATCCTATATCTGGAAACCAAAGCAGATCTTGATGCCTCGAAGATATCTTGGCACTCCTCGTCGCTCAGGGAACTGATAGCTGCAAAATAAACTGCAAAGGCTAACGCCTCGAGGCTCTTCGGCAAACCTTGAGGATGCTGCAGCCTGTTCATCAATGTGCTCCAGAAGGATGGAACATGCACGATTTTCACCAGAGCATCTACCCGGTCAATATAGACTTCCTTGAGTTTCAGTAGCAATTGGAAAGGTGGGTGAAGGTCTGCGAGATTCCCAGGTGCGTGCGTCTGCTCAGGCTCGAAGAAGAGCTCCCCCTCATCAACGGTCGACTTGTTCATGGGCTCACCAAGGCCTTCAACTTCTGGATGCTGAAACTAAGAAGTATTAGGAGATAATCTTTGATTGCATCATTAGAAACTTACTTCAGCTCCCAGATTAGCCCAGGGCGCACTGTGCTGGGTCAGAAACGAGAACTCAGAACAGAAGCCAAGTGAGAGACTGACCTGTCGAAATACCTGGATGTTCCCTCTGTCGTGACAAGCTTTGGTGTTGACCCTTCGATTCGAGAAGGTAAATGGTCTCTGATGTCCTCGTGCACGTCGATATCGGGCTGAGATGGGGTCTGCGATCCGGAATCATCAAGCTCGTCACCTGGCTCAACCTTGGCGCCAAGCGATCTCAACATGTCTTCGTATCGTCCCAACTTTGCATGAAGACTCTCTCTTGGAGGTTTCGTTCGCTTCCGCTTTCCACGGACAGGTGGGATAAAGCTGCATTGCTTCTCGGCTCTGATGCAGTTTGCACACGGTGCCCTCCGGTCGCATTTGACCTTACGCTGCCGGCAGATCAAGCAGGAGTAGCCTTTGAGGCCCCCGACTGGTCCTACGTGCTCAGTTGTCGACAATTCGGACATTTGAAAGAGTGCGAGCTCATCCCTCGTTCCAAATCTAGCAGATGTACGAGTTAGGAATCCTCGCCGAGAACACCGCAGGTCAATGAAGGGCCGCTAGGATGTGGATTCGGGGCAGGCGCTCCTCGGTGCTCAAAAGTCGGCTTTTTGCGCCCGAGCCCCGAGTAGGAATAGCCCCGAAATTGGTGCACCGCAACCTCCCAAAGAGTCCCCCGAGCCCCGAGAGCCAGTCTGTCAAATTCTTATAAAGAACTGCAGAGAGCTCTTTGAGATTTGTGTTTATTCCTCATCAAGTCTTGTACTCCCAAGTTCGCCATGCCTCAGTCTCTGTCAGAAAATCACGAGAAGCCCGACTTTGGCTCTAACGAGCCCAATAATAAGGGAGATGGCGACGAATATCCAACGGCTCAAAAGCGGGTCCTGGTCATGACTGCGCTCTACCTTGCTATCTTCCTGGTGACTTTGGTAAGAACAGATAACTCGGACAAGGAGCACACCTCGTGAAAATTGCTAATTTCAATGTAAAACACAGGACCAAACCATCATATCAACCGCAATCCCGCGAATAACGGACGACTTCCACTCTTTGAACCAAGTCGGTTGGTACGGGTCTGCGTACCTGCTCACCCAATGCAGCTTCCAGCTCATCATGGGAAAAGTCTACAAGTTCTATGCAGTCAAGCCTATCTTCATTGTCTGCTGTGGCCTCTTCGAGGTCGGTTCCGCGATCTGTGGTGCAGCACCTAGTTCGGCCACCTTCATTGTTGGTCGTGCCATCGCAGGACTAGGCACTTCTGGGATATTTTCAGGAGTCATGGTTATCGTAAGTATCCCATTGCAGCGTCACACAATCCGCCGCTAACTAGCCTTTATCAGATGTTCCACGTAATCCCTCTACAGCAGCGACCAATCTACCAGGGCCTCTTCGGAGCTGTATTTGCAGTAGCCTCTGTCATCGCTCCGGTTGTTGGGGGCACTTTTACAGATCTTGTGACTTGGCGCTGGTGTTTCTACATCAACCTTCCTATCGGTGCAGTCTCCATGGTCGTGACCATGCTGATGGTTCATCTACCCAACCAGAAGCTTGAATCGCCGGGTGAAGGTCTAGTTGCCAAGCTGAGGCAACTTGACCCCATCGGCAACCTGGCTTTCTTCCCAGGAATCGTTTGCCTAATACTAGCTCTTGAATGGGGCGGGACGAAGTATGCTTGGAGCGACGCTCGGATCATTATCCTTCTGGTTCTCTGTGGCTTCCTATGTTTGGTATTTATCGGCATCCAAATCTGGAAGAAGGAAGACGCAACAGTGCCTCCTCGAATTGTAAGGCAACGCAGTATCGCAGCTGCCATCTGGTTCGGGTTCTTCAACGGCGCCGGGATGATGGCCATAATGTACTATCTTCCTATCTGGTTCCAGGCCGTCAAAGGTGTCGACGCCTTCAACTCTGGACTGATGCTGCTTCCTATGATCCTCTCAACAGTTCTCGGTTCGGTGTTCTCAGGTATAATGACGGCCAAAGTCGGCTACTACACGCCGTTCTTTATCTTGAGCTCAACACTGACACCAATCGGAGCGGGACTCATGTCAACTTTCAATACTTCCACCAGTGAAGCGCAGTGGATCGGATACCAGATCCTAGTTGGCTTTGGCCTTGGTTTCGGCTCACAGCAGCCGATGACTGTAGTCCAGACCGTTTTGGATAGACGAGACATCGCCACCGGTTCTGCCCTCATCATGTTCACCCGTTTCCTTGGCTCGGCTATCTTTCTACCAGTTGCGCAGAATATATTTCTCAATGGCTTGGTGTCTAAGCTCGTCAACCTTCCCGGCGTTGACGTAAGTGCTGTAACCGGTGGTGGTGCCACTGAGCTGCGAGAACTGGCATCGGGGAAAGATCTGGAGACGCTCCTATCCGATTACAATGGAGCTATCATCGATGTGTTTTATATGGTGGTCGCCACGTGTGCCGTCACCATGTTTGGCAGTGTGTTGGTGGAATGGCGAAGCTTGAAAGCTCGCGCTCAGGAGCAAGCGGGGAACGAGAAGCCTACTGAGGATAGTGAGACTCAGGCGTCTGTGTAGGTGATGTTCCCGGACCAGAAAAGACAAATCACATATCATATCCCCTAGAAGATAGATCTGAATTTTAGAACACGTTAATTCTCAAAGACAGTCTCTGCTTACTTTGAATTAATCACCATTTAGACGAAGTCCTTACAACTTATCCGTCTATCTGCGGTAAGGTGATTGCGGTCCATCATCACTTGCAAACGGTGCTTATGATGCATTCTGAATGCCCTCCTACGTCCATTCAACATCGGGTCTCGTAGAACGCGGTGTTTGATCTCGGAAAGCTCGCAACTCGGTCTAGCCGGTTTAGCACAGGCCGGAGATGGCTTCAATCGACTATCGTCCTAGTTCAAGAGATGTAACCCTCGAAAAAACTCCACGAATGTCATTAATTTGTCTCTGCTCACGCGCAGGAGAGAGAGGATCTCACTGAGCCATGAAGATATCCCCAAAAGCAAAATGTTCTCTATAGGACAAACTCAACTGTGTGAGCTTTCTCTGATTGGAATCATGCGCTCGGCGGGATTGTAGCAAGTCTTTGAAACGATACCCTCCGGCGTAGATCGGACAGACTGAAAGTAGGCATGCAAGTATCTGCTGGCAACATAGACGTAGCACTTAGCCTCCTGCTTCTCTATTTGGCGGTTTGGTGTTTTGAGCTTTAGATGAAAGTTCTGAATGCCAACAGTCCTGACGATAATAGCGGCCTCGGCCGGCACAAAACAAGCAGGGGCACAGCAGCCAATTGTTTCACCCAGCCATCAGCCTGGAATTGTCATTGAAGTGCAACACCTGTTCTTCAATTGAAGCACTCCAGACCTTTTTCAATTCCATTCCTTGGATTCTTCTGCATATGACGCTGCGACGACCTGAGCTCTCAGCCATCCTAGCTCAGGAGTCTTGCCGCACAGCCGTGAATTTTCTCTGCCGGTTTCCAGGAGGTTGTCGGGGCACTTTCGCTGCTTCAATTCAGCCCAGGAGCAATCCGACTCGTCCCAGGACTGGTTGAGTTCGTCTCGGGTGAAAATATCTCACCCAACTACAACCGAAGGACAGAGATCCGTTGCGCCCCTTGATCAAGCCCAAGAGCACCATGTGGCTCTTCAACAAATCAGCCAATCATGGACGTAGTTCCATTATTGTGCCCAATACTTGGCATGACCGAGCCAAGGCGCGCTTCAGTCGCTTCCGAGCGTTTCTGATTCCGATCGCTGCCCTCGCTCTCATCGCCGCGGGCCTCGGTACCTGGATTGGTTTGAAGTACAGAGAGGACAGCCAGGGCCAGGCGAGCGGTGGTGCGGCAGGAGTCACGACTCTCACTGCTGCCATTCCCGTCGTCGAGACGGTCTACCTCGTCCCTACTTCCGCTGCAATTGCCCCTGATCACACGACCACCTCGTCAGCCGCTTCGTCGTCGCCCTCCAAGCTCAGCACTGTCGTTCCCTCGACCTTCGTCACTGCGACGCGTCTGACCTCGACTGGCGGCTCAACTGCAAGTCCTACCGCGAAGGTAAGCAAAATCGTGCCAAGCCTTTGGTGAGAGAGCCTAACGTATTGGCAGTCTTCAGGCCACAGTCCTATTTGTGATGTCGACACCTTCAAGAAGAACGCAAGCTACGTCGGCGTCTTCAACAAAGGAGTTGTGCCCGAGCAGTTCCAGGCCCTCCCCGCGGAGAACGCAACAGACTGCTGTCAGCAGTGCTTCGGCATGGTCGATCGTGACTGTAACGGTTGGGGATGGCTCAACCAGATGTGTTTCTATGTCTGGGGTTATCCGGGCCCCCATGCCAACGAGACCTGCCCGCAGGGATACCCGTCACCAAGTTTCGACTATCGTGGTACTGAGCAGGACTTTGCTGGGTTTGGACCATGTGCTGTTCGTTAATGTTTCTTTCCATGGTTTTGACATAGAAACCACTGAGTTCATATGATTTCTGGCAAGTTTGGCTGGCTTCGGTATGCCAGTCAATGATCCTGAAGCCCAAGATTGGCATACAGTATAGGATACAGGAACAGCCCAAAGGATTGAGGCTTGAAGTATTTGGCTGGAAATCAGAATACATTCTGCAATGCTCGACAGCTCATCTTTGTTCACGCCGTGGTGGTCTGACCTTGTGATCCTCAAGTTGCAGTACTATCGTGTTCAGTCCGAGAGTGAGATGTAAAATCACGATAAAGTTGCCTATAATCCTCGGGTAGTCTTTATCGACCAAGTCAATGGTAGTAGCGTGAACGTTTTGTGAACACCGTGAGGCCCGTGCGCGCTAGTATAGCGCGTTGCCAACCTACTGCAGGCCCCAATGATTTGCCTGGGTTTGCCAAGCTACAAAGGTGAGTACCGAAGGTTGCGACCACGTGATGAGTAGCAATCGCACTGCTGGAGTGATCACGTTGCTTTTCATTATCTGGAGCACAATGCAGCACTCGACGTATAGCTGCCACTGAGCGGATATGTGTGCCGATGGATGCAGTGAGAGGCCTCTTGTATATGATGCTCAACGGTCGTCTTGTTGAAACTGAAGGGTTCTCTTGCCTCCAGTGCCACTCTAATCCAATACGGAGGTTCGTTCAGAGACTTGGAAGCTTTCGAGGAGACTCGTCACACCCGCGGTCGGCTCACTGGAGCACAAGGTGGCTAACGGAGGCGAACGATCTGACTCTGAATACGACGCGACCGGGTGAATCGCGTTGCAAATCCACTTTGGTCACATCCTGGAGATGTCCTCGATGGTGGACACCGGGCTTGTCATGATGGCCCTGGGCGCCAGGAGAAGGGCAAGATTGGACCAAGATCTCGCGTTCATGAGGCAAATCGCACTTCAGGTGGAACAAGGTGGTGGTGAATTGTTTGCTTGCCGAGTGCACGAGAGACGGCATTAGCGTTAATCGGCTAAACCGTGGGTTAACCCTGACAATATCAACGCCCTGGCCTACTCTCAAGTTAGTCGTAGTCGAGCATTTTCGATTGATAACTCTCAAACAATTAGTGCCGATATTAGTGTTAACCCATCTGTCCCGTGCAACCTCATTCGGGTGTCTGCCGCGCTAGGTGCGCCTTTGTATGAAGGCGTATACTGTTCGTGTTGCCGACTCGCAGAGCTGAGCATTAGTACCAAGCCATACATGTCTAGCCAAGATCTTCTGCATGAGGAAATCCGGGAATCAAATCACTTGATCGCATTGCCGATCCGCAATTCCCTTTTGGGGATATTGTCCAAGCAGTTGGCCTGCGCCAATTGGCTGGGCAATATATCCGGCTATTATGTGCCAAACGCTAAACCAGGCACGGCTCTACAACACCAGATTCTTCATATAGCATTCTGTTCTCGTTCAGCTTAAATTGAGCAAACATGTATCAAGCCTTCGATCTCATGCTACTCTGAAGCCCAGGGTTCAACAGCATTCATTGCATGCTGCGATAAATCAGGATTGCCCTTCAGCTGAGAGACGAGTAACAATCAAGATGAAGCACACATCAGCAATCTTGCTTTTCGCTTCTGCGGCCGCAGCTGCACCACACTGTACAAATGCCCCCTGTATGGAACCTTCATCATGGCTAAGTCAATTTTTCAGATACCTTTCCCAAGATCGGCGGCACGGCAGACTGGGCTGCAGTTCGCAAAACGGCCAATTGGCAAACAAACAGCCCCGTTACGAACGTCAACTCTCAAGACATCCGGTGCTATCAGCTAGCCTCTGGGAACGAAGGGGCAGTGACACAGGACTACAAGGCCGGCAGTACGATCACGTGGTCTGCCGCCCCGAACATCTACCACCAGGGCGCGCTCTCGGCCTACATGGCTAAAGCCCCATCTGGAACAAAAGCCGCTGATTGGGATGGATCCGGTCAAGTATGGTTCAAGGTCTACCAAGACATGCCTACCGTATCTGGACAGCAGTACAGCTGGCCGTCCGAGGGTAAGTTGTGCAAGCCTGCTGGCTCGAGGACCGAACTTACAGTGGAACGTTAGGGAAGTCACAGGTTAGCTTTACGATCCCAAAATGCCTCGAGGATGGCGAATATCTCTTCCGGGTCGAGCACGTAGCTCTCCATAGCGCCTCGTCGGCTGGTGGTGCTCAATGTGAGTCATGTCCTCAGTCACTTCTTTTTATAAAGCCAGTACGAAAGGGGTTATGGTGGCTATAGAGAATCTGAGAACCTTTCCGAACGATTTGCAACAATGGCTGACCACTGGAACAACACACATTGCTGACTTTCGTGCTGCAGTCTATATCTCTTGTGCGCAACTACACGTCACAGGCGGATCTGGAGGCGCGAAGCCGAGTGATTTGGTTTCGTTTCCTGGAGCATACAAGGCAACGGGTGAGTGCAACACCGAAATTTGAAATGAGAAGAAGCTGACCTGGAGCGCGTACAGACCCAGGATTGATGATTAACATCTACAATAACGGTGGTAAAGCATATCAACCGGCTGGGCCAAAGGTATTTACCTGTTAGAATCGAGGAATCGGCTTTGAGCTACCGATTATGGATCTACCACTAGCTATTGAAACACTGAGATTCATAATTCTGTACACATTCGTTTTACGTCTTCCGTCTGAGAACTGCCACAAGCATTCTAGCAGCCCGACGTTTGATCTGACCATAAGAACACTTGAGCCCCTCCCCCCTGGCAAGAGACTGATGAGAGATGAAGCTTATTGCGTGTGATGATCTTCTGGTAGAGTTTATTGAGCTGGAAGGACTCTCCGGGTGTGCAATACCAGTACCATGGAGCAGACATTCGCACATATGGATATGCACGTGAATTTAAGTAGATACCACATGACATGATAGGAGAAGGTGTAATAAGTGATCTCATTTGAAGTGGAAAGCGATTTGTGGACATTCGTGCGCGCTTGGCGCAATATTTGGATAACCCAGTGTAATAAATGTGTGACGACAAGATGTACGATTCATTGGACAAGATACGGGACAGGGTCAGGTCGACGAGTGGAAACCGAACAAGATGAATATTTCAGGTTGACTGAAAGGTCTTCCTCCAACCACTCAATCATCGTCTATGCTAATCAACGACCGTCCCATGGTTCCGGGTGCGGCTCTCTTTCGACCGAGACCTCCCGATCTGGAAAGAAGACAACGAATAGCCTAACCCAGAACGTTATCAGGAACCAGAACTCCATGAATTCGCTGAGCATGCTCCACGTCAGCCATGGCGGGTCCTCAACGCTCCAACGCCGCTCCGCCAGCATGCAGTATGCAGTCAACCTCGCGAAACCCAGCCCGCCAAACCAAAGCACGCAGAGGTTGAAGAGCTGCTGCGCTGGGGTGTCTTCTGGAAGTTCGGGCTCATCTGCACTTTCCTCTGGAGCCTCTTCGTGCCAAGCATCGCCGTCGGCGACGAAAGGTTCAGCTGAAGTGAAATCCGCGGATGGTGCGTCGACCACGGTTTCGTCATCGCCGACGTGCTCGTGTGGCCGGACAAATCCGCCCGCTTTGGTCTTTTGGCTTTCCCCCGAAGCTATAGATTGCTCGAGGGCGTCCGCATCGGTTGGCTGGTAACCCGCAATCCCCGTGCCATCCCGTATGAGGTGGGAGTGCCAGGGATCATACTTCTTGTCTTCGGGTACATTTCCGTCAAAAATGTACTTGTCAAGCATAGTGGAACTCTAGCCCTCTCATAGAGAACCAAGTGTTGGTTGGTGGTCGGTGTTCGCAACTGATAGTTGCGAGTGAACGTAAAACTGAAGATGAGGGCTTTGGCATTTTATGATTGGAATGAATGATTTTGGAATTGGACAAAGGCGATAAAGAATCTTCCAAAGTTACACAGTGAACTCTTTCATGGTTACAGAGTCATGTATGTTTGCGTCATGTGAATGTCTTTGTCTGCAACTATGGCTATTGTCTCAGTCTGGTAGAGTCTCGGGGTATCGGCAAGCTAACTGTGTAGCGGCAAGACATGGCTTCTCCGTGGACTAGTCTCGGCGGGTCGCTGGCCAAGACTCTGTCTGAGGCTTGGTTGCGCAGAGATCATCAGGTGCTGTGTGGTAGACGATTTTGTTCTGATGTGAGACAAACTCTTCTGACTAGAATACGCTCAAACTTACAAAAGCTGACAATGGTATCAATTCGACACTATGGTATCACATTACATTAACTAGGTAGTTTCCCAGCTGAGCCGAACGCTCCGAGCCTACTCAAACATCCGACATTATAAATGTACATTTACATGTTGCCCCGGTGGTGCTGGGCTCCATAATGGTTTAGATCCTCCCAACTCATAGAAAATCCTTGGCTTTGTGCAGCCATGTTGTGAGCTTGCGCCACCATCGCTTGCTCTTCCATCAAGGCACTCGAAAAGCTCTGCGTATCGGAGAAGCTCTGCGCGCTCGAGAAACTCTGCCAGTCTTGCACCTGCATCTCTGGCTTCAATAATTGTTCATTCGTGTCACCACCGAACATGTTGTAATCCACGTCCATCGGTGTCGAATCCATGGGGGATGGGACTAGTGGAGCAGGCGGCAGCTCCTTATCCAGAGACAACGGCCGTGGATTCATCTGCATTGGCTCAACCTGCAGCTGTTGAGGAGAGATTTGGTGGTGCTGGGAAGGTATCGACTGCGGAGGAGCCATGAAACTCTGTTGGTATGGGTTGCCCTGCTCGACCGGACTCGTGTATTGCATGCCCTGCATATGCTCGCGGAAGTCTGTGGAGGCTACCCGCCGGGTGGGCTGTCTGCTGACGGGCATCAGGGACGTTGATGCCACCCTCCTCAAGCCGCGGCTCTGGGACGTGATGGTCACCTGTCGGCTTAGCGAGCACTGGTCCTGTGATGGAGGATTTGATGCCCCCCGGGCAGGCACAGCTTCCTCGGTCGATTTCGGCTTCAAGACGACGTGGCAGTGTCCCCACGCACATTGTGCTATCCTCTGCGCCTGCTCGCTCGACCCGTCGAAAAACTCCAGAAAATCTTGTAGTTGTCCCTGGCTTTCATTCTCCACGTAGCCCTGCTGCCTGCCTGTGTTGTCGAGGTTCCAGCTGAACATGGGCTGGTGTCCGTTGAACTTGCTCTGTTTCCTGGTAATCAACTCCCTCCACGCGTCAAGCACCGCGGGTTGGTGCAGCAAGCCATAGATGACATTGGAATGCATCCAGTCGGGCTTTGAGCCCCCCGATTCAAAATGTGCCGCCACGTGCTCATAGTGCTTTTCCAACTTTGTATGCATGGCTGCACAGAAACCACAACCCCACGCCCTGCGCTTTCTCATGTACTTGACGACGCCATCAGAATGCGGGCATGTCTTGCATCCGTGTGCAGACTTGTGGTGTTGGTTGAAGGTGTTCGGTCCCCAGAAGCTCTGGTTGCAGTTTGGGCAAGGGTACTTCCGCCATCGTTCATGGAACTCCTCCTCGTGTCGCTTCCAATCGAACTTTCGCTTAAACGTCTTGTCGCATGATGTGCACCAATATTTGGCCTCGGAAGCGGAAGCGGGTGTCGTAGGCTTAGCAAACGATGCGCCTATCGATGAGACTGAACTTTGGGCGGTCGCGGTGGACAGTATACTCTCGCGACCAGAGCTGTTGGATGCTACTGACGATATAGATGATCGTATTTGGTGAGACGGAATGAAGTGATGATTTGGCACGGCATAAGTTGGAGACAATTGGGCTAGACATGATACCATTCAGCAAGGATCTTGAGACAGCACCAGGTGCAAACATTAGACTGAAAATGGGTTGAGCTCCGGTTGCCTTACATTCAATTGCTGGCTGTTGTGGTGGTGGTGGTGGTGGTTGCTGCTGCTGTTGTTGCTGTTTCTGTTGCTGTTGCTGTTGCTGCTGCTGCTGGCTCGGCGGCGGTGGAGGCGCGTAGTGTGGTTGTTGTGGCGGTGACGGTTGTTGAAGCTGGACCTGCAACTGCTGCTGCTGCTGTCTCTGATCGTCTTCCTCCAGCAATGCGATCAGGGCCTCGCGTGACAGTCCAGCTTGCTTGAGGGCTTCGAGGTGCTTCCTGGCCTGCTCGAGTATTCGCGAGGGATCATTTGTAGCGTCCATCGGGGACGTCATATGTCGCCCGTCAATAGGGGCGAGACTATCGCGGGTGTGGCAATGGCTGGGTGAGGCGAGGGTTGAGGTGTGATCAGATGTGGTCAAGTGTGAGGATGGCGAGCGGTGGGAACGGTGAGGCGGCCGAAATGAGGTCGAGGTGGACGGTTGAGGGAGCAGACAGCAGGAGTCGGAGAGCAAATCATTTCCAACAAGTTACGCGCGCGTAGACGTCGCCGGGTAGCCGACCAGGAGATATAATATTATTGCTCCTTCGGTCTCTTCCTGGCAACGCAGAGGCCACAACCCGACCGCGCCGCACCAATCTCTGGAGCGATGGCCTGCCTTGGCCTGCCTAGCTCTCTTGGGACGGGGACCCTGGTGAAAATCGTGCCAATCGTGCCATCCACTGGACGTGCTCACGCTGGCAAGCCGGGCAGGCCTCGCGGGTGCTCAACCTCGCACGCAGCCTGCAGAGCTTGGACTCCCAAGTCCTGCAAGCGTCCTTCTACCGTCCGAAGCTCATCTCTTCATGCAGGGATGTGGAGCGGGCTGAACAGCAGGCCCACCTGAAACGACAAGCCCCTGCCGACAGTCCTCGAGATGTTTCGAAACACGAGAGCTCGCTGATGCCTGCGTGGGCAAGAGAACCAATGGCGCGACTTGCGGACGGCAAGACCCTGCTGCGCATCTGGAAACACTCATGGCTGTCTGGTTCGCAAGTCGATCTGGCGCGATGGACAGGAAGAGGGGGGGAGTGGAAGACACGCTCGTTGCACCCGCTGGGTCTCTGACATGGGGTCCATCTTGCTCGCAACAACTCGCAACGACCCGCCGGCCCCCCCTGTTGATCTTGCCGAATCAGTCATGGTCGGGCATGGGACTTCCCAATTCTGCCATCAGAGAGCACGCTAGAGCCCAAATTTCTTTGGTTTGATTTGGCATTGGCAATTGGGATTGGGATTCTGCATGTTGCTGTGCTGATCTGATCAGCGAGGGATTGCGCCATTGCACTCAAGGTAAAGGCACTTCTGTTTCATGTCGCGTGAAGGTCGGCCGTCAGGGGGGAGGCAGCCACAGAGGACACGGCATATTGCTTACTGCCTCCAGCTCCTTTCTGCAGGTCGAAATTGAATAAGGCCACCATTTGGGGAGGGGAGGGGGCCGTGGGCGTGGGCGTCTGCCATCTGATGAGTATCATGAGATGGCTGCCCGAGTCCGAGTCCTTCGACTCCAATTACAGTTGCCCCGTTGCCAAGTCGCGAACGTTTTTGGAGTCCAACTGGACGGCGCCATCCCGGATCGGTTGAGGGACGGGCACGCAGAAGTTAGAACGTAGAACCAGCTTCTGGAAGCTAAAAGGTTTGATTGATCTCAACCGCTCGGCGACGGCGCGAAATCGCTCAGATTACCAGCACAAAAGGTTACCCCTGACTAGTCGCCTGGTGGGATGCGGCTGGGCCTAAAACTCGTTAATCGAAACGTCCAAAGGCTGCTTGTGCAGATACGGCTTAAGGAATGGGCCTGATGAGTCGGTCAGCCTTAAGAGGAGCAATTAAGTCGAACCCCATTCATGGTCTATTCCCAGTTCCGCGGTTCTCATTACTCTGGCTGGATCGCGGAATGGCGTCAATCGCCGACCGTTGGCGAACACGCCCTGGCCTGCCTGCTTGATGGTACGGGGCTGCCCAGGTGCAGTATTCCCGACAGCGTCTGTCAACGGGTGCTGGGTTGCTGGTACCGAAAGGGACCTACCACAGTAAATGGTAGTATTAATAGTATGTATTGTGTCCTGTGATTACCCGGTTTGGGGCCTTCTTTTATTTTACCTTTCCCTTCTCCCTTTTTGGCGATAGCCGAAGAGTTCGAGACCCAAAGTATCGAGGTGACTGGCGGTCGATCACTGGATCTGCCACAGCGCACGGCCGTGTTGGTCCTTGCCTTATGTTCCTGGTCAATCCTTTCCTATCGGACTCGCAACTCGAAAACGTCATTTGCTTTCCCTCCTAGACGCGTCAAGTTGATTGCTAGTGATCGAAAGCGGAGCGAGTCAGTCTTTTGCAGGTCCCATCTCGGGAGATCCGCGTCCGCGCCAGCTCCTCATATTCTCCTATGGTACGAGGTGCGGGCATGCAAGATGAGCTTGGATGGGGGGCATCATGAGACTAATCTAGTCACTACTGTACCTGCTAAGCACGCGCACGGGCACTAAAACTAGGTACATAAGGTTTTGTACCTAGCTAGGTGGGCGGGCGCTCTGCGGGCGACACGGAGGTAGGTTAGAATGGCGGACTGTCACGTCGGGCTTACTGAGGAACAACCAAGAGGCGGGGAGTATCTGTGCCTCTTCGGTCAAACAGCGGTTATGCCAAAGACTATGTTGAAACTCATTCTGTGTATGGAAAATCGTTTCACCCTACCGAACACGAGGCCAGGGCATGCTCCCAGAAGCTGCTTGGGTTACGCGATAAACTTCGACTTCCGATCAATAGCCCAATGTGCCTCGGTATACTCTTAGGACTCCCTGTTCTTCCAGTGCGCGTGACGCCAACCGGCCCTGCCCGGAACCGCTAAAGCCTACGTGCCCGTGCTCAGACGCATCTGCCGCGGTAGGTTCTGGCATGAGTATATACACCGCCGGCTATCGGCTTCAATCTCTTCAGCAATAATTGACTGGCACTTGGTCGATCTGACAATGGTGGATGGCTTGCGCTTCAACAAGCCCAGCTGCTCGAACGCATACTGACAGCCGGACTGTACGTATATAGATAGATAATAGATAGATACCAAGGTTTTGATAAGTCGGATATTTCTGCAAACTATGGCACGTGCAATCCCTGCCTTATTATACCACTCGATGACTTTCTATGCTCTGTCTAAGCATGTATTGCTACGACTGGTCAAGACTACTATGGTATGCGCCGTTTGTGATTAGTCAACCACAAGGGAAATGCGGACACGGATCCGAATACGGCGGTGACCTGGTTAGTCTATAGGATCGGCGAGCCGCAACGCGAAGGTACAGGCGCTGATAAACTCTTCTTGGCACCCGTACGATCGTTGCCGCGTGGCCATTCAGCACATCACTCTCACTTCACATGCCAATGACACTTCTAGACCAGGTTGTCTAGTTTCTATGCACCATACACGTTAACTCGGGCACGTGCCGATCCTTCATCCCCGTTACCCCAGATGCCGATCCTTATGAATACAAATCTAGGTATGCATTGTGATACCACGGTATGCCTTCGGGACTATATCATCCAGGTGCGGTCCTTGCCCAAGACTGGCGTCAGTATCACATAGTATCACATTTGCATACCACAGATCCCAAGTCAGCCCGCCATGGTCGCACTCGGACTTCTTGCCTGTCTTGCGCACTTTGTGCTCTTTACCGGGCACACCACGGCCGCCCCATCTGCCTCCACGACTAAAGCATGCCAGGACATTGATAGTGCACTACCTGACCGACTCTCCTGGCCCCTTGAGCTGCTTTATATTACTGAGACTCAGGAGTACTGGTCCACTGCCCTGCGAGATCTGCGGCCTGCTTGTGTCGTGCATCCTAAAAACACATCCGAAGTGGCGACGATTGTTCAAATACTGAACAATTATCCTGACGTTAATTTCTCGGCAAAGAGCGGTGGGCACGACCCTAACCCTGGACATGGCAGTGTTCAGGATGGCGTCTTGATCGCTTTGCGAAAGATCAGTGGCGCAACCTATGATGCAGAGACAAATTTGGCCTATGTGAAACCTGGCGGCGAGTGGAATGATGTGATCGGGGACCTTGAGCCGTATAACGTCACAGTCGTAGGAGGTCGACTTGGTTTGTTCTTGGAAACTCTTCTGAGAAATATTTTCAGCCAGCTAACGCTAAGAAGGCATTGTTGGGGTAGGCGGTTACCTCTTGCAAGGTGGTATCTCCTTCCTGAGTGCACAATACGGACTTGCTGCTGATGTTAGTGTCTCTCGTTTCGTCGATGCTTAAACTGACGGACTTTGTCAGAGTATTGTTGGTTGGGAAACCGTCATGCCCAATGGGTCGATCATCAATGTCGACGCATCTACTCGGCCTGACCTCGCAGTTGCTATGAAAGGAAGTGGTAGTCAGTTTGGTAAGTGGTTAAATTGATCATGTGCTTATGACCTGGATATTGGACACAACCAACGCGAGAACAATATTCACGAACTGAACATACTCCAAGTTACCACTGGTTGATCTTCAACCCCCACCCCTTTCTGGCAATTGCTGCAATTGGCAAGACACGCACTGACTGTGTTCTAGGCATTGTCACACAATTTACCATCGAAGCACACCCTATCGGTGAAGTCTGGGGAGGATTGCGTATCTACGACGACACTCAAAGAGAAACACTTTACACGGCTTTGCACAATTTTGTGCCCAACGGCGCAGAAGACCCCAAGGCAGCCATCATCTTTACCGATGTACTAGCGGTCGGAAGCATACCGGTAATCATAATCTATTACTTCTACGACGGAAGCGCGCCGCCGACAACTGGAGCGTTAGCTCAGTTCTTGGAGATACCGGCACTGGTAGATCAAACGTTTCCTCGGAAATACACGGATCTACTGCAGTCCAACGGGGCACCAGCCGCTTTATTGATGTCTCGCGTTTCATTCAGAGTAAGGGCCTCCTTCTAGAGGCCGAAGCTCCGAAGTAAGCAACTTACGTCTCAAGCTCAATACAGTAAGACCTGCGCGCCGCCTCCTGATATGGCAACGGCCTCGACGCGGTGCAGCATGGAGCAGGCAGAAAAGGGACGAAGCCGTGCGTCTTCTACCAAGTGCCGCAATGTCCAGTTCGTCCGAGGGAAACTGTTCACTGTTGTCGCCCCAAAAAATGTCATGGGCTTCATCGGAGGCACGGTACCTAGGTAGATAAAGGGACCTTGCTCCGGAAGCTCCTCCAGCACTAGTCAATCCCTGTTGACGTCGAGCAGAAGAGTGGAGCGTCATCGAGAGCTCGCCGGCCGGGATTCAGGGATTCACAGGGGGGGAAGTACTCTGACGTTGGGTGTAGCTCACGTACAAAGCCCAAGTATCTCCCTCTCTGCGCGACCAGTGCCAAGCCCAAGCTTGATCTTTAGCGGGCAGGCACTGCACTGCAACCTGTCACCGAAACGGCCGGCGCATCTTCGCATTGCGATCGCATATCATCATCAAGGTCACCATCGCCATCATTATCAACATCATCCAATTCTTCATCCCGAGACTCATCCTTACGGACCCGCATTTGTGCGCGGCCACGATCTGCGCGAGCTAAAGACATTACGAATTCTATCCGCACCCGACTCTCCTTCACAACTTCGTATCAGATCCTCCCCCGTTACCGAGCAGACCCCGGCACGCTCCTTGTACTACTACAGCCGAAATAAGCGACGATTGCCGTGACAGTTCAGGCAAACAACAGCTGGCCACGTTACCAGCGCATCAAAGCGCTTCTTCCAGATAATCCCGCCGCACATGTAGAGAATGTCCGGGCTGTTCCAAAACATCAAGGAGGTCTTCTCCCCAGCTCCATCGAGAAAATTCAATCCCGATCCACCAGCACCCGCAGACGGCGACACTGGCAACCTGAGCGACGACAGCATGCCGCGCGGAACCAAAAGAAAGCCCGACCCTTATGATGTGGTCGACGACGACGGAGGTGGGTTTACCAACCGGGATACCCATCAACGGCAACTTATTTTTGTTGGACAGCAAGCTAACACATCACTACTACTCACAGCCGAGGAATCCGCCGTCCGAACCCCCTTGGCTCAACGACTGAGCAGATCGCGCGTGTCGAGTGAAGTGCCGTCAGGATCCAAGCCACGACAGTCCGCTGGCAAGATTAGTATGTTGGTTCCTTGAAACAATGAGGAATTGGTCCAGTTCTGACTTGGTACAGAGCGTCGCAGTCAATCGTTGGCAAAGAGGTCAACTCCAAGAGGCGGAGCTCCTGTCGTCAGCCCGGAAAAAGCACCAGCCGAAACCACCAGGGACGATGACGATGACGAAACGGACTCTCGAGCATCTAGGGCACCAGTGGCAAATATGGGCGGCTCTGGTAAGTGTTCTGCCATGGCTGCCGATTATCATCAGCGCACTGACAAGTCCAATTGTGCAGAACTCACCAAACAGGGAGCCGAAAGCAAAGACCAGGAGAAGCTGAGTGAAGAGAAGCCAACTGAGCAAGACGCGGAAAAATTGCTCGTCAAAGCTTTAGACGAGGGTCGAAGCGATGGCGCCGACGGCGTGCATGAGGTTGAGAAGTTGCTCCGACACCGATGCATCTCTGACGGAACTGTCGAGTTTTTGGTCCACTGGGCTGGGGAGAAAGAAGAAGAGGCCACCTACGAGCCTGAGGACGCGATTCAAGACGGTGCTGCTGAGATGCTGTATGAGTACTGGAAAAAGCTTCGCGGTCGTTCTAAACAGCTCTTTGACAAGGAGAAGAACCGCGAGGCTTACTTTGTCTTCAAGATCTTGGACCACAAGAAGGAAAAGTCGATCATGTCGATGAAAGTCCAATGGGTGGGATATCCAGGTACCGACGAAGACACGACCTGGGAGCCCGAGACAAAGCTCAAGAAAATTGCGAAAGAATCATTGGACAAGTACTGGGAAGCGCAGGGCGGTCGAGAAAAGTACGTGGGGAAGCGCGGCCGAGGCAAGAAGGCAAAGATTGGGTAGGCGTCACAAGGACACACATGCTACTGGCTAGCTAATGTTGGCAACCTATCTTTCTGAGACCGCTGGGCTTGCCTGATTGCCGTACCCTGAGGGTAGGAATGGTTTGGGGTTTCCTGCTGGAAAGTAGGCTTGTATTAGTGCCGTGTGCCAAATGGCATCCTCCAGTCGTTCTGATGTATTTATAGTTTTCCCAGGGGACGAGTTGAGCCAGGAAGAAGCCACTTCCCAAGGAATTTGACCGTGAGAGCGCCACATAACGAGAATTATTCAGCGCGGCGGGTCGTACCTTGGATGTGAAGGATCGTTGATTATCTGGCATGATGGCCAGCCCCGGTCATTCAGCTCAAGCAACCACCGGCATGACTGTTACTCAAGTACATACATAACTAAGCAATAATGTCTATTCAATGCATCAGTCACTGAAAGCAGCAGCTTTCCTTATCCGGTGGTGCCCAAATCCGGCACACTGTCTCTGGCACAAAGGATCACGGGCCAGAACTATGGACCAGCAGGTATTTTCTTTTTACAGAAAGGCTGCATGCCCACCATAAGGTAGCTATCTACCTTGCGAAAATGCGTTGTAAAGCGTTGTTTGGACTATCTGCCTAGTTGTCTACCCTAAACGTAGATCGTCCTGTCAGACTATGGCGGCTGTCCTACCGCCGCCACCACCCCCAGGGCCTGGTGCAGGCCAAGGACCTGCCGGAGTATTTCACCGATACGAGAATCTCCCAGCCGAGCTTGTTAACATGATATGGGATCAATACAGGCTGGATCCCGGGGTTGTACATCATCACCTCCTCGTCCACGTCCATCCGGGCACTCGCAGAATGCCACGCGCTTATCTCTGCACAGATCCGTTCCACCGAACTGTGAATGATAACCCGATGGTGAACCGGAACCCACGACATCACCCTCCCACTATTGGAATTCCCTTCTCCAACGGCGTCGTCAGGCACAAAATTGAGTTGCCGCGAGGGATTCGGCACAGGAGGCCGACGACGACCTGGGCTAGGCGATGGGACGGCTACCCTCAATTTAGGGACCTGGCCGTCGACATGAGTCCGCCGCACGTATACGTCCACCGGCACCACGACGTCTTCTACTTCGACAACGAGTTCAGCTACACTGCCAACCACTACCCGCACGTGCAGATAGCCCGACGCACCCCGCTCCAGTTCCTCTCGTCTCATATGTCTTGGGGCGCCACCCGCAATGCTGGTGAGCTGGCCGCAGGGGGTCGTTTCAGCTGGATGAGGAGAATTGGCAAGCTGGCGATGCGGATGGAGCGCCACCCGGCTCCCGGTTACTTTGCTCGCTGGTTCATCGACAACGCGGCCCGCATTATAGCCTTGTGCACCACCCTGAGGCGCCTATACATCGTCATCGACTCGCTGCGGCCAGGCTGCACGCTTCTGAGCAACCTAGATGATGACAACACCGCCGGCAGGGACGGGTTTGTCTCGTACAGAACCTTCCTATACAGACACAGATATGCCCGCCAGTTCGTACCTGGACACTTCTGCAACTGCGTCTTGCCCCCTCCCGAACTGTTTGACGGGGCCTTCCCTACACTTGTCCGCCCACCGTGGATGCAGGACGATACGCTTTTGATCAACCTTGGGATCGACGTGATTATCATGCTCATTCGAACAAGCAATGCGCCTTACCTCGCCAATAATTGGGATTTCCGACATCTTGAGATTCGCTGGGTAGTCGATAACTCTTGACACGCTCTGCCTTGGAGGCGGGGACTGGGTAGGGACTAGTCTGGGCTTTGTTGATATCCAACCCCATTGCGCTCGGACTACTACCCCCGAAGGACCCGAGAAACCAACGATTTATCAATGATAATTTCCCACTCATTCAATACCTTCTATCCTTTGAGTGTTCAGGTTGAAAGTCCGATTAGTTTGACTATTCACAAGCCTTGACTTTAATACTATCAGCATTCCCCTTGGCATTTTCCGTGTAGGCCTACGCTTTAGAGTGTAGATTAGGATATCCATATGGTTGTTCTGTGCATCAACTCTAGGAGCTAGAAACATAATAGCAACAAGAATTCCATCCATAGTACAGCCAGCCAACTTCATCAGAGCCTATATGCAAGTCCACTTTCGTGAGACCCAGCCTCTGCATCTTTATAAGTCGCAGTGAGCAACAAGCGTTCTATGGGATATACATTTACTGGTTTCGAAGCCAATCAAAGCGTGTATAGCCGAAGATCCTGGATCGTGGTTGCTTTGTTCCTAGGATAATACACTGTGATTGCAAAACATTGCATTGCGTTTCCTTTTTCAGTCTCGATATAACGCATGGTAGTCTATCGATGTGGCTAGTGGCCGTAGACGGGAGTTCCCAACACTTTCCTATCTTGGACGACACCTCTTAGGCTTGGCGTAACTGTGACCACGTTACGTCGGAAAAGGCAAAGCCCGAGACAGGTCAAAACCAATACAAAGAACACAAGGAAGAGATGATTGAATCTAGCCAGTCACGAGGTGGAGATCGAGTACTCTGTTTCATCGAGATAGGAGACATATCCCCATGGGTGCTACTCACCCCAAACCCGATTTCCCACACGGGGTACTGATGAAGTCAACCTAAGCCACGGGCTGAGGACAATGTGTGACTCGTATCAGCAGGATTGTTGTCAGAAGCAGACTTTGCAGCCACACAAGACATGAAATACTCAAGCTACATCCATACTATACCAGCAAACGGCAACGGACAGACAGATACGGGCGAGAAACCCAGTTGGCAAGGGGTTTCGATTGCCAGCTAACTCACTATAGTCTTTGCTGATCATTGTCAGGCATGTTGGGTATTGAAAGCACAGAAAGCTTGCAAACGAGGGTAGAAGCCTTCGCGAGACCTAAGAATGTGTGAAAAGCGCTTGTGTGAGACGAGTATAGTATATAAGTCAAATCATTACATTGATCATTATATATGCCAGAAGCCACATGTCTATATGCAAATTGGTAGAGCGAGACACGTTTCTTATCCATAAGTACCGACTGTATTCCCAAGTCACGAGCGACTCAAGTCAAGAGGCAATTAGCCTCCGAACCTCCTGGCTGCAGTCGTAAACTATACAGTGCCCCGGGCATTTCCGATACTTGTCGTGTTGTATGCAGAATTCGAGGCAATCGTGTCATCGGGTGTTGTCTTTGGCTTTTCAGAGGTTCTTTTCGATTTTTTGACCACTGATCACACCCTTCACGAGGTTATGAGCAGCTCCAAGGACGTCATGAACTAGGCCATTCGACTCCGACGAGCCGCCGAGGGCCTCAGCAGAGTTTACTGCGGTAGGTGCAGGGCTAGGAGTGGGCGGGAGAGTGCTGGCCGCTGTAGATGCAGCACTGGAAGCAGGGCTCTCCGTTGAAGGCGAGTTATCGTCGGCAGTCTGCGCGGCACGAATGATATCGGCGCCCTTTGAGTTTGTCAGTGGAGTTCAATTGAGACATTGTGACCGCTGCGAATGGCCTCAAGATGGTAAAAGGGAGAGACGGGGGCTGGAGCGGAATCACGAACCTTTTCTGCTAGCGCATACACTACAGCCTGGATATGCGCGGAGGGGATCAGGGGAATGATAGCCGAGTTGACCACGCGGAGATTCTGCACTCCATAGACCTTAAGATTCGTATCCACCACACCACCGTTCTCCCGTGGCATCATGGCCGCTGTGCCGCAGGGGTGGAACTCTGTGCCAAGGCCGGCGTTGACAAATTGCTGCAGTTGTGCCTGGGTACCGGAAGTGAGGCTGGCTTCTGGGCTTGGCGACAGCTGCTGCATTGCGGCGGTCTGGACGAGCCGGGCATTCCACTCCAGGCCCATCACCATGACATCGCGATCGAAGGGGTGTGCACCGAACCGAGGGTCGATCTGAACTCCAGCTAGGATATCGGAAGAAGTAGGGCGGACGTAACCGCGCGAGAACGGCCGCTGGGATGCGACCTGGAGTGTACCAATAGAGTTTGCCATGATCTCAATGGCTCCCTCGTTAGACTGTCCGAGGGACTGCGTTAGGAGTGCATATTGCGCTGCGTAACCCCTGCGCAGCTCCTCTGTGTAATCTTCTGGGAGATAGGTGTTCGGGTCGGCATTATTGAGGTCGTTCACAGTTGCTTGCCACGAGTCCGTAAGCGAGGAGAGAGAGAGATAGGCGATAGACTCGATGAGGGTCGCCGTGAGAGGACCCGTTCTGTTGCTATAGTATTCATCATACGCAGTCTGCAGTGCGTCTCCCGTCAGGTCGCTGGCGGTGAATAGATTGGCATTGGTGTCTGCCGCGGATGTTATTCAAGTCATTCGCACCAAGAGGTTAATTTATTTACATAGTAATTTGGGGCCACTTACATTGATAGGAAGGGTCAACCATGCCATGATCATGGAGATTGTTGCCCACACCAGGCAGATCAACAATTGGAGTGATGCCTAGGCTTTGAAGCACCGAAGAAGGCCCAATGCCGGAAACCTGTAGTAGCGCAGGGCTCCAAATAGCGCCAGCAGCCAGGATAACTTCTCGTGTGGCAGTTGCATTCAGGGTGGTAGCTTGGTCGATGGCATTGACGAACTACAGAGAGTTAGTGCGGCTGTGCTACCAGCAGAATTTCGAGAGATGAATAATGAAAGTTGTGGGACGGGATATTGATGAGTCTCCATGCTACTTACTTGAACACCCTCCACAAGGGGGTCTGCTGATCCATCGCCCTGGTCGAAGATTAAGCGGGTCACTCTTTGCTCGATGGCAAGGTGGAGGTTTGTGCGGCTGATGGCACTATCCAGGTAAGCAGCACGGGCGTCACAGCGAGACTGGTTCGTGGCCGAGATGCTCGCGGGTGGAAGTGTGACACCAACGTTAATACCTCCTGAGGTATCATTCACTAGATCCAGACCAAGCTCAACGTTTCCTTGGACGAAATTATCTGTACCTATTAGTATAAACCCCCAAAAATTAAGCAGCAGGGGGTAACCCACTGAACTGGCTGTAGAAGTAATCAGGGTACGCTATTTGGACCGGTCCATTAGTACCATAGAGCGAGGTATCTGGTGACATAATCATCTGGCGCCCAGTAGTTCCGGGGAGATTGTCCGTAAATGTCTCGACCTGTCCAATATGAGCCTACAAAGATTCGAGGATAAAAGTGTCGAACGGCCTGCTTACTCTCTGGAAATACGGGAGCATATCGCTCCAGCCCCAATCATCATTGCCCAGGTCACGCCATGCGTCGTAATCTGCTTGAGTCCCACGTGTCCAGATCATGCCGTTAAGAATAGTGCCACCGCCGACGACATGACCTTGACTTAGGGGTCTTGGCTGGTTGTCTAAAGAGGATTGGGCGACAGTCGTCAGGTTCCAATCATATTGCGAACCTACTTCAGCGCCTATGTGTGAAGGAAAAGTCACTCCCTCTTCTCTTGAGTCCCTGAAGTTGTGATTAATGGACGTTGTCTGCGCCAAGCTGTCTGCGGCGACTTACATGCGGCCAGCTTCCAGAACGAGCACATGTACTGTGGCCATCGACTTAGCTGCTTTTCTAAACACGCGCAATGCGGAATAAGTCATACCATTGGCATCCTCGGTCAATCGATTCGCAAGGACAAGACCTGCCGGTCCGGCTCCTACAATGATGTAGTCATAGCTTGGCAGTAGGTTTTGCGGGAGCGTAGCTGGCTCCAGAAGAAGGCCATGCACCACGGTAAATAGACCCAAAAACGGCAATAAACCTGCCAAATTTGGAACTGGCATCGTGTCCGAGAAAGAGACTCCCCGACTCCGAGTTAAATGAATGTAATGGTCAAATGGGTTGTGTAGATTGTGCAAAGAACGACGGGTGGTTGGCGACGGCCGCAAGGAGTGTGATACGCAAAATGCGTGTACTGTAAAGAGTGACGAGGCTTAAGGGCCGTTACGTTGCGAAGTCAACGATGAAAGAATCGAAGATCTCGAAACCCAATATGAGCTCGGCACCTGGCCGAAAGACGTTGAAAAGCCCATCAGCGCCGTCGAATACCGATCGGCATGTAGGGCATACTAGCTGAGCTAGTTCCTGGCTAACGGCACCGTCGCTACGGGTTCGAGCAAACTTTGCCCTAAAAACCACTGAAACATGGGGACTAGCCACTTGTATAGCCCCTAAGACGTGGACCCGGGCAAGCCGTGTGCCGGTCTTCCAAGATTTTAAGCGGGAACTGCGGTACATCTCTGCAGCCTCGCCTGTATCGGTCGAGCAACCCGTGAGATCGGTTATCCGAGACAACCTGCCAGCCGCGTCAGTCCCTATCTACCCCTGAGGTGATCACAGATCCCTGTAAGGTCATTGCATTAGGCCATGACATCGCCAAACCGCCATGCGGTTTTCACTGACTTGGGGGGTGGCACAATCTACGACTAGTCACTGAACCACACATCCTTTAATGTGAGATTTTCAGAATATGAATGGGAAAACATTTAATTCTCGCCCTGCTTTGTTTCCTAGCTGGTAAGGTTTTCAACCTGATCTCTCAGACAGCCCTTTGTCTCCCGCGATGGGAGTACTGAATGGTGACATTATGATGCCTTATACATCTGCCGGTTTATCTGCCTGCGTTAGAAGAGTAGGTGATGTCTAAGCAGACCTTGGCAGACGTAGTGACCCATCCCGCTATCGCGGTGTAGGTAGAATAAGCAGCATCATTGCAAGTCGCGAAAATCCTTGTCCACAAGACAAAAAAAAATCCGAGGATGATCGTCGGCGCTGATGGGTCCTTTGACGATAGCGTCGATTGCCAGTGGGCGATTCAGGCACAAAGGCACTGTTTACTGGCGGAATCCTTGTCTCTGGAGGTGGACTACGTCATCCATTGAGATAAAGAGATTGTGCTATACCCTTTTTGACGGCGTGTTCTATTCAGACCATAAATAGAGTTTGCTAACCCCCAGAAGAATTATCTGGTGAGATCCATCGACGCGGAGCTCGAATACGGGATTGTTGACACATGGGGCGCATCCCTGTGAATTTTACGGAACACTCCCCAACGACGCCTAGTTGGGTGTCCTAGACGCCAGTTGAGGGCTTATCTTGCATAACGAAATGCAGTCACAAGCACCATCACCGCGGTTGAAAACCGGCAATAACCTCGTGGTCCTAGCAACCAGCAATTACAGCTCGGCGAAGCACCTAATCCGTGTGCTAGTCGATAACATGGTAAAGTATATAATTGTCCCTGATGAGGTACCAGACGGCTGGCAATTCAGGGCAAATGGTAGTCTGTCCAGTCTTCCTCCTATTCCTCGAGGAAACGGAAAGTATTACCGTCTGGAGCGAACAGGTGAGACGACATGTCCATTTTTCCCGCGAACTACTAATGTTCCTGAGGAAATTGACAGCATAACGGATCCAAACGTTCATCACGATATCCAAATCAACTACGCAGAACTTCAAAAGGTGCCTTCCCGAATTCAAAAATGGTCTGACAGTCATAACAAACACTTCACAGAAAGAACCACCGCTGTGACACACCCTTCTTTCAAGAACGACATGGTGATGCGCATTGTTGAGTTCCCCGAATCCTTGTGGAAACCAGAGGTAAATAGTCCTGGGGGCCGACGTCTGACACTCACAGAAAGGATGACAACGGAGTTCCTCATTCAACAAAGGGCCGCATCTAGAGGGCTTGCGCCCGAAATTACCGGGCTTGTTACCGAGGCTGGCAGGGGTATCATCGGCTTCTTGTCTGAGTTCGTTCATGATGGGAAATCTGTTAGTGACTACTGGACGTCTCACGGCAAGCAAGAGCTGGATGACCAAGATATCGAAGCATGCCTTCAGTTAGCCAAAGGTCTGGCTCGGCTTAATATTTATCACGGTGATCTCACGCCCAGCAACCTCATACGTCGAGATGATGGAACAGTCCTCGCAATTGACTTTGAATTCGCTACGGATTCTAGTAGTCTTAAAGATGGCTCTGCACGGCAGGAGGATGAGTTCAATGACCTTAGACTCATGTTGATCAGGAATACTCTAGCCTCTGGGGATTCCTCAAGTGATGAAGCTTTGCAGTAGCGAAGTAGTTGATTAAGAGGGTAGGCTTGTTCATACTAACTCTAGTTTTTTTGCTTTGTTTATCAATTTCTCTCTATCAGGCCCAAGCATGGTATATCACTAATCCACATGGGTCGTTCCATCGGGTATTAAAAATCGTTTACCAGCAGAGTTTAAGCAATCGGATTTTAGCTAATAATCACTGCAATTTAAACAGCAAGTAGTTGGAGGTCCCACTGTCATTATAGCGTGTGAATAAGACCTAGATGCTTGCAATATGTCTATGGACTCAGGCGAGCGAGACCTAGGACATGTTAGTTTGGCTCTATATTCTATTTTCACGACATAGAGGACGTCGACGTTGAGTATCGCTGCATTTAACAGATGGCCACTTACACAGAGCGATCTGATAGGAGAAGACTACCACGAGACGATTTCTGCGCAACTCATTGCCACTTTTCACTCAGCGTGATGATCTTCGCCAGTTGGGTTAGTTGCTTGCTGTTATCTTCGCTATCTTCACTGCCTACGCTCCTGGCAAAAACCCCATAACCTTACAAACCAAGGCGAAGATGCCAGCTCGTTCGCTGAGACGCCTCGGTAGCAGCTCAAGGGAGCGCTTCTTGTCCCTTTTGGTTCTTGGATTCAATCAGTTATGTACTTGATAATGTCATCAATCGTTATGCTCACAGGTTCTATTTAGGATTTATGGCAAGGACCGTAGTCCTGTGTACAGCAAAGGTTTGTGTGTTGGGTGTGTCGACTTGTCGGTGATTTGCCGATACCACCAGATCCCGAGCGTGGTCCAATCATCAGACGGTTCTGTTGCTGGGATGACTGGAAACATTCGATACACCACTTGCGTACGATGTAACCTTAACTGGCTTGTTGAATTTGTTACTAGGGAAGTGTTGCATGGTTCTAGATCATGTCTTCTACGTGGGTAGTATTTAAGTTGTAGTTGCCACGCTGACCACGAAACCGGTTTCGTAATTTCAACTGTCGGCAGTTTTCGAGCGATTACATATCACTGGTAGTCAGGACAGTTCAACAATCAAGTGTTTGCGACAGAAGAGACTGCATTATTCATGAGACAACTGTGTAAGTTGGTCTTCTAATGAAACACCCTCCCTCCTCCTGGACCCCACCAAGCGTCCACCACCGCTTCAAACCCCAGTGCAGCCCATGGCGTTCATAACCAAAACCCGACCGAACCGAGACGATGTTGTGCAAGATGAGGTGTAGCAATTCGCATACAGCGATACAGCGAAGTCGCTTATTTGCCGCAGCCGGAGCAGGAGCAGCTAGAGCCGCAGTTGCCTACGAGACAAGATCAAAGTCAGCATCGTGCGTGAGCCGTCAGCCGCCCGAGGCGGGGTAGTGCAGCGGGGTAGCCGTCGATGGGCCGGGGCAACTTACAGCTGGAAGCGCTGGAGCATCCGCATTCGCCCTTCATTTTGAATGGTTGGTGAGTCTAAAAGTGACTGGAGATGTGGCTTTAAGTGTGTTGATTGCTTAAGATGATCGAGTTGTGATCTGTTGCTTGATGGGAAAGGAAGATTCACGGGAGGTTGTAGGGTCCAACAGGACCCTTATATAACTGTAGCGCCCCCTCATCCGTCAGCCTCCACAAGCGGCGCGTGGCCAATCAGATCGCATGGAGACCCTGAGCGGTTTGTGCGTAGATGCGCGTTTTGTGCGTGGAATCGCCCCATCCTACTGCATCGGTACGTACCGTTGACTACCACATCATGCGCCCCGATCCCCGAGCCCGACAAGACGACGATGCTCCAGGGTCCCTTGCCCAGCTAGGACTAAAGATTCATCTGAGACCTGCGAACAACGAGTGAGCATTGGTGCATTGGTGCGTTTTTCGATCGTATCGATCGATACTGTGTACAGGTCTTTGTTCCCCCGGTGTGATTCAAGCGTTGCGCGGCAGCCGCCTTGCTAAGTTGGTTCCGATAAGCGACTAGTTAACTTGGCTGTCATGTGCAACGGAACTTGTCCTTTATCAGCGGGATACTATGTACACGTAGTTCAGTGCTGGGTTGCTCCTCACTACAGTCACTGTTCACTACTACAGACAAAACTGGTTCCCTGTGGTGCGTCTCACCTTACTACAGCCGGGGCGAGGCGGTACGGTCTGTTCTGTAAGTACATGGTCTCACAGTTTTGCCGCATGCCTGCGGGCTTTGTGCGTGAATATCAGCCAGGTGATCCAGGGCTACCTTTGTTTCGTCTTCGGCCGTGACGCCATGAGGCGCACAAAGCGCTCGCTGCAGCCTTCACGACGACGAAGGTGGTGGCGAATGAAACAGGAATCCCATCCAGGCTGCCAGCCCAGCTGTCAGCGCCAAACCCCCAAATGCCAGAGGTCACACACACAAGCCCCCGCTAGATCCATATCACGCTCGATTCTACAGATCATATCCGAAGCTGGGGGTTCGGGTCTCCGCTACCAGGTTCTAGCCCCGGGACCGGGAGCATCACACTGCAGTCGATGTCGGCTTTGATTCGATGGCCCGGCAGGCCGTGCATGACACCCCGGTCATGCGTTACATCGATGCGCCACTGATACCATTCGGTGGGGTTTCTGGAAGTCGGCATTGCCAAGAATGTCGGAGAAGACCGGCCGGGGATTACGGCGCATAACCGTCTCAACATTCGGTACATTCACGATCAACCGGTCTGGCGATGGCGACTCGGATCGATTGACGCGACTAGGGACCCCTAAGCCACGCTGCTTATATGCATTCTGTATAATACGTCCCATGCATTAGCTCCCTTACGGAGCAATCAGAGCCTACACGATGAAGCCACACCTCCGCGCTGTTTGAACATGATGTGAGATCATTCCCCGTGGTGACAGGTGCCTGTCTTCATTAGTTTGGTTGACACACGAAAGCTGCGTCTATACTTTGACTAGGCGATATTCATTGTTGTTCTATATCGGCGCCTCTTATGAATGTGATCCATGTTCTTACTGCCCGTCGTGACATTGTAGGACAGGAAGACTTTGCGGATTCTCATTCAATACGCAGTGTGTATGCAGTTCCGCTCCCCGGAACAGGGTTTGACTCCTAACTCGTATGGCAGCTCGGGCCCAACATGCCGTTAGTAATGCTTGAATCAAACATCTCCATACGCATGAGAACCACTTTTTCATCCAGACCGCAAAGGTCTACAGCGAACATGAGTCCTCCGATTTGGACTATCTGCCCTGCCTCAATATCGCTCGTTTCGATGAGGTGCATCGCTGCGACAGGCGCTATGCATTTTGAGGTCTTAGAATCGTTAGGATGACCCAACGGCCTCCACTGACAATACCGGCAATCTAACCCAATTCCAATCTCAAAAGGACATCGCTTATGATGGGAAACTTTTTTAACGTTTGATTCGCCTCTTTTTCTCGCCTTGCGGGTTTTCAGTCTCTTGGTTTTTTTTGTTCTGCTGTCTTGCTTATGGGCATAGAATAAATCTTTCACCCTCTCGATTTCCTCTTCTATGCGGCGTCTAAAGATTGACCATGGAATGTCCAATTGGAGCTTCTCTCGAGTCTTCTTTATTCGGGCTTTGGCTTCTTTGACTTGTTTCGACTCTTTCTTAGCCACATTCGGCTTCTCCATTGCACATTTCTTAACTCCCCGATGTGGCTGTATTCTTGTTGGTCTTCGCGAGTCGGTCTTGCCCGTATCCGACGCGCATGTCTCTGAGATGCGAGCTTCTGCGCGAGCCAGTTTTCCACATTCGATTGAATAATACACGAGACATTCATGTAAAAAGTGCTTAACGCAATAGGCCTGATTAGGAAGTGGAGGCCAAGCGCGCGCTTGATCCAAGTCCCATTGTGAGGCCGGAGAAATCGCAATTTCGTCGTCAATGACCGCTGCCAGGCATCCATAAGGGTCTCGTGGTAGATTAATACCGTCAACAATTGACTCAGAATTCCGTTTCCTAACTTTACTTGTTGAAATCGAAATTGCGCCTGCCATTTTGTTGAAATGAACAACGAACCAGGCAATTTGGAGGATGAAGCGATCGATTTGACCATGTCGGCGGCCAAAGTTGAAATGCTGCACACCAAAACGACACGCAGATAACAAAGAAACCTCCCAGTGCACTGAATGCGGTGTGTATCATTGCCCAATCTCAACAAAGACAACCTGGCCCAAGTTGTTTGAAATTAGACATGAAGCTTATGTAATAACGAAAAGCGTGACGATGGGCATGTTGCGCAATGAGGACAGACGACTTCAAACGAACTCATTGCTGCTAAAGATAATATCGCACAAGACATGACCTGAAGCCAACTCAGAAGACATGCTATTGAACCAAAATAAACTGCTCCTTGTCCTGGGGGCATATATTGATGAAATACCTAGCTTTCTTCGAGCATGTTGATGCCAAGTTTGGGAAACAGCTCCACGCAACCGACGTACTAACGAAGTCAGCGACCGGTCTTTTGACGGTGGAAATCACACAATCGCAGCCTCATAGTTGTTATAGTACGAAGTTCATTCATAGAACGAATGCATATAGCCTCATAGTTGGAATCAAAGATGGACCCGATGTTACTTCTCTCCGTTTATTCAGGGGCCGGGAAAGTCACAAGTCATATGATGTGTCGAGCCTGGCCGGAATTCACAAGATCGAAAGGATGCACTGATCAAGTGATATGCAACTTGAAAGTCAAACCGCGTATCTTAGAAACGTCGCTGACAGCATACAACAATGACATTAGTGCTTCCTACATGCTCTTTTCAATGCTCTCATTGAATCCATTGACCCACTACCGCTTTCTTGGACCATTCCGGTGGGATCTCAGCCATTCACAACTGTCCTCAGGGTCAGTGGAAGCGTTGCGTCAGCATGAACCATCACGGTGATTGGTCTCTCTTTGCAGCAAAAAGGGAAAAACCAACCTAATCACGCTACAGATACCGTATGGCCTCCAAGTGTATTCCTTGCTGTTTAAGATGCACAAATTAGGTTAGCTCATTTATTGATTGGATTATGACTAGATTTCCCGTCTGGCAGTCACGAAAGTAAAGTGGTAAATCTCAACAATTCCATGATTGCGCAAAAAACATTACCTTGAGTCTATGAAACGAAGAAGGCTCTACGAGCAGCCACACTTACCTTAATATACTTAATCCAGCGAATGTCTTGAAAAGCTATTACTGGCTATCCAGGGAATAGAATGTAGCCTCGGACGAACCCCAAAACTTCTTCACGTACCACGACAGTGCGTTGTCCAGGGTACAAGGCCACACCGTCAACCTCATTATTGTCACCTTTTATCAAGAACTACTAGCTAGGGCAAGGATCTGCAAGAGAACCGCAAGGAGACGGGAATCAAGGGGAGATACCCTCATATTCAACATCAAATACTCGAATTCTACGGCGCACCATATGTAAGGGATCGTTCTTAAACTGATTCACTGAAAAATCGCCTGGCTCCACGAAATCTGACCAGTTCCATAAGAACAGCATGTCGTCGCGTTGGAAAGCCGGCGCCATCGACTCGGTCACAACGCAAATTACATAGCTGGTGAGCTTGTGAGTACCCAAAGTCCCCTCCAATGCATGAAGGTGGTACTAAGTGAAAGTAGCACAGTAAGTGTATCTGATAGGGGGAGACAAATATACGGGTTGTTTGGCTTGGTGATGCGCTTGGCCTACGAGTCTTCATCCTTGGCATGGAGGGGAAGCACCTGTAAATAAACCCAGCGTCGTTGAATCACGGGATGGGGAGAACATTTAAGGGGCGGTACGCTGATCCTCATAAGGCGCGCGGCAGTGCAGATGTTGATGTCTGCATGCTGGCGGCACAGTTAGCAGGGGGGACAGGATTCGTGGCTTCGCAAGTGGGAGCCAAGGAGCCAACAACCTTATTGTTCCCCTTGAAATGGACTCTACACAGATCAATTCGGACCCAAGATTACCATATTACGTCACAGCTGTGGGTTCGGAAATTTGTCATGCAGACCCATAACTATTGAGGTGGCCATTGCAACTAGTGTGCGGTTCCTTCAACATAGTTTTGTTTCCTGCACATTTTGATATCGGTTGCCTCTCAAAATTTGTCTTAACACGGAACTCAACCAAATTTGAGCTTAACTGAATCTAAAATGGAAATCGACTTACAATCCCCGAGTCCACCTGTGAATATGCTGCAGGACTATGTGTCCTCGGAAGAAACATCATTAACAATTCATTGCCACGACCAGACCTTCAAGAATGTAACTGTTCTTGGAAAAGACGGGCATCCAATTTTCAAGGTTGAGGGCACCACCTGGGGTACTTCATGGAGCTGGCGGCGCAAGCTCATCGACAGCGCTGGCCACCACGTCTGTGACTTCCGCCACAACAGTTTTGACATCAAGAACGGCTGGACAGTCGAAGGCCCGAGCGGCCAGAAGATCGTCTCATTGGTTCACACAGCTTTCCTGAAGAAGGGACATGCTGCCGTCACGGCTACGGTGCGCACTACAGCTGGAGAGGATGTCTCTGTCGAGATGTCACCGAGAGACCGCGCAGCGCTCTTGGTTACGATTGAAGTCGGTGGCTCTACAATTGCATCGATTACTAAGATTGCAGACAATCGTTATGTATTTGGAGACCCGCGGGACCGGAGTGTGTGGAACGTGAACGTTGCTGCGGGAGTCGATCTCAGCCTGGTAAGTTTGCAAACCAGTGTTTATCAGGCTATGAATTCTCCGTTCACCTTCTTACAATTCTCTAGGTCATGATAATGGCGATGTGTCGTGCAGAGATGGGACACGTCTGGAAGGATTAACTCATTTTCATGTGCATAAACTAAAGGGAGCTGTTCTGCATAACTTCAATGTTGGCTAGGTCGCGAAAGGATTGCAGTCGTTACGGTGTCAAACTCAATCACACACAGGAGACATGAATTTTCGTTCTCTAAGAGGCCAATTAGATAAAACGACGATCGTAATGCAGGAGAAATATACGTATCCGTGAAGGGTAAGATCCCCCTACAGAAGACATTTGGTCTGCTAAGATAGTGGCACCTGTTTCTGTTTATAGCTCATATATGTGCCTCCACGACGGAGGCGCTTATGAGGAATTACTGATACCGACCTGTCCAATAGTGGAGTGATTTCAATCCTTCGGAAGGACCCGTAGGTCGTTTCTAGGAGTTGCAATCCTAAACTACAACATTATCTTTATAGGGCATTTACGACACAGTATGCGGGACAATTTAGGGCTGTGATTGACGTGAATCGTTTCGCGAGTTAGGATCTATCTTTATGACTATTGAAACTCTGGAGCTAGTGAAGTGCTTCAGCAAGTAAATGATAAGCAGGTGAGTTGAAGATTTCATCAACTTCTAATCTTGATGTGTGGAAATGAATTCCTTCGTCGCATCGACTCCTATGAATCTATCATGACCAATCAGTATTCTTCGTTTATGTAACAGCCTGCGTCACGTACACGCATAGAAGTATTTCCGCAAACTCGTCCACGTCTTTGCCCTTTCCATGCTCTAGAAATTTCTCAAATGAGTAATTAGAAATGATGTAATGCGAGCTGCTTTTCCACATGCGATCGAATTCGGAAGGTGAGCCGGCCTCCCATAGAGCACGGGCAAGTGTCCAGCGATGAATGTAAGCCCAGGGTCCAGGGTCGTCTGCGTCTATGTCAATCATGGCTCAGAGTATAAGAGATGAAATTTGTAACCTTCTTCCTCAGGCTCCTTCATAGTTTCGTAGAGAGTAATGACTGAGTATGCTATCACAATGGTCCTCCGTACAGACTCAGCGAACACCCATTGCTGGAAACAGGCGAGTTAGTAAGCCTTTCCCTGGGCCAAGGTTATGAAGAATTGTGAGAAGGGAAAAAGAGAATCACCCACTTCCCACTCCCTTGGCGGCTGGGTACGAGTCGCACTACTCTCTAGTTGGGCCAACTCTCCCAAGTTATCACGCATATTGCATAGTTCAGACAGCCATGTCTGAAGCAGAGGCATATCCTTTTCGCCTTGAGCCCGCATGGTGATATTCCCATCAAATAGACGGATTGTCTGATACATGAATAGTGTTTGAGTTCGAGCAAGCTTCTCAATGGGTGCTGCGAAGTTACGACCGGCTTCCACATTGATGAGCTCGCGTACGACGCCATGGATCGCTCGCATTACCATGGGTGTGTTTGCCGGCGTGCGGTTCGCGTAGAGCACGCTGGTGGTGAAGCATGATAGCATACACTGAGGTGTGTAGTCTTTGTACAAGCATCGGTGCAAGAAAGGTGTGGCGCTCGTCCTTGCCATTTCTGCCGTGAATTCTTTGACGCGGTTGGTAATGTAGTATAATGATGACTTCGGATCATAGAGATACCATGGTTCCATTTGATCCTGTACTCTGTCAGCCTTTTCCTCATTATGCGAACTGTCCCGGTCTTTGGCCAAGACAGTTGATCCATTCTAACTTACACAGAAAGACTCCATCTTTTGGTACGATTTGACAATCTCTTCGTCCACTGGGGTGCTTGGGTGTTCAGTGAAAAGACCCTCATGCGTTGGGACAAGCCATTGATCAGGCGCCGTCCCATGATCGTTATTAATAAAGTCTACATAACTATCCATTAGGATATCACCGCCCCCAGAAGTCACTGTGGCTGGCTGAGCTGTGGTTTCATCTACTATCGGCGGCTGAGCATCTGTAGACATGCTTCCAAAATAGTCCACATCGAGTGGCAGGCTAGGTATAAAGCTAGAAGCTGTGGGGCTTCCCAATGAAACGACGTCCGTGTATGGTGTATGCTGGGTTCTTTGCGTGTCGTGGTGACTTGGCGCCTTGGGCTTGCTGTAGCTGCAGGAGATCTTCTTCTCCGAGCAGCGAGAACATGCTGGCGTCCGCCTGTCACATCGTCTTTTCGTCTGAACACAGTTGTTGCAGTTTTTCTGCCTTGATGCAGGCATGGCACGTCCTGCGGATATCTCCATTGTGCTTCGTGTTGCAATACGGGATGCCAAACTTCAGTGCGCGGAGAGCTTGGTGGTGGAGATCGAAAGAGGACTCATGTCAGCCGTAAGAAAGTCCGCAACTCCGCCGCCAAGTCCGCCAAACTCCACTAGCCAAAGTCATCAAGTTGAGAAGTGTTCCGTAATATGGTGCCTCGAGACAGGTATCAATGTAACTTTAGAACCCGTATACCTGAGTCCAGGAGAGCGTCGGCCAATGGATTTAGCGAATTTACAAAGCAACATTAGAGTTGTAGAAATTTGAGACCGGTCTAGCCTACTTTGCGTTGACTTGGCCAGCATTACGTTCTGCCGTTTGGTTGCCTGCCATAGCGTGCATATCCCCAAGCCACGGAGGACCCTCCACCACTGTAAATAGCCGGAAGCTCCAACTGCACGTACGAATTGCCCCCCTTACGGGAAATCACGCCTTTTTGAACTGTATTGTCCTCCATGACTCCACCTTCAGTCAACACCTGAAACAAGCTACAAAGATGTAACCTGCAGCGACATTGGAGGTCGAAAGCAGGGCGCTTCTGGGCGGTTCAAATGGTGAATGCGACTTATGGCCCAATGGTCCCAAGGGAACTAGAGAAGTTGGAGGATCAATTAGTGGGATCCGACTCAAATCGGGCGGTGCCCATTGGCAAGCTCCTTCTACCATGCCTGATTGGATGGAGGACGCCAAAGATTGCGCTTGAGCTCCGACAGGGGCTCTGAAGTCGAAGGATGGACGCTAGCCGAGAGTCCTCATCAGCACTTGAGACCGCCATCACTTTTCCTCTAATCCATAAAGACCTGTTATAAGAGCATGACTGCGGTGACACACGCCGTCGCACGCACAATGAGCTCGCCGGCGACTGTCGCTGTTATTGGTGCTGGTGAGTGAGCCGCCTACAGCGCCCGCCGCAGGGATGCATGTTTGACGCAAGTCTGACAGCCGCTAGGGTCCAGTGGACTGTCCATGCTCAAGACACTGCGAGAAGATGGCTTCAGAGTCACCTGTTATGAGCGAAGGACGCAAGTCGGTGGCCTTTGGGCTTACACTGACGACAAGTCAATGACCACAGCCTTGAAATGTAAGTCTAGGTCACAATCCACTAGACTGCAGTATCTAAGCTCAGCATAGCCACCGTTGCCAACATCAGCAAGTATACTTGCGGAATGTCGGACTTCCCTATGCCCGACAGTACGTTTATCTACTATTTCGAGGATGGAAAATTTCGTCTATATACTAAAGCCTTCAAGAGTATCCTCACCACTTGAACCAGTGGGAGTTCCAGGAGTATATGGAACTCTATGCAAACCATTTTGACCTGCTAAAGGACATCATCTTTGGTGCTTCTTTGAAACAGGTCACTAGGAACCAAAATGACACTAAGTGGATTGTGGAACTCGAAATAGGAGGGGAGCCCCATTTTAAGGAGTTTGATAAGGTAGCTTTCACCCATGGCTATCAAACCAAAGCAGTGACGCCAGATCTCCCAGACCGGACGAAGTTTGAAGGCGTTCTGATTCATACTCAACAGTACAGATCGTAAGTACAATTCAATAAAATGGGTATCCAAGTTACTGACGTTCTTAGTGCCGACGAGTTCAGGGGGAAGAAAGTTGTGGTTGTAGGAATTGGCAGCACCGCTGGCGACGTAGTTGAAGAGTTACTACCTGTGGCATCCACAGTGTACGCTTCACATCGGCGAGGCATAGTCATTTTCCCACGATGGCGGAATGGCACACCGGGAGATCTCATGATCAGCTGGCGACGGCGGCAGATCAATAGCTTTCTGCAGAAGAACTTTCCAAACGCTGCCAAATGGCTAGCCGACAAAGCTTTGGGTTTCATATTGCATCAGACATGGGGCCGGCTCGACCCCACCTGGCGTCTCCAGCCGTACCCATCGGCCGTCTTGTCATTGCCAGCGTCTTCAGAAACTATCATTCCAGCCCTCAAGAATGGTACCCTGACTTCCTTGCATGGATTGAAGCGATTCGTTGGCCCAAAGGCAATCGAATTTGACGATGGAACCATCATTGACGATGTGGATGCCGTTATTTGTGCGACAGGCTACTCTGCGGACTTCAACGTCGCGCCTTTCCTGGAGAGAAGCAGACCTGCTAACTATGGTGGCGAGGACTTGGTTAGACTGTGGATGAATATGTTCCCTCCAAAATACGCTGATTCGATATGTCTGCTGTGCTACTCAGCCTATGGCAAGAATAACGGTTTCTCTTTCTCTGACGTATCATCCATGGCGGTAAGCAATGTTTGGCGAGGAGTCCATCCCTTGCCGCCGCTCCCAGATATGGAGAATGCCATTGATGCACACCACGATTGGGTTGCATCGCGATGGAGGATGGACGACAAGATTGATGTCTCTATGGTTAAGCAGTACCAGTTTCAAGGGTTTATTCATGAAGCAGCGGGTACAGGCATGGACAACTTGGGATGGGGATGGAAAGGGTGGAAGTTTTGGTTCAAGGATCCGAAGCTATACTATCTGATGAACGATGGAGTCGAAACTGCGCACGCCTTCAGGTTCTTCGAGACGGGAAAACGGAAGACATGGCCTGGGGCCAGAGATGCTATCATACACATGAATGAGGCTGTGAAGATATTCCCATTAAAGGAGAAGAGTCAATAAATGTAGACATAGTTCAGTTCCTCTTTTCAGTCCCTCTGGCCAACGTGCAGTTGTCCATCGGTCCCGAGGTCCTCTAACCAGGCCTGCAAATCTGCAGCAACACCTTCTACGAGCGCGTCCTCAACAACTTTGCTCTGCCAACTACAACAAATGACCAAATCCTTGCCCTTGACAGCAATAGGACTGAACACAATTGCCGGGCCAAGAGCAGCCGAGCTCTGAGAGAATAGCGCTCGGTCGATGATCCAGTCTTCCTGCTTTTCAGATGCATCCTCTCTCGATGCCACTGTAGCGTCAATCACGCCAATGTTACTAAACTCCCATGACACTGCTCGAGGCTTCTTTGCCTCGTCCTTCATGTAAGTTCTCCAATCGGTCACCAATTTCGCTAACCCCACAGTGTCATTTCGTGGTCCCCTTTCAAGCTTTTTAGAAATATCATGCCTGAACTCTTTTGCCACAGACCATATTATGGCCTCAAAACTTCCATCCACATCGGCATCGGTCTTTGACTGGATGAAATGCTGTCGCAGCTTTTCCACAATGGTCTTGTCGAACCTAGAAGAGAAATAGGTAACGAAGTTTCCAATGGTCCTGTCAGGCCTGAACTCCGAGTCAACTCCTGGAGATGGAGTCATAAATCTACGCAAGTCGATTGGGGTACCAGACTCAAAAGCCTGTGCCTTCTCTTTAGGTATCCGTTTGGCCATGGAGGCGAGAGTGAGGCCGTGCAGTAAACCGGTTAATGTCGTTTCTCTATGGCGACACAATTGAAGCACGTTTTTCAACTCTGTGTTTTGGATCGTAACCAGACATAGTCGCGTTTGGTTTGAACTGACTTCGAACGGTGCCCAAGATGCTGCGTAAGGATTGGCCGGGACTAAAGACGGCGGACGAAAGGCTCTCCAGCCCTCAGACACTATGAAGCCAGCCGACAAAGGGAATTTGATGAGTTTTTCCAGGGGAGGCGTGAATTGGAGCGATTTAGGGAGTTGAAGTACATGCTCGTTCAGGTCGATAATACCTGTTTCAGAGGGTGCGACATTGAGTTTCTCAAGCAGGGTTTGATGGAAGATCTTTCCGCTCATCCCATCAGCTATTGCATGGTTCCACACGAATAACACGTCCAGCGAAGTCAGATCCGACGACTCCAGGACAATGATTCTCCATGATGGGCGTCTCTCCAAATCCGGGAAGCGAGTGTCGTGCTTCTTCTCCAGAATGCGGCATACAACCTCGTCGTACTTCTCAGATGGCTCTACCCTCTGCCACTGGACCTCCTTGCCCAAATCAATCGAGTTGAGTTTCACCCACAAGGGTTTTCTGGATCCTTCATTGGCTATCCCTGCTTGCAGGAATGGATGGTGTAAGATGACTAGAGCAAGGGCCCTCTCGAAGACGTCCCTCAAAGTTGAACCTCGGAGGTGGAGGTCTGAACCCGAGGCACGTGGAATCGCATACCGGCAGGTCACTCCACATGCATAGTAGTATCCACGCAGATGCTGCACCGACTGGAAACCTTCTCTTGACGATGTCAGCTTCTTGTAGCAGGAAAGGGGATCATGTCACTAACACGGAACCGAGCCGCCGGAGGACATTGGGTTTTTTCGTGTCGGAGGCCTTGCCAGCCCTGAAGCAAGACATGTTGAACTTGGTATTGAATGCACTATGGAAACAGACGATCTCTAAGTTGTCCTCTCGGACGCAGATTATATGGCATGTTACAAAGAAACACATAGACCATCACGAGGTTTGCGCACGGAAATGGACCCACTAGGGAAAGGACAAATTATCGGGGCCGTCGGCCTCCGCAATGGCTGGGGTAGAACACGAAGGATCCTAGCACAAAACCCGATTACGGTTAGGCACCAGCTGATGCATGAACTGCTTCAGGGCAAAACTGCTAATAAGGTCGAAGCCATAGCAAGCAGGGCGGACTTGCGATCCCTGCATAGTCTGTAAGGGGTAAAAGCGTAATCGTATGTTGGTTGCTGGCGCCGTTTGGAGTCGGCAGCCGAATGCGAGGCCCACTTCGCGCATCAGGCTCTGTGATTGCAATAGAAAGGCTGTGATTGGGCATTTCTAGAACTGTCATAAAGACTGGAAGCAAACACAAAGCTAGGCAAATTCGCGTTAACTAGCTCTGTATAAAATCTCGGCTCGTGTGTTGTGCGACGCGCATAAACTGGAAAACTGCAGCTGTAGGTGGATCGAGACGGGTAGAACAGAGCGGTCTTCTTATATATCTACACGACACCATCCATGCCAAGTCTAATCCGATGCCGTTCTCCCCGATCTTCGCAGACCAGCCTGGTCTCGCCTGACATTGACTTTTTCTTGAAAATTCCGAGACGAAGTATATATATATCCTGTAGAGTGAGGTGCAACGAAGAGATGGCGGAAGTTCCCATTGCTTCGCAAGTCCAGAGTACAGCAATTCTCTATTTAGTGAATCCATCTACATCCATCAAGAAGGACCAGGCCAAAGCGACCAGTGCCGTCGTGACGAGGTAAAACCACCAGACCATGCCCACTACTCCCTCATGAACACCCATAGCGAACACCCAGCCGCCGAGAGCCGGCCCAACCGCACGTGCCAGGCTAGCCAACATGTTACCGGCTCCATGAATGGTTCCCAAACATGTTTTCTGAGGTGCCGACTCGGTCAAGAGAATGACCGTGCTCGGAATAGCCATCGTCCGAGCCATAATCTGGGCACATACTACGAGGCCAAGGAAGATCCATCGCGCGTCGTGATCTCCAGCCACGAGTGACAGGTAAGGTGCAGCTGCGTATGTTATCGGGAAAAGCACCAGCGCTATCCGGAACACACCCAGTGTCCCCCACCGTGCCTGCATCCGGGGATATATGAACAGCTGTAGGAATATACCACATACTCCAAATACGGACAGCCATATACCGATCGTGGCGGATCGAAGGCCTAAACCACCACTGAAAGCAAATAGTGTTGCCTCGCTGTTGTCCGAAGGGGGGCTGCTCAAGTAAACCGGGAAAATGTGCATGAAAGTGCTGTTGTGTAGAGGCAAGAGTCCAAATGACAGCATAGCAGAAATCACCTTGCGGTCCAGGATATCTCCGAGTGATGGCTCAGGCTTCATAGAGCCTTTCTCCCCATGAGACAACCTGACGATGGTTTGTGCTCCATCTGGCAGGAGTCTTTCCTCCGACCCATCGACTATCGTGTAATCCTCTTCGGCTCTGTATGGTGAAGTGCCACCGAGGAAGCGGCCTATCATACGTCCGATTCGGAGTCCATAGTCGCTATAGCCTTCTTTGCCTGGCAGGGTCTCGCGCAACCCGAAGAATGCTGCAACGAGTGCCACTGTCAAGAACATCGCATTCATGAAAGCCGGCAGCGCGTACGGATATGTAAGCGTCCATTCAACGCCATCGGAGTGTTTATTAGTGTTAAAAACCCCAGATGGACCGAAGAGCCACGGCAAGTTGGTTGCAGGCTCGGCGAGGAAGCCGCCTAGCGCGAGGCTGGCAACCATACCAGAATTGAACACCAATGGCAAAAGCAAGAATGCCTTGGTCTGGTACTTGCGCTCCCGGACTATCTCTGCCGTCACCGTTCTCATGATGCCCACATTGCCATTGGCAAGCCCAGCAACTATCCTACAGAAGAGCAAGGCACCGAAGGATCTAGACAACCCGAAGCCGACATTCGCCACAGTGGACGCAAGCAACCCTATAAGGATGGATAACCTCCGGCCACGTGCGTCGGACAGTCGGCCCCATGGTAAACTAACGGCAAACTGGGCCAGGGGAAAGGCTGCGACGAGCAGGCCAGAGTACTCGGAGACGCGTGCAGCGGTGGCATCGGGCGTCTCGTCATTGTCAGTGGGCAGCGTGGACCGAACAAGGTAGAAAATGTACGGTAGTAGGCAGACGTTGGACAAAGGCTCCGAGAACCGGCATAACGCTAGGATGAACAACTGGTCCTTGTTCGGCAAGTCTCTCCATCGCACGCGCCGGGCGCTGACTGGTGGTCGCTCTGCCGTGTCTGTCTCACCCCCACACTGGGTGTCTGTCGCCGTAGCGGTGCAAGCTGACCTGTCACGTAAGAATCCCTGTCGGCATGTGTGTCTCAATTGCTCACCTGTGGCCCCAGTTTCCAAAGCGTCGGTAGCTTGATGTCTCATGGTTCGTCTCCCATTTTCCGTGCGCTAGGGTCGGCACGTCCCTTGATAGTAGTAAACTCAATGATGAGGTCTGTCCATCTGTGGAACGCGATGCGATCTGGGGCTTCAGGGAGTTTTATGAGTTCCTCGGAGCTTAGCTGGCCGACATTGGCCCATGGTTGGCCTAATCGACATGGTATGAACAAGCTACCACCTTACCTTACAGTACATTATCACATCTCTTATTAACCATTCCAATCAACCAGACAATGCTTAAACGGCGCCGTCCTCCCTCATCTGGAACCCACGTAAGACTCCCCAAGCTTGGCCGAATCAACTTTACCCGCACTTACCCGGCAGATTTGTTCTCGCAGCCCTAGCTGCTCGTCCCACAGTGGGTGAGCTGGAGCGTGCACCTCCAAGGTTGTCTGCATGTTCATCACACCCGCAGGACACCGTGAAATTGCGGAGAAGTCGCCTCTGCCCGCGCAGAGTGGTGCGGGGATTAAGCATGGGGGAGCACATGGTCGCCAGAGTGGCGGGAGACACGATTCCATAGGAACGGATTGGCCTTAGCAATCGCAGAACTCGGGCTCAGGTTTCGATAGTCCGGAGCTTGTGGCGCTTGAGATGTTTCTTTTTTGGAATATATGCACGGCGGGCTGCCAGGTCGTAGCTGAGCTGCAGGCCGATGAGGCCATGATTTAATGCTTCTGTGGTCCCAATACCCACTGTTGCAGTGTCATCTTGCACTTGGACTCTCGGATTTGACTTCATTCTTATATGTCTGTGCCTTGACGGATCATCATGGCAACCTTGACTAAGTCCGTGGTCAGACTTCATTTGCTGTGTATTTTCTTTGCTGTTGGGTCCTTCGTCTGGGGGTAAGTGGTTCCCGCTGCAACCTCTCGCCTTCTCCGCACGGCATTACTAGGACACCCTACTCAGATGTTAACCTGGTGATGATTAGCTACCATGTTGGTGTTCTATCTTCGGTCCTTGTTCACCCTGGATTTGTTGCCGCTTTGGGCAAACCCACTGCAGCACAGAAAGGTGTAATAACAGCCATATACTACTTGGGAACATGGACTGGCTACATTTTCATCTCCCACCCGGCGGCCGACTATTTCGGAAGACGTTTTGCTGCACTGATGGGCACAGCCACGGTTGCGGTAGGAACTGCTTTTGAGGCTGGCGCAACAGCCCCCGGCGCATACGCGATGATGATTATTGGGCGCATCATTAGTGGAATCGGAGTTTCTATTATCTCTACATCAGTGCCTCTCTATCAAAGGTATGGCTGTGTTTCCGGTGTCAGTAAGCTTTTCTACTAAGACAACCTCAGTGAAGTTGCGCCCGCTGCCCAGCGGGGAAAGTATGTCGTGTTAAATCACATTGGATTTGTCGCGGGTCTGGCTGCTGGCTTCTGGTTCGTATCGCGAAAATCCATGTTATGAAAGTTCTCTAATTTTCCTTACCACGGCTCCTAGGGTTGGCTATGGAGTGACATTTTGGCAGAGCACGCCTCATGATGTCTATGTCTCGTGGCGATTCTCCATCGCCATTGTTCTAATCCCTTGTCTTATATTTGGCACGGGACTTCCATTCCTTCCAGAGACGTATGTATCACGGTTCCCTTTTCGTAGTTCTTCATACTGAGCTACTTCACAGGCCGCGCTGGCTCGTAGAGCATGGCCATTACCATCGGGCACAGCGTTCCCTCCACTGGCTCCGTGAGGGCAGTTACACCAACTCCGAAATGGAAGCCGAGCTCAATAAAATCCAGGACGCTGTGGAAGAACACAAATCATCAACACTAAATTGGCTATCCCTATTCAAGGAGAGAGATCTCTTCAATCGCCTTTGGCGGGCATCGCTGTTGCAGTTCATGGCTCAAATGTGTGGGGCCACAGCGATGAAGTACTACCTACCCACATTGCTCGGGAAACTAGGGGTTTCTACTCGGGTTACACTTCTGATCGGTGGCATCGAATCCACAGCGAAAATTGGGATGACGGTTATCGAAATGCTGATCATCGACGTGGTGGGCCGAAGAACGACTTTAGTTGCTGGATGTGCAGCAATGAGTGCTGGAATGCTTGTAGGTATCCCTCCACTCAGCATGCAGTTCCTTTAACTTACCGTTATTAAGATCAATGGTGCACTCGGCGAAGCATTCCCTGATAACCAAAACAAGACTGCAGATGTTGTCTGTATCGTCTTTATCTTTGTCTATGCTATAGGATATTCTATGGGTTTCGGACCCGCTGCATGGGTTTATGGCTCAGAAGTTTGTTGCCAATCCTCGTCGTCAATTCGGATATGTTACTGACGCACTGGTAGATCTTTCCCACATCAGTCCGAGCAAGAGGTCTTAACTTTTCTGCTTCTGGTGGAGCTATCGGGTCGATAATAGTCGCACAGGTCTGGCCGGTGGGTATTGATCAGATTGGGTCACGTATCTACTTCTTTTTCTTTGCAGTAAACGTTGTATGCGTCCCAGTAAGTTCCATATGCCCATTAATTCCTCTTCTCATGCACTAAGTCAACTGATCAACCTGCAAGATTATTTACCTATTTTATCCGGAAACACGTGGGCGCGCACTTGAAGATATGGATGTCTTGTTCTCCAAGAGCGTTATTCGGCGAAACAGCAACCTGAGCGAAGAACATGAAGACACAGCAGCACCAAAGCCCGCAGCTCATGCTGTATGGTCGACCTAGGTTAGGGAAAGTCTGAGTATTTCTATAAACACTGGTTGGGAGTACTCTTTCGAATGATTGAAAGCATCTTCGTCACAGGTTGATGTCAAACGCACTAGACATGACACCGGTACGAACCGAACTGTCGTCCATACGTTTCCGTGACCTTGTGGAAGAATCTTCAATAATAATCACAATAGTCATCCAGCCTCTGCTGATCGAATCTGAAACGATATATATGATGCCATTGCTGCTAAATTCAAATTTGCCCCCTCCTCAGGTTAAACGTGTCATATATCCTCTTGCCTGGCTCGTCGTCTATCAATGCAACCCACATGAATGATTTCAATATGATCTTCACTTCATTCCATGTCTCCACTTGGCATCTGCGAGCACTTTCATGCCAGTACTCTCCTACCCATGTTTCATCTGATAAGTCAAATACAGCTAAGGCACCCGTCATCAATAGCCAAAGCATCATTTGAGAAGAAGCTGCGCTCTCAGGTTTGAGACTCTCGATACAGTTCTTGAATGTGAAGCGAAATTCATGGTAAGGTGATTTAATGTCTTGCCATTGCACGAAGACGTGATAAGAGAAAGCCAGTAATCCTTGGCGTAGAGTTTCGTTGGTCGAGCCGAACGGGAATGCCTTTTTGAGCAGACGATACATCACCGCAGTCATAGTTTCATGAATTATTTCCAGGCGAATCGGACGCTGGACTTCTGCCCCGAGGTTGACAAGGAAGCAGAAGTTTTTCATGACTCTCCATGCTGTTGCCAACCCACTATCCACATCTTGGAAAGGTTCATCATTGTTGTGGGCATCCAAAATTGTGTCAGAAGCTGGGAGCAGCTTTTGAGGATATGGGATCACCGGTTCTGAGGATTGAGAGAAAATAAAAGGCATTGATGCGTTGAGTAACGCGATCGCAATATCGCATCTATAAGAAATCAGTACCTCACACTGAGGAGCCCGTGTCTCTGCTATCACTCACTTCAATATCTCTGTAAACATGCTCTTGCCTTTTAACGCTGTTATACCTCCTCTCAGATCCACCATTTTGCGGATGGCTTCCATATGCTGTTTTGAAGTACGATAGTCACCATTGAAATGTGCGGCAGTAGCCAATTTCACCACCACTCCAATGGTGGAATCCGAAATCTTGATTTGGTCGTCCGGGCCCGAAAGCCTTTCTTGAAGAATTTCCAGTCCTTTCTGAAAATGCAGCATAGAGGTTAAATTCTCAGTGTACATGTGACGGCGTAAGACTTTCTCAATAAACTCTTCAACAGCGAACACTGATATATGAAGAGCAGCGGCATCTGATCCAATAATGTGCAGCCATCCCTGTTTTTCTGGTTGGTACCCAATTGCTGCAATGAGGGGTGAGATGATCTTCGTGGCAATCGGTGAAACTGTAGGTCCAGGGCGTTAGTCAATTAATGACAGAGAACTTTACTAATATACCTTTAGTTAAGCTTAGAAGAGCTGATGGTTCTATGCTATCGGCCAGCGTAAGGAAAGAGACATCCGAACCAAAGTGGCTAGGTGCTACTGCTTGGTAAATCTCGGCTACTTCACCAAGTTCGACACGCGCAGCATTGATGCGGCCAGTGATTGCACCCATACTGGATGCGTCTCTGGCTTTGTGGGAAAGAGCCTTTTTGGATCTCTTCCCTCGCATCACGTGGCTTCGGATTAGTTTCCTGGTGGCCGGATCAGCTCGTTCGATGTTCGATGTCACAATGAAAGGTATTTCAGTTGACAAAGATCTCCCATAGTCTCCGGGTGAGGCCATTTTGGCAGTCTTGGCTCTTGAGATTGTTAACCCGAGTCGGTAAGGGCACAGGAGTGAGCGGTTTTGCTGGTTATATGATGCAAGGAAGTTGAATTCTCGGTCAGCTGGGACTGCCAAGACATCCTTTGTTTGCCATTTCAGGTATAGCGCCTGCACATTAGCAAGGATACTAGGATTTAGAGACATCATCCTCAACTAATATTTGTCATCCCTCTTTCAACACATTTGTTGTATGTCCTTGCCCTTTTTCATCTATAAAACGTGCCCATAGCTGATATCAACATCATGACAGCTGCAGATCTTATAAGCCGATTTACCAAGATCCCCCTCCACGATTGCAATGGCACAACCCAGAAAGTCGGTATTGATCACCGGCTGCTCAGCTGGTGGTATTGGCGAAGCAATGGCTGAAGCTTTCCTTGAGAAGGGTTACTATGTCTTCGCAACTGTACGAAACTCATCGAGTGTTTCACAGAGTCTCTCTACTGCGGCAAGTGTTACAATCGTAACACTCGATGTGTTATCCTCCGATTCGATTGCCGCTGCCGCTGAGCTTGTCCAGAGAGAGGCTGGCGGAATGCTTGATGTCCTCGTCAACAATAGCGGTGGAGTTCTTTTCCTGCCTGCTCTGGATATCCCAATTGAAGACGGGAAGAAACTGTTTGACTTGAACTTCTGGGGTCCATTCGCCATGCTTCAAGCGTTTGCGCCTCTCTTGATAAAAGCTCAAGGTTGCATCGTGAACAATTCATCCGCTAACGCCTATGCTGCCATGCCGTTGATGAGTCAGTGTATAGTGAGTGAAGAGTTCAGTAGTCTGTCACTGACAAGCCCAGGTGTTTACAATAGCTCAAAGGCGGCACTTGCCATGGCCAGCGAGACTTGGCGTCACGAGCTACGACCTCTTGGAGTTCGAACCATCACACTCATTACGTTCGCTGTCAAGACCGACAGTTTCTCCAAGTATCATCAATTTGCGCTGCCCGAGACGTCGAACTACTTCGAGATACGCGATTTTATATATAGCCTTTCCGACGGCAGACTGCAGGACGGTGCTATTAGTGCAAGGCAATACGCAATTGAAGTGGTTCGGGAAATCGAGAAAGGTTCAGTAGGAACAATTTGGGCTGGTACAAATGCTTGGCTGTCTCGGTTCGCATTTTCCTTGCTACCGCAGTCAGTTATGGTGAGTTTCTTGCTTGTCATCGTGTTCTTGTCAAGTGTTCGTCTAATCAACATATCAGGACAAGTTACTAGAGACCATCATTCCGATTTCTAGCACCATGGCCAGATCTCGAGAGGGCACAAAGTCTAGATAGAGAGGACTATTCCCGAATGACGAATAGTGTTCTTAGGAAGCTGAGAATCGGTATTACAATCAACGATTTTAAATCCCCACTTCACTGGCAACTGTATAGCGACATAATGACGCGCAAGTACCTGTCGGGCGGTAATCTTAAAAGGCTTCAAGTAATCATTCATCATCATTGCGCTAGCTACTAGTTTAGTCTACAGCTGTCGTATCAAATTGCTCAGCACTACTAAAAAACGGGTTCGTGGGCGTCTCATACGTTTAGTTTGAAATGGCATATATAATATCAAATAAGATTACAAAAGTGTCTGGTCATGTTTGCACGAACCGATTGTGCATATTTCTCTGGTCCTTACTACTACACTGTCCCGGGGTTGTAAATGAAGCTCCACGGACATGACGAAACACACCATGGCTGATTGGCTCAGCGCAGCATCAGCTTCAGTAGATGCATAAAGTCAAATTCGCCACTGACGACAAAGTCTAGTACAAACTATCCTCACTTTTCCATAAGTTAGGGGCATTCCTCGCATTCTCCAATATCGTTTATTGTGCAATTTGAGCAAGATATGTTCTGCTCATGCCACAGTCTGGGTTTATTTGCCACCACCAGAGTCCGCCTCCTCCTCGAGCTCAATCAACGCAGACTAATTCGCCTTTTGGCATCAAGATCCTCATCAATTAAATACTGCATTATGCCGTTGCTGAGTGCTCTCAAGTCGGATTCATCTGGCAATGAAGACAGCACCGCCAACCTTCTTAGAACCAACGTCAACCCCTTCCACTCCGTACACGACTGCAAAGATGCGTTGAGCAGAGCTTTTGACACTTTTGGTGATTGTAAAGTACTTTTGATTGGTGACGCCTCACATGGTACCTCAGAGTTTTACGCCGTGCGCGCCGAAATCACCAAGCACATGATCTTGCATCATGAATTTAATATTGTTGCCGTCGAGGCAGACTGGCCAGACGCTGAAAGTGTCGACAGATACGTGAGACGAAGGCAGGGTCCTGGACCGGTAGGTGACGTCGAACCAGCCTCAGAGTCAAGACGAAAGGGACGAGAACCTGCCTTTATGAGATTCCCCACGTGGATGTGGCGAAACCAAGAGGTGCAGCAGTTTGTCGAGTGGCTACGAGACTTTAATGACGGTCGAGATGTACATGACGCTGTCAGCTTCAATGGTCTCGATCTATACTCGTTGGGGACGTCCATGGCAGCCATTATTGAATATCTTGATCACATTGATCCTCAGATGGCCGAAATTGCTCGCGAGAGATATGGCCAATTAATGCTATGGGCCGAGGACCCACATGAGTACGGATATGAAATTGCAATGAAAAAGTTTCAAGGTTATGAGAGGGAAGTCGTTCAGATGCTTCGAGATTTACTAGCCAGAAGAGTGGAGTACTCGGATGCGACCTGGAACGGAGAAGAGTTCCACGGTTCGGAGCAAAATGCACAACTTGTTGTAGGTAAGTGGCAGCTAGAAATATCGCACCGAGCCAAGGCAAAAATATATCTGACTATTGGTGAAATGTAGATGCCGAGCACTACTACAAGTCCATGTACTATGGACGCGACGAAACCTGGAATCTGCGTGATACTCACATGTTTCGGACCCTCAGCCGTCTCTTGAAACATCGAGGGCCCAAATCGAAAGCTGTTGTTTGGGCTCATAACTCGCACATTGGCGATGCCAGAGCGACGAGTATGGGATGGGCCGAGGGAGAACTCAGTATTGGCCAGCTTTGTAAGGAAGCGTTCGGCAAACAAGCGCTCAGTATTGGCTGTGGCACAAATACTGGCACAGTAGCAGCTGCAAATCAATGGGATGGTGATATGCAGGTATGAATAATGATCCGCGGTCTGAACTGTGTGATTTCAATGCTGATCCTGATTGGAAGGTTAAAAACATGAAGCCTGGCCTGCCTGGTAGCGTTGAGGAGCTTATGCATGACACTGGCATCAGTAACTTTGCCCTGGATTTACGACAGGATTTCTGCAGTGAAATGCTGCGCCAGAAGCTTCGAAGACGCCGTCTCGAAAGATTCATAGGGGTTATATACAGACCTGAGACCGAGCGTCAGTCACATTACTCAACGGTAATACTCCCAGACCAGTTTGATGGATTCCTATGGTTTGACAAGACGCGACACGTCGGATCTCTAGAAGTTCATCAGCCTCAAACCAAGTTGGAATTTGGAGAGACTTGGCCGTTTGGGTTGTAGCCGATGGAGAGTGGTATGGGCGAATAGCAGATTACGATGGTGCTACTTCACTGCTCACCTCGTAGGTTCAAATGGGGCAAGCTGGTTGGTATCCTTCTCCTCCAAGAATCAATTACAGCGCAGCCTTTTCTCTTTGGAAAGCTTCACACTTGCCGACCAGTAGGTCGCGCTGAATTAATTTCCAGAAGGGTTCTATAAGTTCGAAGCTATAGCGTATTGAGCCCTGGACAACCCCACCTCCGTAAGGGGATGCAACTTCTACCAACCTTTTCAAATTATCCGCTGCAGTTATTGATTGTGTCGTGGGACGAACATTCAGGCTGTGTGACGCGTTGGTGCCAAGGATTCGTCTTCTTAAGTCCCTTCACAAGCTGCAACTGTTGAATGTCCGAATTCTTGCTACAAAATCTGAACCTAGACATGACTGAAGTCTAACCGATGACCAATATGTTCAGAGCCATCCTCACAGTAGTTGGCATCGTCATGTCCCAGGTTGAGTTGGCACAGGCTATCCCGAACGTGACCGTGACTCCTTTGCCGCCGACGTGCGCGTCTTATCCCGCATACGATAATTCGACAGGTCAAGCTGGGCCGTGGTATCTAGTGGCAGACGCGACAGGCTCCTCTATTGATGGGTTTGCGGCAACAGCAACCTATTATACTAATCCTGACTTCCACAGATGGGGCTTCGTAAGCGTGTCGGATCGATAAACACTTTCAAGTAACTGACGTGGCTTCAGATTACCATACCATCTGTTAAGGCAACAAAGAATCCAGCAATGCGCTGTGCGAATGGCACACTGCAAGCGCAGCTATCTACTGGTAATAATAATACCGCATGGCAGGACATCGTGGTTGCAGGCGACAACAACTGGCAAGCTGGGATCGGGTTCGCTTTCCCTGGTGATCAGAGCAAGGATATCCCAGTCCAGCCCTACGCTCACTTTATCAATGGTACCAGACAGCCCGGCGTATTCCTTGGGGCTAAAAATGTGACGACCTGGTATTTCAAGGATAATTGGGCTGGCAACGCTGGCGAATACTATTTGCTCAGGCTGTGGGCCTCAGGCACTGAACTTGAGGAGAAAGATCACGCCGGGTTTTTGAAGTTGGTAGTCTAGCCAGGCGCACAACTACATCATTGAGCCAATACGACTCCAGACTATGCGCTTTGGATTTATCACTTCTCTTCTGTCATTACCGGCCGTGCGAAAAACAATATGTTTCGCCGAGAAAGCTTAATTTCTGTATGTTGATAACCGCCTTCATATAGCGTCACAGATGGCAAAGAATGGGAGACAGGTTCCAAAAACGGATATGAAAATGTTGGTGTTCATCATTTTGCATCTTCCTAAAGAATCATTGCAGCAATCACGGCTGAACGTCATCGGGCCGTGGTTGGTCAGACACCTTTCATGTTTCTTGTAAAGAAACAGAGGTGAATATGGCTTCCAAGAATTCGGTATTTGATTAGACTTAAGCCTGACTCGTACGGACTCTATTCTCTAGGCTTTGCTTTGTGGACGCTGTTGTGGCGCCGCCGCAGCAATTACACCCACCCTTTTGAACCACCTGCGTGCATCCAGTAATAGGTTCACGTGTCTGCTGCAGGTGATTGGGCCACAGAGCACGTGGTCTTCCTGCAATCAGCCCAGGGGCGTAGTTATGGGATAGGTATGTCAGACTTGATATCGGTCATCAACAATGGTTGGCATTGGTCTAGAATGGTCTGCAACGGAGCTGCCTGTGTAAACACTAGAGTTCTACTAATCTTGGAGTCACGTCACCCCCCGACAGGTACAATTTATGCCCGTTGTTTGACACACATCTCACTCGCAGCATCTGACACCATCAGAACACTGCTTTCTGAATCTGCACATGCCCAAAGCAAGGCAGCCACAGTCCCTGGTCTTGATTGAGAGCCACAGCAGAGACTCGAGAGTCGAATATGAAGGCCTTGAGGTATCGGTCATCATGCGATCGGTGTCAGGACACCAAAGTGAAATGTAGTAAAACAAAACCGTCTTGTCAGCGCTGTACAATGCAGGGGTTCGAATGCGTCTACAGCCCACTGCGAACCATGGGAAGGCCCAAAAGACCACCCAAGTCGCCTTTGTCAGGGACTGCAGCAAAGGACGGACGCCCGAGAGCACCAATCATGCCAAAAGAGCAGCAGCCGCCGCCGCCGCTCTACCAAGCGGCCATGGACCTGATCCATCTTGGAATTGAACAGCAGGCTCAGCACTCAGTTCATCCCTCGCCTCTGGATACCAACGACAATCTTGGTGGCTCTGAGCACATGGGCGAAGCACCCAGACGATTGACGAGCAACATGGCAGCGAATGGGCCTGACCTAGAAGTGAGTAGTAGCAGCAGCCCTGGCGCATCATCTGATATCGCGACGGGAACATCTTTGCCTCCTCTCTCAGATAATTCCTTGGGCTTAGGGTTGGTGTCATCCGGCGAAGGCGTCTACCCGCCATCGTGCTACATCGGGAATAGGGACGTTGGAGACTGCTTGTTCCGCCAGGACACTTCAATGCCTTGGTCATCCGGAAACGCGTACGACGGAAATCTGGACAGCCAACTCGATGTGTGGCCTTGCAACAACTCTGCCTCGGGAGGGACGGCCGCTCAGAAGCACAGTTATAACGATACGGCATCACTCGCCACTGCTAACAGGCAAGAGCTAGACATCACATTGGACGTTTGCAACCCTAGCAGGAACTGTTACGTTGCCCTCTTGAGCCGTCTTACCCAGTTAGAGAGCTACCTGGCTTCCAGACCCCTTGAGAATCCAGCTCCAATTGACGACACGCTAAGAGCCACCAAGGACCTGCTGGATCTGAAGGAACGCATTTACTCTTGCCGCGGCCATGCCATTCCGGGCGGCCGCAAATCCCCATCATGTCTCTTGTCTTCTCGACCCATCATCCTCTTCCTCTGCCTGCTCACCGAGCGCATCGTGTACCTATTCGAAGACCTGTTTCGGCGTGCCCCCAGTCTCATTCAACCTTTCACCGAAGCGCTGCAACCACCCGCATATGGTCCGAATTGGCAGCGCTCCATGCGCGCCGTGCGCAGCCTTCTGGACTACAGCTCGACCTGTCCGTTTCCCGACGCCAACCGGCCGCTGCAGATCGGCAGCATGGAAGTCAGCAACGAGGTAAAGACACGGGCGTTACGCAGGATTCTGAGAGGGCGAATTGAACGGCTACTCGTCATGTTAGAGGACATGAAGCGAATGTCCGGCCCAAGGGGAGAGGAGGACGGCGGGCGATAATCGCATTCACCCGACCGCATCCTCGGCCCGGATGGGGGTTGTGGCGCTGCAAACCACGCGGCCTCAAGGCAGACCGTGGCCGAGCTGTATTTACGCGTCGAAATGCTTCTGGGTAGGCTGACTCTTACTGCATGATCTGACAGCCGTTTGTGGTAGAGCTTCCCTGAAGTATTATTCCTGGCTCCAAGTTCACAGTTTCCAGTTTATACATGCTAGTGCCAGGGAGAAGTCGTGTATCATATGGGGACCCGTCCGAGGAGCCTAAACATCAGCATCTGTGCCCTTTTGACGTCCTCAACAATATCATGTGCCGTGGCTTGTTTGCTTTCATCCTCAATATCATTGAGTAGGTCTCCTAGCCTTGTGATGGTGTGTCGCAGAGCTTCATGCACCACCATGCGAGCCTCCTCCGCGTCGAGCTCGAGTGAGCCCAGTGTCACAGGCACCATGGAGACCTGGACCGGCGACGAAGTCGTAGTGAGCACGCTCTCCAGCAGGACCTGGTGCAATTTCAGGATCTGCTCAACGGCGTTGGCTGTGCTACGCAGGGCGGCAGGTCCGATGTGGTCCTGGACGTTGGGACAACCGTTGACGCGCTCCCATTCCAGTACCAGACGGCGACCCAGGAGTAGCGCGCCGTCCAGATATACAGGTTGTTGTTGTTCTTGCTGAAGTCGTGGTTGTTGATGCAGTGGCGTTGATGATGGCGAGGCCGATGATGACGAGGATGATGACATTCTGTTCGGGAGTAGTTCTTCAGTGGTTCGACTGATTTCGGCCATGAGAAGAGACGTTGATTGCTGACATTCGCATGGCCAATGGTTGCCGTCTCCGCCCGGAATGGGGGAATTTGTTGTTTCCATGACTGGAGCCTGCCTTTACTTTACGGTATGTAGACGTGGCACCGGCGCAGGTTGTAGGGAGGGTTGAAGGAGAACACCAAGGTCCTGTATCGAGGGCCTTGCCTCCATGGGCCTGTGCCACAGTCACCACCTGCACTGCAGCAACGATGTGGTGTCTCTAGATGTATGCGCGGAGCAGGATACATTGCTTATTAGGTGCCACGATAATGACCTGACCTGGTGCGTACATGTATGTGTATGACGGGATTACTGTATCCCTCTTTGGGCATCTCATGACTTCCGGTAACACTCCGTTAGAGTAGACTGGCAGTCTTTTCCGTTGCTACATCATTATAAAGCTCTTGTAGTCAAGCCATCGGTGCTGTTGAATGTACGCGACTTTCCAACATGGCCACCAGTGTTTCGTTTGGGATGTTGGGATATGTCCTTTGGTCTAATTACTCCCCATCTGGGAATTCCTTGAGTCCATAGTAACTATTCCAAAATCCTACCATGTCCATGAATGGCACTCCCCGTATCTCAGAACGTGGTTCTGTGTCCCAAATTCTCATTGAAGAACCGCTAGGCCCCAAAGTTGGCCAAAAGGACATGCGCGCCTCCCCGCCGTATAAGGCATCAGAACATCCCGTCCGTGGAACCACGGATGGGATACCGACCCCCACATAAAGGCACCCATGTGAAACCACACTAATATCGGCCTCCTGACGATGGCGGCGTCTTTGACGCCCGTATACATGTTCAGATAAAGACAGTCTTCACTGACCTCGGTCTCCCCGCCGGAATATAGCGACGTCGCTGGCGGTGGGAATTGGACGATGCTGGGGCCAAATTTGCCAGCCATCCGTAGTCCAGCCCAGGGTCGGGGGCTCTGCGGAGCCCGCCATAGTAGGTCTCGCACTGGGGGCGCTGCATATGGAACTCCTAGAAAAGCTCTGGTGCCATTTGGAAGCTCGAGTCCGGAAATTTGGGCGGACTCGATGTCGATTGGGCCACATGGGATGTGCCGAAGGTCCTCGGGATTACTCATATCTTTCTGAATCATATGTTACTGATTTATGCTTCTGAAAGTCTAGCAGACGGACGGAGCTGTGAGGGAGGTTGGTCGCTCTATACATACGTGTCTCAGCTAGCGTCCGCGGATGCAATTCCTGCAAGGCCATCGACAGGATGTTTTCTTCCGCCACTTAGCGCATAGGGCCGTCTTGTGTTCAACCCATTCTTCAAGAAACACTAATGCAGCGGAAATGGTCCTACAGGTATGTGTCATAATCATGGAGAGACTTCATTTGAACTGGCACCGGAAGTGCCGGAAGGGAACTATCAAACTACAGCTCTTTCCTAAATGGTAACCATAAAGGCAAGATGAATTCATCAAGAGGACCCAAAGGAGAAAAGAAAGTCGTAGCCTTGTACAACCGCCTTCCAACCATCCGACTCCGGGTCACCGCTCAGGTCGCATATATGAGGAGCGTTGTCAACAAGCGCCATTCCAGTTGCGACACCCTTCTCTTTCATGAGCTGGTACGTACCATGGCTTTGCTGCCAAGGAATAAGATCATCTGCGGTGCCGTGAATGAAGAAAGTTGGGACGTGGTATCCGCCATTGTTGATATGCGCGTAGGGGCTGGCTTTCCTGATGGTGTCGAGCGTAGGCTGCGGGAGCGCGTTCCAGTCGATATCCGATCCCGCAGCTGTGGCCTTTTCGCGACTGGGCAGTCCCCCAAGAATCACGGGAAGCGTCTGCGCCTTCCAGTTGATGTGTGGAACAATCTTAAGGCGCGGATCGCTGTGGCTGCGAGGGTCCGAGAGAGGTTCTTCCCACGCACCCACCATCTCGTATTTGGCAATCGGCTGATCTAGGATTCCTTCCAGGACATCATATTGTTGGCTCTTATATGGCGCACCGAGAGGCTCAATCGGATTCTGCCACCATGTATCTTCGTAGTTTGTGGGCGCGTAGAAGGCCAGGATTGCATCAGGAGGGCGTAGTCCTCGAGCCGGCGCCGTCCATGCCAATGACATAGCTAACTGGCCCCCTGATGACCAGCCCACCACCACCACTCTCTCACCGTCGATCTGAAGACTTGGGTTGCTCGGAAGCGTCACCTTGGGCAGCTGATTGCGAGCCCATTCAAGAGCGTCGCATACATCAACCATTGGCCCCTCCATCAGGGCAACCTCTGGGCATAGCCGGTAATCCAGACTGACAGGCAAGAAGCCCTTCCTTAGTAGGAGGCGTGTCTGCGCAGGCCGTACGTCTTTCCTGCTGAACAATATGTGACTGCCACCATGTATCATCAGGGCTGTCCGTTCTCTGTTAGCGATGGTCAAAATGAAAAAATGTTAACAGAGCAATGGACTCCATTACGTACCTACTGGCATTCGGCTAGCTGCTACTTCCTCACCCTCCAAGGGATAGTAGACATCAGCATGTATCTCCAGGTCTCCCACTTTCTTATACGTCAAAGCCTCCACTGCCGCCTTGACTGGCCTCTCTGGGGTGGTGCCACCACTTGAGAAGGCCGCAATGACACGAACTGCTTTGGACTCGGGTGTCTTGCCATCACTCCATGACACAGCACCAAATCCAGCCGCCCTCAGTTTTCGTTCCCACTGCTTTTCGTCTATTAATGCATGTTCTCTTCCATCATTGAAAAGCCACCATCCCTCGAACAGGCCGAAAACAGCATCGAGCCAGAACATGTTCTTCGTGATCTCGACGAGCGCCAAGACACCGTCCTCACGCAGCATCGGGCGGATATTCCCTAGCGACACATCGAGATCTTTCGTAGCATGGATACAGTTGGTGGCAATGATGCAATGAAAGGCTCCAACGTGTTCTGGCTTGGGTGGCTGTTCGACGTCCAACAAATCGAAGGTCAGTTCCTTAATACCCTTGAACTGTTTCGCCGTGCTGTTTACTAACGAGGGACTGATGTCAGTAAAGACATACTCGAAGTTGATACCACGACTCTTGAGAAAGTTCACGATGTAACGGGTCGTGCCTCCTGTTCCGGCACCGATCTCAAGGATTCGAAACTTGCCCACGCCGCTTGCTGAGGAGAGTGCCTCGTACAGGAAGTCGCCGAGGACGAGTGTAGGCGCCCTCCACAGTGGCCAGAACTCGTAAGCCTCCTCTAGTGTCTTCTTAATGTCTCGGTCGCCAAAGACCACCTGTATTCCCTCCTTTTCACCACGCAGGCATGCGGCTAATTGAGACCCAGTCGCTCGCACCAGTTTGTTCACCATGGCGTGCTGAGGGTGCATATTGATGATGTCTTGGTAAATGGAGTCGGCCGTTGCTGGATCCACTGGCGTATCTGTCCGTATGAACTCCTGGCCTTCTGATGGCGCAACCAGTCCTCCATCCTCCAACACACGCCAAAGTTGAAGTACCAACCGCCTGTGTTTGTCGGCAGCTTTGATCTTTGGTGCTACCTCGCCGGTCTCCAAATGTCTCAGAGCACATCCTAGTTCAGCAAATGCTTCGACAACGTAGGCCAGAACCAGTCTTGCTTGATGAGGGTAGGCGTTGTCCCAGAACCCGATTGCCTGCGCGGCTTCGGCCTGGCGGTCATAGTTCATGCGTGTCTTTTGAAATGCCTCCAGTGCCGATAGTATAGGAACTTCGGAACTTTCAGCCTCTGGCTCCATTGTGATACTCTCTGGTGTGACGGACCCGGTGGCGCCGTGAGGTGTGTCAATGTCGCTAATGGTGGAATCGGGCCCTGGCTCGCTGGCTTCTTTCACACTAACAATGCCTAGCTTCTCTTCAACATGCTTTACTACGGCTCGAATATTGGGGAAGAACAAGAAAGTCGACAAGTCGATGGTGACACCTAAGACGGAGCGGATATCGTTGAGCATTTCAGTGGCCATCAGAGAATCTACTCCAAGATCTTCCAAAGACATCTCGTCATTGATCTCGTCAAGTGGGACATCGCTGACATTGGACAGCATCTGCAGGAGCTCATGACGCTTTCCAGGCGACCTTTTCGTGACGAGAGTAGTCACCTGCTGGGTGACGAGAGGAAGAGGCGGAGCGTTTTCTAGGATTTCGTCTTTTATTGGTTGCGCTTTGATGCCCGCAGCCTTATTGACACTCTTCAGCATCCGGGCCAATAGGTTCTGTGACATCTTGGTGAAATGGAGCCCAAATACAGCCATGACCATCGCTTTGGTCTTGGAGTCGAATACATATGCATCCGCCATCACGTCGTTATTGCTGTTTCTTCTCATTGTCGCGTAAACAAGCCATTCCCCTGCGTCTGGATCGAAGCCCCCGCCGATTTGAATATGGTCGATTCTCATACACACAAACACCTCTTCCGTGCTTGAATTATTGAAGTAATTCACCATGAGCCCCGCAAACTGCATGAAACTATCGGTCATAGGCGTGTCACAGAGGCGTTGGTCCGCTGGATCATTCGGAGCCGGTGTGATTTTTACTTTTCCGGCCGATTCAAGATCTAGGCAGGCTATTTCCTTGATCCCACGGAACGGCTCGCCGTAGTAGACCACGGTGTTGAAGGCTCGGTATATGTGGTTACCTCGCATCTTTTCGGCGTCGGGATGGCCCATGATCTCCTCACAACGACGGGGGCCTATCAGGGTTTCAAAGCGCTGAAACTCCTGAGCTGATGTCGGTTCATCACGCTTGTTGAGACTCACAATGCCAGTGGAGTGTTCGAAGGGCTGCGAATTGTGACCTTTGGTGTCTTCTGTTGTGATGGAGAATGACCAAGATGGCTGCACAAACCCGGCGTCCTTTTTGAGGACAAGCAGGATCTTCTTCGTAGTTATATGACCGATGGGAGACTTCATGAGTAGATCCTTAACGATTGGCACATATTTCTCCGTTTGCATGTCGTCCATAAGACGCAGGGCAGCGCGGGCTACCAATTCAAAGTAGAGCGATGCCGGGGCTAGAGTCTGTCCAGCCATGACATGACCAGCCAGCATCTTCTGGAAGCGCTCGGACTGTGGATCAATGCAGAAGACGGCCTCGCTCCTGGCTTTGTCCTTGAATTCGGTGAAGGTAAGAAGTTCATGTGTTTCTTCCACATCTGTTACGGGTCCCGCTTCGACAACCGCCGCAGGACCCCTGATCCCAGTGAATTCCAGCCAGTGGCGTGTCTTCTCAAACTGGATAGGAGGCAGGCTCAGGTACTCGTACTCCAATTTCCCGCTGCGGTGAAAAGGCCAATACTGAACAGCTTGCCCGCTCTTCCAAAGATCCACAGTGAGATCAATCAGAAACTCTTGGGAATTCTTAGCAGAAGTGAGCGGCGAGGCGTGGAATGAATGAGCATGAGTGTCCGCAATACAGCCTTTCACGAGCTGTATGACCGACGAGCCTCGCCCTGACTCGATCCATGTGCATTGCGAGAACTTTGCAGTGATTCTCTCGATAGCTCGTTGGAAGAACACTGGGCCCCTTGTGTGTTCTGAAACAATCCTATAGTCAGGTGCAGGATTGCTCCTAAACTCGTCGGTTGTTTCCAAATGAATTTTCGGCTCGTTCCACTCCAGCTGTCTAGCCAAAGAGTCCAGAGGTTTGAGCATCGGTTCGGTGAACTGGGAGTGAAAACCATTAGTAACATTGAGTTTTTTTGGTACGAATTGAGCGCCTCGTCGTAGCGGCATGGGTCTGCAAGAGTTCGATGGACTCAGAAGACCCCACGACGACATGACTATTTGGCCCATTGTGGCAAGCGATCTCAGCATAGTGACCACGGCCCTTGTAATTGAGGCTTTGGAGAATTTCGTCGACAGTCGCACGATTGGCCTGTAAGAACAACATTGAACCTGGCTCGGAACCCCAATTCTTCTGCATTAGAGATGCTCGCCCCGAAACCAGCTTTAGAGCATCGGGAAGTGAGAGCACACCTGAGATGCATAGCGCAGAGAGTTGGCCAAAGCTGTGTCCCACAACGGCATCAATCTTGAGCCCGGAATCAATCCACGTCTTGGCTGAGGCATACTGGACAGCAAACAGCGCCGAATGCAATGTCACCAGATCCTTGATCGGCACCGACCCGAATATTGAAGGATAGAAGCTCTCCAAGCCATTGGAGATCATCAGTTTGTCAACAGAATCAAGGTGTGTACGATACACCTTGGAAGTCCGATATATCTCTTCTGAGATGCCAATGAAGTCGCTTTCCTGGCCTCCAAAAACAAGAACGACAGGTTTTCGCTTTGGAGCTTGAGTGATTCCTATGCCATTTCCAACAGCTTTCAGAGTATTCTCAAGCTGCCGAACAGTACTGACGGTGGTGACAAGATTCTGAGGTAGCGAGTGGTTAGCCCTATCTGCAAGGTTGAAAGCCAGATGAGCGAGTAGATCGGGGCGACGCTCCACTGTGGCCTTTTCTAGCCAAACAAGAAGCTTCTTGCTGAACCGCGACAAACTGTTGGGCGAACCAGAGGAAATGAAAATCGGGTACTTTGGGAGTTTTGCGGGAGTCAACGACTGGCCATATATAGATGGCTTCTGGCGAATCATCACGGCTGAGTTACTTCCAGCCGCACCATAGCTATTGACGCACGCCACTAGAGAGGGTGCCTCCCAAGTTATAACCTCCCGTGTGTTTATGGACATCTGGTCCTGGCTGAAATCAGGGAGCTTAGGATTCAGCAGCTCGAGGCTCGCTTGTGGAGTGATTTTTCGATGCCTCATCATCAGCAAAACTTTCACTAGGCCAGCAACCCCAGCAGTCGCCTCAGAGTGGCCAATGTTTCCCTTGATCGACCCAAAGTGAAGGGGAGAGTCTCTTTTTGGCCCGCCAAAAGCATCACGTATGCTTCGAACCTCAATGGGGTCGCCTACACCAGCTGTATGAAAAAAAGAAAAGTCAGTGATTTGGGTTGTAGAGTAGTGATTCGGGAAAGAATACTAAAGGACAGGACACGATAAATATGAGTGACTGACTTCCAGTTCCATGAGCCTCAACGTAAGTAATGGACTCTGGCTTCGCGCCGCCCAGCTTTATGACCTTTCGAAAAAGCTCGAGCTGAGAATCCGACTGCGGTGCCGAGATGTGGCTGTGGTTGTGATTTTGATTCGCAGCACTCCCGATAACAACGCCTAGTATATTATCGTGATCTTTAATGGCATCGGAAAGCCGCTTAAGGACGACGACTGATACTGCCTCTCCCCGGCAATATCCGTCAGCAGCGGCATCGAAGGGCTTGCACTGCCCTGACGGACTCAAGAAACCGGCGGCCGCAAGATTCCGGTAATCGAATGGACTGCTAAAGACATTGGTGCCGCCCGCGATGGCCCGGGAGCACTCTCCAGACCAGATGGCTCGGCAAGCCGTGTTTAAGGCGACAAGAGATGATGAGCATGCGGTATCGATTGATAAAGCTGGCCCAGTCCACCCAAAGTAATGGCTCATACAGCCACTAACGAAAGCTCTTTGAGTTCCAACTGTGGCGTAGGCGGTTGACGCATGGCATGAGATGTTGTCGTAATAGTTGCTCATAACTGCGCCAATGTAACAGCCATAGTCAAGTGTCGCGTTTTCCGAGGCTCCAAAATAGCCCGCTGATTCCAAAGCCTCGTACACAACTTCTAGCAAGATCCTCTGCTGGGGATCCCACGCAAGGGCTTCGCGAGATGGCTTGTTAAAGAACTTGTGATCGAATGCGTCCGGGTCTTTCAGAAAGTTACCCCACCATTTGACCCCCGCTTGCTCTCCAGTCTCGGACAATTTGAGGCGATCCAGAGGTGCAGGCTCGACCATGGATTTCCCCTCCATAATCAGATCCCAGAGTTCATCGACCGAGTCGGCGCCCGGGAACCTGCCAGCCATACCGACGATAGCAATGGAATGAGGAGGATACTCATGCGCATCATCATAATCTTCGATGCCGGAGACATCATTCGTGCCATCGACACCGTCCGCACCATTGGTTTCGTTTACACCGTGCAAGTTGCCGTTCAAATTGGCATCCGCCGGGTTTTCTCTCCCCAGTTTCATGTTCCTTCCGTTGAGATCGCTCAGAGAGAACATATTGAAGCTCTTTTCTGCCACTAAAGATGATGGGAGAGCATTTCCAAGTCCAGAAACAGCAATGGTGTGCTGAGGCCCAGTGAGGTGCTGGACGGCCAATTGTATGGTTTTGTGCCAGTCTGCCACGTTGACAAGGGCACTTTCCAGAGCCAACCGGGTTAGCGAACCACTTGAAATGGTCTCACCCGTCGCTGTGTTGCGTATCGGTGCTCTTAGGTCCTTGGGGTCTGGAAATTGTAACTCCTTGGACGATGAGACCAGCTCCATAAGCTGATCAACTATACCCGCATGGTCGGGGGTATGGTAGCGGCCGTAAACATGGACGGACTTGGTTCGCAGATGACTCGATTGTGCCCTGGCTATGAGACCCTCTGATTCAACGGCTGGAGCCGTGGCAGTAACACTCGAGTCATCGTTGATACTAGAGATGTAGGCCTGATTGTGAAAATGGTCAGCATTTTCACATGAGATTCACACATATTTTAGGCTCACTCCCGGAGTAGAACTTATCACCGATGCCACGCTTGTTGTATCTGTTGGATTCCCTTGTCTCCACCTTAAGGCAGTCGCCTGGTACTCTATGGGGGCCGAAGAGTATGCCCCATCCAGATCAACATATGCACCAATGCACACCGCGAGGCGAAGGGCTATGGCAGCAGAAGAACCTAGTGCAGATTCGGTCTCAGAAACTGCCACGGCGACAGCACTCAGGAAACCCACGCAGAATCCTTGCACTCCTCCCACTTTTACACTGTCAAGAAGCTTGCGATGTGAGCCGCGACCAAGATGGTCAAGATAGTGTGTATACTGTGTGATTTGAAGAAGGACCGACAGGCCAAGCGCGTAATGATTGGGTAGGTGACCCTGCGGATGATGAATTGAACCAGTGCCTCGGAGTAACTCTTTGAGCTTGCCAAGGTACTTGGCGCCGGGGACCCGACGAAGATTTGGATCGAAATCAGTGAGAGCCCCCCAGAAGTCTGGAAGACCATCTACTGCTTCCTGAAGAGCCAATAGTCGATTGTTGCTGATAAGCTCGGTGCGTAGATCTTGGTAAGCCGTTTCTGGCCCAATCTCACCCTGTGGTCCAAAGACCAGGACGGATGGAAACGCACCAGTCATCTCTGAAGAGGCCGCAGTGCTACACAATAGACTCGATGAGATCAGTCAAGCTGAATCAAATGTTGAATTGACGGTAAATTTCTTCAGATTCACACGTCCTAGGTTTTGAACACTGAGTGGCACGGGAACTTATATAGGTGTGCCCTTTGTAGGACATGATTTGAATATGACCCTGCCTAACCCTTCCTAGTGCTTATAAAAGTACCTATGTAGTAGATTTTACAAGAAGAGCTAGGACAGCTGCATAAGAGCAGCATTTGTAACACAGGATCGCCCTTGTGATACGCGGTTCAACAGCATGGATCTTCCCGGAAGTGTGGGTTGGTATCCAGCGAACAGAGCGAGAAGTACGAATAAGACGAATCAATCTCTACATAGCGCCACATTATCAGAATGAAAGCCCATATCGGACGCTTATTCTACCTGAGCCCGTAAATTGTAGGGCCCTACAGGTGTTCACGATTGGATCGATACAGATACGCACTATCTACGCAGTACTATAGTGCTTGTGCTTAACCATTTTTTGGCTTGCATCTTGTCGCAAACCAAATTACGAACACATGCGTGGGATTATAGATAAGGCTCAGCATCTTGTTAAAATATTTTCCACCCTTATTTCGCCCTATTAGCTAGCCAACTCCACGCTACAAAGCTTGAACTCGACGCCCCTGGATTTATTATAGGACGGTATGAAGAAGTTCCCGACCATCTCGACGTCTTGAGGGGTCGTATTGTAGAGGCTGATAATGCCCATCTCGTCCCCGATCCGTACATCGGAGGTAGCCCACATCCTCCAAATCTGTGCCAGGGCCAGGCGCATGATACCATACGCCTGGTCCATACCCAAGCAGATCCGGCTCCCCTTGCCAAACGAAACCCTGTACTTGTCCAACTTCCTTCCTTTCTCGCCTAGCCATCGCTCGGGGTCGTAATTATAGCTGTCTGGGAAATTGACCTCGTTGTGATGCATCAACACGCTGGTCATACCCACCGGAGTTCCTGTCGGAATCATCCAGTCTCGGCCCGTTTCCTTGTCCGTGAAATGCCAAATTTTCTACGGTTGATCATAATATTCGAACACGCCGAGCCGCTCTATCGCCCTATTTAAGTACAGCGTATACTAGAAATTTGCAATCGATGTACCAGGATTGGTTGGATATACTCCAAAGCAGAATGTTAGAGCTAAAAGACACGGACGAGCCACTGAACGCAAACTGTGTTTTTACGGCTTTTACTAACGGTGAGCATCCACAATAGCTGACATTTGGTGCGGAAGGGCTCATGTTGTATTAAAACCGAAGACACCATGCAAGGATTGGTCTTTGGACGGCATGCGCGCAAGCTCGGTAGGGTGTTCCCATACTGGCCAGAGTTTGTGACGGAAACTCACATATACACTAGAAACCCCAGATTTTGACTCAACGGAGCGCGATGCTTCTCTGTCAGGTGCTATGAGCTATCATGTCCTAAAGCGAATTTTGTGGTTCAATGAAGTCTTGATGGCAACGCCTGAACCGGTCTTGCAGGTCTTGAGCAACACGCTATACTCCTATACGCATCAAAAAAGGGCAACGCTGGATATGGTCGTCCAGACCAAAGGATCTCTCTACCTTATTGCTCGTCTTCCATTGGTAGAGCTTGGAAATAGGGTGTCAAAGAATTCCTGTGGGTGGGCGAAATTCGAACAACTTGTCCGTATTTCATGTGCATCGACCGAATTCTGTATATATATTTTCCGCCGAGCCAGATATTGTAGTATGCTTCGTACCTAACGAGAATTCAGCACATGTTCTGCTTGCTACTAATCATGATGAAGGCTTCACAGGCTAGTGAGAGCGGCCATCCGTGGCCCTGGATACGCTGCTATTGGGCTGAAGTACAGCCTCCAGATAGCGACATAGATCACGTAGCCGGCGATGGCCCCAAGGCCACTCCAGATCTGAAGAAGAGCCATATCGAAGCGATAGAAACTCAGCTATCCAGTAGACGCCCTGTCAAAGGTGGAGTGGCTCAAAGGCTGACTGAAACCTAGAAGCTCTTGCCTTCACACACGAAAGGCTTTGAAGCCAATGATGCGGGCAGAGTTGCGAACAGGAAGCTCTTATGAAGAGACTATGTTACTATAGCTTGGCCTGTATCTATTCAGCTCGCAGGGGTTTGTGGTTTCCTTAGTACATGCATTGGTCACGCCGCCGATTTTCCAAACAGGCAGTCTAGCAGCTTATGACAAGGATCTAGCGACGGGCTGTTGCCACTCTCATGATTTCCAGCTAGATAACTTGGGTTTTCATCTAGAATCGGCTATTGAATGGAATTCTTCACACAACCCGGCACGGGTTCGTAGGGCGTCAGGCGTCATATTCCAGAGCAAGAGCCAGCGGTTGTTGCGGCCATTCCTATCAAACATGTGGGGGATGTTTCTTGGTGGCGCTGGGTGGCGCTTTGATCGGAGCTTGGTGTTGAGGCTATCGCGAATCGCATCACAATCTGCTTATTGACTGCAAGACTGCGTTGAAGGATTTGGTTGAGAGTTGGCGCCAACCTCAGAAGCTGATGTCGGATTGGTGGAAGGCGGGCGATCCGGTAAGGTGATTCATTAGTGCCACTCCGAAAAAACGTGGGGATTCTAAGATTTAAGATCTTATCAGACAGTCAGGTGGATACACGCTTACAGCGACCTAACAGGTATGTTCTTGATTGTGGTTCATCTGGTTGATCGTGTCTGTTTCTTAACCCCTTGGTCCCTTGACTTCCAATTTACTAGTAAATCCCGCAGGGACCGTGGAAGGTCCACTACTCACGTGACCACCCCAGCTCATCGTCCTTTAGACTGACCACTTTGTTTGACAGATCTGGACCATTGTGGGCGTTAATATCACGGTACAAACGTGGGATCGAGGCTGGGTTATAAATTTTATAATATTATAAATGTTACGGGCTGGCTAGTGCAGGTGGTTGTTGTGGTGGGGGACGAGAGGTGATCCACCCCACTTGTAAATAGCAAACGCCACAGCTGTGGAGAGAGCTCTTCTTTCCTCTCCTTCCCAGCTTTGGAGTTTTTGCAATACTACAGGATTTGCAGCACAGCCTCGATCCTCCCCGTGGTGCCGTAACACCTTCCATTATCAATGGAATAGCCGAATCCTATGCTACTACTCGTCAGGTGCCGACGGTGATTTCCATGCACGAGGAGAAGTAGACCTGGCACAACGATCCATTCTTGGGTGATGGAGACAACAGTATAAATCAAAGAGAGTGGTAGTGAATGCTTATAACCCATATCTCCCTCTTCTCACAACCGACGGAGCGAGAATAGCTGCGCTACCCAGGAGTTTCTGGGAGGATCCCAAACATGGCCCTTCTCCTAGCTGAGCATATACTGCCCCTGAGCATCATTGCCTTGTCTTATGGCTTCTCGTTGACTATCAGACGTCATCTATCTGCCATATCCAAGGACCATTTCTGGCCAAGTTCACTGATCTTTGACGACTGTATGATCACTGGCGAATGAAGCACCTGGAGACACAGCGTAGCCTACACGACAAATACGGTGTTGCAGTGCGCATCGGTCCTAATATTGTCAGTCTCAGCGACCCAGACCTTCTGAAGACAGTATATTCAACCCGTGGAGAGTTTCTCAAGGTAGGTCGTCGTAAATTGTGCGGCCCCTTCACGTACCCTCTTTTTGATCGTGCTTACCAACGGCGGCTGGCGTTCACACTAGAGTGAGCATTTCGCCGTGGCTGATGGTCAGCACAGTGGTCGCCCTGTCTCCACCATCTTTTCCGCCCGAAGCAACGCATTTCACGCTCAAACGACCCAACCAATCGCCAAGCTCTACTCGCTGCCCAGCATCTTGAAAATTGAGAGCTTGACGGACCAGTCTCTCGTCAACCTGTACCGGGGACTATTCGGTTGACCGCTTGCTTGGCAAGAATCCTTATTTCCCTTTCAAGATCATAACGCTGCAGAGCGTTGTAGACCGATGCATCGAACTGATTATGGAGCGTGTCGGAGATTCGGGCACTTCTCGAGAGAGGACAGACATGTTGGACATTTTTCTTCAAGCCAAGGAAACGTACCCTGATGTGGTGGAGGACAGTGACATCGTAGGATATGCCGTCGTATAGTGAGTAATACCCCTCTTTACGGCCCCACCTGCGAGTAGAGGGTTTGAACGGCTCTACTGACTCAGCTTCTGTGCTGCGCGTTATTCAGATGGCTGCGGGTTCCGATACGAGTGCGTCTCTGGAGAAGGCAGTCATTTACCATGTACTAAAGGACCCCGCCATCTTGGCCAAGCTGCAGGCGGAGCCTGATGCTGCTTATCTCTCATTTACTCCCAAGTACTCGGAGGTCGAGGCGCTGCCGTATCTAGACGCTACTATCAAAGAAGGCCTTCGTATTCACCCGCCAATAGGCGTCCTGCTAGAACGCATCGTACCGAGATCGGGGCTCAAACTACGTGACGGGCGCGTCATTCCCGCTGGAACGATAGTAGGCATGAACGCGTGGGTGCTCACACGAAACAAGGAGATCTTCGGTGATGACGATGATGTCTTTCGTCCCGAAAGGTGGTTACAAGTGGAGGGAGAAAGTGCGCGCACGTATAAAGAGCGTGTTGGCATGATGAAGGAGGCCAGCTTCTCCTGGGGTGGAGGCAACCGAGTCTGCATTGGCAAAAACATGGCTACTGTCAGCATTTACAAAGTCATTGCGACAATCTTCCGAAACTACAATGTACGTATCAGTGCTTCGACATCTTATAGATTGCATGTCAACGGTAAGACTAACAAAAGTCTACAGTTGGAGCCTACGGATCGGCAAAGGAATGGAAGTTGCATAAATATTGGCTAGTATTCCAAAAACGTTATGAGGTGCGGGCCAGCAGGCGAACCAGGAGTGATTGAGCTTTTTTTTTTTTTTTTTTTTTTTTTTTTTGGATGGAAAGGAGCTGGTTGACTTTGAGAGTTTATGGTCTTTTATGTTTATATTGCAAAAAATTTAAATTCCCGTCATCAATTATGAACGGTCAGCCCGGTTACTCATCTCTTTTCATCTAACCGTCATCCGTTTGGTGGAGAATCAATGCAATTGACAGGCTTAATACACACGTATAAAACAAGGAGAAAGGAGTTAAGAACATATTTCGTATTACCTGCAAGATGTTTTGACCAATTCAAGCCAAGCCCGTAATCAGATACGGATTGGAGAGGTTTAGTATTTCACCTTCTGATAGAATGATGTAGCATAATCTAACTATGCCGTTTCACTGCTTCTCAGTGAATCACTGTAGACCCTGTGCAAGCGGTTCAATCCGACTTGTCTAAAGACTCTAGGCTGCGCAATGATCTCCTTCGCTAGGGAAGAAGTGTGAGTTGAGGAGCACGTTCGCCCGCTGTAATGGTTCCTCGAATAAATGCCTTCGTGATTCGACCAAGTCCCACCCACAAGCCAATCTCTCGTCGGTTGTGACCCGCAGACTATTGTGTGCATGAAATGTTAGAGCAAGAGGTGCCATGACCAGTGAGAGAATGAAAGGGGCGTGGCGATAGATTGGAGAAGAGACACCTACTCTTCGTCTGTGAGACTGCTGGGTAAAAGTAGAAGTATACCACAGCCAAAGCGCTGAATAACCTGCGCCCATTTCTTGCCAAGCTTTCTCCACATCTGAATCTTTGAGACTCGCTTTTTTACGTCGTCAACATGGTGTAAGTGGTTTGAATGATAAAGACTCGATTTTTCCGGTTGCGCGAAGATCAAGTCAGCAAACCGTCGCTGAACTGCAGACCTGCTGCCGCCCTTGGGCAGCATCGACGCGAGCCATTGGGGCTGGCCTTCACACCATACAAAAAACAGTTCTGGGTTGTCCTGGGCAAGCGTATATGTATGATAGAAGTGCGCGAGTGCGATTCTCTTCCTGATTCTGAAGTATTGCTCCCCGAAGCCGCTATTCTCAATGGCGACACCCAAATTCAGTATCAGCCCTCTGAAGTGTGAGGCGTCGGCGATCTGTGACAAACTGGAAAATTGATGGGCATTGGGGAGTTGCACTGTGTTTACACCAGGCTCTGGTGGATTCAGATTCAGCTGCGAGGCAAATCTCGTGACTTTCAATCCGGATTCCTCATTGCTAATATGCAGCAGTTTCTCTGCGAGCTTAGGGTTGCCTCTCAGCCTATCATGTGAAGAAAGGCTTCCTTGAAGGGCGCCACTCTCCGTTCGAGCGCCCTGAAAGGATTATGAGTATGCTTATGGTTGTGCGTTGATGGATACCTTGCGGGTCTGAACTCACATTTTGCGCGCTTGGAAATAATTCTCCAGCTTTGGGGCATGAAGATGATGTAGCCCGTCGTCTCTTGTGGCGCCGTCGACCACCTGGCGGTGTCAAGTCGGATGCCGTTGGAGAGGGGTATAGATGAGACGCAGATCCTGGGATGACAGGAATTGCGTCCTCTGTATGGGCACTCTCTAAAATGGTGTTTTCTAAAGTCGTGAGTTTCTCAATCACCTTGCGGTTGTGGTCTCTAATCTCGTCCAGGCACATTGGCTTGCGGCTCGAAAACTTTGCGACCACCTGATCTACGCACTTGTGGAGCTCCCTGTACGTATGCTTGATGTCGTCGAGGTAATTATCGCAGATCAGATTGTTTGACACTTCGAAATGGGGGCTGTGAGACCAAGCGTCGAAATCATGCAGCACATCTTCGTCGTAATAGGTTAAAGATTGATCATCAAGGAAGTCAGGGTATTCTAGGGTTGTCATTATTTTGGCTATTGATGAGTAAAGAGGTGAGATAGACGACGTTATACTAGAATGATCGAATAATCATTTTTCTGAAAGTCAAAATCCTGACTTCAGATGCCTTCCAGTGGCGGCTCTTCTACTCCACGTCAGCCTCAATCGTGTACTTTCCTTACCGTTTCTTACTTTGCTGCTGACTACATAACCCAATCAGAAGACGGAAGAGATGATATGGTACAAAGCTCGTGTGGTCCCTGCCGCACTAAAGCTCGTGTGGTCCCTGCAACACTAAAGCTCGTGTGGTCCCTGCAACACTAAAGCACTTAATCTTACGTGCATCAGTGAGAATGATGCTGTTGATGCGTAACCGTACCCAATAGCCCGGCCCGTAATCGTACCCTTGCCGCGAACTCACATTCCAAGGCAGGTGAGAACGTGTTGCTGATCTTGGAAGTGGACCAGCGAATCCTCCAAGCACAGGGATGCGGGATTGACTGGCATCCACCTCCTCCGGTCCCGAAATATAGGTACACGGCGAGACAAGTGCGCGAGGAGTATGTACGAGGGAGTCATGGGCAAGCAGTCATACTGTGGCAGGCTTCAAGTCTTTCCGATACTCACTATAGGTTCATGTGCAGAGAAGCGACTATGCGTTTGGGTCCAATGATCCCAACGGTTAGAAGATTTGAACAACTGACGGCGAGTGTTATCGGCGAAGCTCCAAGCCGGTCGGTTGTAGGTGCCAAATTAGGTTTATTTACTCTATAAAAGAAGAAAGGAGAAGGAGTCCCCCTTTTCCGTGCACGTAACGCTCTTCTCGTGAGCGGGTAATCCTCGGAGATTGCGGTGCCGGTATTATAGGCACTTAACCTACGGGCTCGGCCCGTAACCGTGAGGACCAACAGAAACATATAAAGAACGCCGCAGAGACTGCGACGAAGTTCTCATTCAATATATATTGGCTCGTACACGATACAGAGACGATGGCACGAAGTCAAAAAGAAATTCCCAAAAGCAACAATAAAACAGACATCATGCAAGCTCAAGACGCGGAAGCCAGCTAAGCGAGGACCGAACGAGCCGGGCCGGGGCTTCCCAGGTTGGTCATTCGTTTGGCCATTGGCTTTTTGGGCCAATCGACAGCATCCGCGCTGAACCCTGAGCATGGTTCAATCGTCGGGTACCTAAGCACCTCGAACTAAATTTGTTTGTTCGTGGAAAGTACCCGACTGTGGTTACTTCCCCCGCAACCCATGCACGTTGTTGTTTCTCGATACGGTCTGCTCTTGAAAAAGAAGAGGCTGGCCACGCTTCAAATTCCGCGGCCGCGTCCGCTCAGGCAATTGCAAATGCATTTCTGGGATAAGTACCCGATGCTTGAGGATGGCATTCGGAGTGTATTACCAATCTTCCCAGCGAGGGCCCGGGTTGCTGGGTTGCTCGGTGGCATCGGGGGAGTCTGTCGTTTTCATCAATTCAGACATTGGAATTTCTCTCCAGATGGCATTCACTCTACTGCTAATTCTTGATATCAACACTAATTGGCTGTGTGGAACTGAAGGTCTGCCGTTGTTATGTTTTGCACCCAGGACTCTGGCTCTTCCCATTAAGTTCCCCATCGATATAAAACGAAGCGATGAGCTCCCAACCTGCACCCTCCACTCCGCCGAGATCGAGCGACGACATGGCGAACATGGAAAAGCAGAAGCCGGGCCTCGAGCAGGACGCGCAACAAGTACAGGTCACAGTCCATCACCCCGCGGGTTTTCGACTCAACGCCATCATCCTCGGCTTGGTGCTTTCCTTCTTCTTAGTATGTTAATTCAGACGTCAATCGCTGGTCCGTGAATCGAGTGACCCTTACGTCTGCGTTTCTAGAGCGCTCTGGACATGAGCATCACCACCGGGTTCCGCTCCACCGCCTCCGTCCGCTGGTACGGTTCCGCTTTCGCCCTCACCCTTCCTGCCTTCCAATCCCACTGGGGTAAAGCTTACCTGTATTTCCCTCTGAAGTAGTCCTTCCTCGCCGCTGTCAGCCTCTTCGAGATTGGTTCCCTCGTCTGTGCTCTTGTCCCCAGCTCAGTGGCCCTAATCGTCGGGCGGGCCGTGCAGGGTGCTGGTGCCGCCGGCATCACCGCGGGATGTTATACCATCGTCAACTTCATCGTTTCACCTTCCAAGGTACCCGGCGTCAGTGGCTTGCTGGGCAGCGTCTTCACACTCGCCAGCGTGGCGGGTCCGCTACTCGGCGGCGCCTTCACTAGCAAGTTGACATGGCGTTGGTGCTTCTGGATTAATCTGCCCGTCGGCGGTGTGGCTATTGCGTGCCTCGCCGTTTTCTTCAAGACCCCTGACCATTCGAGGACCATGCACGGGAAGTTGACCTGGGCGCAGATCGCCTTGCAGTTCGATCCCATTGGAACTGTGCTTCTAGTATCTTCTCTGACCCTCTTCATCCTAGCCATGCAGTGGGAGGCGTCTCAAAGTCATGGGGATCCTCTGAGGTCATTGGAAGCCTTGTCTGTTGGTTTGTCATGTCCGTTGTATACGCCATCAATGAGTGGTACATGGGAGACAAAGCCCTGATCGTCTACCGCATTTTAAAGAACAGAGCTATCGCACTATGTCGTGGTTTTATCTTCTTGTAAGTATCAATCGCTTTCGTGCCACCAATACCACCTCCCCTTTGGGTTCTGGATTAAGCTTTTTACAGCATGATGTGTGGCAATCAGGCGCTATACTACAACCTTCCCATCTATTTCCAGTCCATTGGTGGCGATAGCCCGTTGGCGAGCGGTTCAAAGTTCATTCCTACAATTTTGTGCACATGTAAGCTCCAAAAACGTCCCAAGTAGCTCATACAGATTGTTGACACCCGTGACTCTAGCTTTGTGCACACTTTGTGCTTCCACCATGGTCGGCAAGTCGGCTACTTCCAGCCATTTCTAGTTGTTAGAAGTATTCTTCAGACCATTGGCGTAGGCCTGTACTACACATTTGGCCTGGACACTGGGCTAGGTCCCGTGATCGGGTATCAGATAATATTCGGGATAGGTACTGGCCTAGGAATCCAAACCTGTATCATTGTTGGCCAAATGCTGAGTTCTATGGAGGATAGGTCCATGACCATGGCGACGATCATATGTGAGTCCGCCTTCCACCCACGATCACAAGCACTTTCTTCATACTGACAACCACTTTTGTAGTCTTTCAATTCGGAGTAGGTGCTTACGGCACGCCTCTACCACAAATTCCGTCCTCGACAATATCCTCCTACAAAGCGTGAAGCGTAACGTCCCGGATGTTAACCCATACGATGTTCTCCATGTGGGAGCCAGGGCGATGTGCTTCTTGGTGTACGGCAGGCCAATCTTGATGGTGTCCGTGCTAGCATGATACTAGTATGTGTGTATCTTGGTATAAGCATCTGCTGGTCCTTGGCTCCGAAATGGCCGTTGCGATTAATAAAGTTATAAAAAATAAATTATAAAATATTATAAAAATATAAAAATAAAAGTAAAAACTTGTTATAATAATTATTCTCTCCAAGATGCCGACCTACAACCCGAGATTAATGCAATAACCTGATTGAATGGTGAAGTCAAAATCAAGAATATTGGGCAGGGCTGTACAAAAATGTATTCACGATGGAATCCCCTGTCCTGCTCTCTGCACATGTGGGGACAGGGGATGTATTGCGTATCCGGTCTGCTGGGTTGCTATCGACACAGCAAAGTTGGAGTCACAGCTGCGTAATGTAATTGCAGCCAATCGCGCGTTCAACTCCAATATCATCAAATCGGCAGATGTTGAGAAAAGTTTCCATTGTACGTCACCTCAGATGCCATATCACCGGCCATAGGTCATTAATCAATTGCTGAAATCTTGAATCAATTGAGACAGAAGGGTTCAAGCTTAGGCCCACATTGAAGAAAATTACCACAAAATCGAGCCATTGTGCTGCCCATCTGGCATGTGTGATCTTCCATTGGGTATTGACAGCTTCAGCTCGATTTAGGCACGGAATGTGTACTGAGTATATATAACGTCGACTGATAACATTGTAACGGCGCTCCTTGATTTGTAGCCTTACAGGTCGATCTCCGCCTGATGGTTCATGTGACGAGATTAAGACCCCAGAATACAGGATGCATTTATAGACAACGATATATAGCCGAATTAGATATCCAATTCAACCAGTCCCATACTAGTTGCTAGGGTCTGTTATGCCAGAGGGCCAACCGATTGGCAATCCATGTATCCACGGTCAGTTCGGCCATCTCGGTCACAGCAGTTCTCCTTCACCAAGGGTTAGTGGCCGGTGACCTATCCGAACACACACATGCACACAAGCCAAAACTTACAGTATCCGAAGGCACATAAGCGCAGCAGAGAAAGATGTAAAAGTTGGGCATCTGCCACGGCATGGAGGCTGGACAGCCTGGATCAACACGGGGCTGAATCACAGCAGCCTTGGCGCTGGTGGCAGCTAGTAAAGTGACGAGCCAGAACTTCATGGTGATTCTGATGGTTACCACAGTGGGAAAAGCTATGAGGGTTGAAGGTGTCTTAATGTTTGGTGGGAGGTGTGGGAGGTGGAAAGAAAGCAGTTGATACACGTTCATTCGGCTCATGCATGTGTGGCATTTATTTTACACTCAGGGATTGACTACCAGTTCCCCCGATGCTACATCGTAGAGGCCCACGTGTGATTTAAGTGACTTCGAATGAACCCAAGGTAGGTTTAAGGTTTCAGGGGTTGGGCCAAGATCCATTTACCCCCCAATCCAGTCCCGTTTCGGCCGAGCTTTTTAAAGCGCCAGTAGACCAAAATTGGCAGGACGCCTGGCTAATAATTTCCGGTCCAAGGTTGCATCTTAATTGTAGTTACAAGGGAGAAAGGTAGCATTATGCACCGCAAAGATTATCTATGCCAGAAACAGAAATAGTGGTATCGTTAAAGAGGACGCCAGATGGCGACGTTGGTTCGAGGGTCAGGTTGCCGATGGGGGTTGGACCTACTCGCTGGCGGCGCGAGTGGAATATGCCGCTATGGATGGAGTATCATGATGATATAGATACTAGTCTGGGTCATCAAAAAATGCGACTACATTATCGATCATTGCATTGCCGGCCCATGCTCTCGCTTCGTCCCGTACGCGATGAGACTAGTCGTGAAAATAGCTCACACGTATAGGACTGTGTCAAGTCCCCGTCGTGCTCCCTTAAGCTACTGACAAGGAAGTCGGAACACCAAGGCCAGTTGTATAGCGCCAATGCTATGCCCTCCATGGTTAGCATATCGCCAGCTTCGGGGCATATTTCTACGGTCGACCGGCTGGACCTTTCGATAAAGTCAGCAGACAAAATGGTGCCGTATTTGTAGATCGTGCATCATAGATCAACTCATCACCATCGTTTAGCAGGACACTGTAGCTTGGTATGGTACAACCTCGATGTTCTGGAAAGATGTGTTAGGAATTGGAACATTATGGCACTTGTTATTAATTAAATGAGGGATTGATTGATGCCTGGAATGGCTCAATTCTTTATCTTCGGTAGCTGATGGAATAACTTCAGACCGAACGAGGCGAAAATGTACCAACTAGGCAACCTATAGGGCGTTACAAGAACCGATATCACACAGTTAGACTTAAAAGCCCCGGTATCCATTCCGTGATTAACGCCTATACAACCCGGCAGAACGCAAGACCTAGATTTGCATGTTCATTGCTCAGATTAGGCAAAACTCGTCTAGCGTACCAATAACTCATACGACGGTAATGCGCGGACTTATCGCAACCAAGCGATTGTCTTACAATCGGAACGATCCTTTCTATCCCAGGGGGTATTCCGAACGCCACCGAGACCCCCATCAAATATCATGCTACTTCTAAACCCCCGACTTCTATTCCCTTTCGACCTCTATGTCATCCAGGCAAATGCCGACACCAGAATCAAACCTCGCGTGTGTGGGGCTTTTGATTCCCTGCGTCTGATTCTCCAAAATCCGCTCGTATTTTGACTCGTCAAACTTCCAGAAAACTCGATAATCGTGACAAGGCTCGCCCTTGCCTCGCAGGGCAAGCTTTTCAACGTCGGGGTATTGTTCTAGTTGCGTGAAGTATCGTCTTTCCCAGGAACGCCCTTCCCTTGCCTCCTCTTTCCGCATCGCTCTCTGTGCCACCTCGATCTTGCTCTTTTCATGCCCTATGGCGAATATGTCGTTGTTATGGATGGCGCTGATGACATGTTGCCAGGCCCTTCCGGTCTCTAGAGGATGCTGCTTCTCAATTGGCGCTACTTGCAGCGGCGTTCTCTTCAAGGACCCAAGGTCAACAGTGTCAACAACTTTGCCGCGGGAGTCTGTGACAGTATATTTCCCGTCCCATTGTCCAGCGGCTACATAGAGCGGGGACTTCTCGGCACCATCCCGGAATAGCGCTGCTTTGAACGAATGACTGGAGCCTCTAAGCCACCCCCTTGAGCAGTATTCGATCTTGGTGGTGAAGCCTGCCGAACTGTGGATATACGAGGTTCCGCCAAGCTCCGGTGCAATTTGAAAAGTAACAATGCCCTCAACATGAACCTTTGGCATTGTAAATACGTGATCCTCGCTGTATTTACTCAACGTGAGTTTTCCGAAGCCGCGTCGTTCAATGTTGATGGTATGTGAGAAATAAGATCTGGGGCCGATGTGTCCTTCAAGCTGTGGCCAACAATTAGTGGACGCTCCCTGCCGGTTTGCAGCTGACAGCTCTGGGGATACTCACAGTAACCCCGTGCTCTCGATTTCGTATGTGATATGCAGTCTGGGGCGGATGGTGCGAGACTTGCTCCGAAATCAACTCTGTGGTGCCCGCATCATCCACCCATTTCCCTAAGAAGATCTCGCCCAGGAATGGATTGAGCGGCTTCAGTTTCTTTCGCGTCCCGTCCTCGTTTTTGGTGGCCATTTGCCGCCGCAGCCCACTGAGAAACCATTTCATAACAAGCAGTGCCCTTTTCTCCGCATTCCCTTCCTTCGACGGAGCTATTAGTAACTGCGGGTGGTCGTTGAAGTACTGCGAGAACTGTGTGATGCTCTCAGGAGAAAGCAGAAATGGCGGGGCTGAAAGAGATGCGAGATCGCCTTTAAAAGTAGCAACAGACTGCGATGGCAATTGGTGAGCACTCATTCCTTTCTCTCAAACTTGCATGTGCCCGGTATCGTTGGTCCACGTACTTTCATGAACTGGAACCAGCCAGACTTGTGCTGCTGCTCATCCCTGTTATCGGGATCATCGCATCTGATAGGTGTGGGAGGCAAGGACATGATAGGCCTGGTTTGATTATGGATTACTGACTACTTCGTGCTTCTGGTAGTGATCACAAACAATAGCAAGTTCAAGACGGCAGAAATGTATTAGAAAATGTGCAAGAGGTGAGAGAGGAAACTAAGTAACAGTGTGCTTCGCGACATTCATGAGTTGCCTCCCCGTCCCACAGTTCAAACTCGCCAAGCCTCAAGAGCCGCGACGACATCAGGGCCACGGGGTTCAACCTGGCCGCTGATTTGGGATGACGCGCAGGGGACGGTGAGATCAGGCGCTATCGGGCCCTGGAAGCTAAGCTTATCTAGGCGCTCATAGGTGGTGGTCTAGAGCCTGGCAGTGCCAGGACCCACTGGCCCAGAGATCTTGCATGCCCTAGCTTCGAATCTCGAAACCCGCTGTGCTTCATCTGCCGCACTCGCACTCGGCATGTGACGCTGCCCCTCGTTTCTGCGGGGGGCAGTTCAGCTGTTTCGACCATCATTGTCTGAGGGCCTGCGCGGCGAGGTCGTGGCTGAGAGGGCGTGCATGGTGCGATCTTACGAAGTTTGGATGGTTTTTGACGGACGACACAGCTCTGATGCTGCGATGTTGACGAGTGCCTCGAATGCGCAAGTTGAATGCCGTTGCGAATTGAGTTCAGTGGACCTGAGCCAGTCATGTGGTGGGTTTGGTGCAGATTTCTGGCGTCGGCACGTTGCCTATCCGTGTCGTCCATTGCACGGCCACGAATGCGGGCGGGCTGGGCTGCCCAAATCCGCTTTAGGATAACGAGATGCACGCCACAATCCGGTCTTTATTTCCCATCATTTCCCTGAACCAGTTAAGTACTTTACGCGCAAGCTCAACGAAGCAATGGCGCTGGTTTAGTTAGCTGTCCTCACATGAGGAAAGTTTTGGGGGCTCAGCATCAACAACTTGTTCCATTTCGTCTCTCTATCACGCCCGATCGTTGCACCAGACTGGCCTCCACTCACGTCAACAGCCTAACCTGGATACTATGTTCACAAATGGTGGTTGAATGTGCAATCACGCAGTGCACTTGCGCTATGCCTTCGCGTGACTGAGCTGGTACAGCAACCCAGTAGTGCTCGCAACATTTGCCAGCGCGCCTTTGGAATAGGCCACCAGCACCCTCTCCTTCACCATGATCTCCGACTTTCCGTACTCTTTGCCATCAATTGCCTGCTTAATGAGTGCTGGGTGAACTGCACAAAAATTCTTCAGGTTCCTGCGCGTCTGAGCTCCGCCGCTCTTGTCATTCCAACTTATGGTAATGGGTCTTATCCCGATCGTGTCGATGTCATCAAGGAATGGCCGAGTCCTCCCTCCAATCATTCAGGCGTTGTTTCGTCAAAGGTTCCCACAAGGATTCGAGAAGATGGAAACAATGTGATTGAATGGGGCTTCCAGATTCGAATGAATGCCGAAGATGTTGATCCCGATGACATTGTTGTGTGGTTCAAACTCGGGTTAGATGCCGACCAGATTCCCGAGGAAGTCCAGAGTATCTGAGCCAAGCTCACTGCTTACGACAATGACAGCCTGGCCACAAAGTATCTTGAAGCGATAGGTAAACACGTCATATACCACTTAAAGCGGAGATACGGTCATGGAGTGATGGCAGATAGTCGTCTCGATTTCATCCTAACTATTCCCCCTATCTGGAGCGACTTAGCGAAGCAGCGCACACTTCAAGCCTTCGAACGCGCCCAAAGTTTCAAGTCAACGGGTCCAGTGACTACAATCTCACTCTTGTCTGAGCCAGAAGCCGCAGCCATTAATGCTCTTTAGGAGACATCTCAGCATGGATTGAAGGTGGGACAAATCTTCGTGGTGGTTGACGCAGGAGACGGCACAGTTGATCTCATCAGTTATACGATCAAGTCTTTGGCGCCTCTTCTTGAGGTCAGCGTGACATCTCCTGGGTCGGGGGTATGTGTGGTGCTGCATACTTTGATCACCGATTTACTGAGTTCCTCTGTTCCAAGCTAGGAGAGGAAGATGGGTTTGATAATGACATCGTCCACCGTGCACAGGAGCGGCTTAATTCTCTCATCAAGCGCCAGTTCGCCATGTCCTCCCTCCCCCACGGATCATGGACCTTCCCTTGTGCACTGGCTACCAACAAAGAACTTGGCATCCGCGCCGGATGTATGACGGTCAAAGCCACCGATATATATATTATCTACGAGTCTGTAATCACACAGATCGTCAAGCTCGTCAATGACCAGATTGGAGCTACCGATGTGCCGGTCTACGCCATCATTCTAGTTGGAGGTTTCGGATCTTCAATGCATCTTCAGCAGAGACTTAAATTGGCATTCAGCGACAGGTCGGGAATGAAAGTCCTGCAGTCAATTCATGCGTGGGAGGCTGTGGTGAGGGGCGCTGTGTTTAAGGGTCTCGCACAGGTCAACCCACAGAGATCCACAATCATCAAGACCAGGGACCAAGCAGCCCGCAAAGACTATGGCACGGAGCTCTCACTTACCTATGACCACAGCATTCACCAATCTATCTTGAACAAGCGGTATTGGGACGGTTACGATGGTCATTTCCGGGTTGACGCCGTGGAATGGTTCATCAAACGGGTAGGTTGAACATATAGAGGTTATTGCATTTCATGCTGACCTGCATAGGGAAACTATGTTTCGAAGACCACACCATACCGCAAGAGCTTCAGTCAAACATCCATAGTCGACTATGGGTGACCTCAGAGGATTCATCTTGTAGTGTACTCGGACGAAGTATCAGCCACTGCACCTATCGCACGTAACAATGTCAAGATATTATAACATGTGAACGCCGACCTGAGTCCCATTCCAGAGAGTCGATTCAACATTTAAGAAGGCCAGGATGGATACATGTACTATGGTCTTGATTGTGATATTGAGGCCCTGTGTGAGTTCTTCGGATATTGCTTCCAATCGAGGGATAAATATGCTGATAACTGTGAACTAGATGGCTCAGCAAGCATTTCTTACACCTTGGTCCACAAAGGTGTGAGATATAAGACTGTTAATGCTGCGTACGTCTGAGGATATACGATCTGGCGCTAGCACACTCGGTCAAAGAATGTTGGGTACTGGAGTTTTTGATTACTTACTTCCGGAAATTGACGCAGTTGTGTACTGTCATGGACTTGGTGACGGCTTCGTTGCCGATCCTGTCAACTTTCGCAGCCCAGCTTGGATATTGATCTCCCTCGTGGATTCGTAAGTTCTCTACCATATCCCGCACTTCGAACCCCTTCACTGATTGACCCCAGCTACACAAATAACGCAGAACGTGTCGTCGAACACTAGATATCAGTCAGCCCATTGGAGTCGCATTCCGACCAGAACTGCAGTTTCGTGCGAAGCCCAACGGATACTGGCCGGGTTCAGTCCTTTCCTTGAGAGACGACACGCCTGTAGGACGCCTGTTGTTACATGTTCGTCGCCCAGAGGCCGAGGATAGCCAACATCCACACGTAGATGTTTGCTCTGTGGCACACGATTTCAACGGCATAAAGCCATTGACAGACACATTTACCTCGTTCTTGATACAGGCTGCGGATTTCCCATTCGCCAGGTTTCTAGAGCCAAAACCCTACTCCTTGAGAAAGAGACAAATGGGTCGTGCGACTCCCTTGAATATCTCCAAGCTGAAATTATCCGAGGCTCATCGCTAAGGTCTATTCTCAATCATCGGACAGCCAAGGACAGCCACGCCTCTGAAAGCCACCTTGCCTGGAGTCTAGGTTTCCTATGCCCTACGTTCGATTTTCTCAGCACTTCAAACAGCCACTTGCAACAGATTGTACTTGGTCAAATTCCAGATCTGACTCGTAATCAATACGTTAAGTCACTGTCCCAAGCACAACTTGGAACATCAACAATTGTGGCGTTGGATGGATGCATCCCTTGGCGGTCACGGCGTGTCTCCTGTTTGAGAACCCATGGATCGGCAAGATCTTGATCTGCTGCAGCACACACCGTGAGGTAGCCAACGTTGCAGTAGCGGTGGATCGCACCACCAAGTTCAGCATCAACCAATACAACCACTCCCAACACGAAGCAGTACGGAAGCCCTACTTTACTATTGTGCGAGCTCGCAAGCACGAGGTTGAGGTTGATCAAGTCATCAAGATGATCGAGAATCACGGAAAAGATAGAAGCTGCTGGGTGAATCCAGGAGATATCACCCAAGAGTGGCTTGAAGACCACGAGCTTTCTGCGGCCGTATGGGTTCTGAAAGTCATAGGTTATCGAGGCGACCAAGGCCAAAGACTGCGCTGGTCACTCACAAGCCACGACAGTCCAATTCTCTTTGATATCCGACAGAGATTCTTGGTGGATAAACCCTCCTCGTACCTGAGAGATGCGATCTTCGAGAACATCGCATGGAGATCTTTGAGTGAGCAACACGAAAAATCCGTCATAGTTTGGGAAAAACAATACACCCAGGGCCAGGCCGCTCTGGCTGATAGACCTGCAAAACCCGTACGCATCATTGGAAAACTCATTGAAGAAATCATCTTCGAGGCCGCATTGGCACTTTGTGCAACTCCTGGTGGAGCGACGTCTGACGGATTGATAGATTTCACACTGGGCGTGGCCAAAGCTACACTCATCGGCGATGCCAGGAGGCTTACGGTGTCTGAGCTCATTACGGTCTGGCATGATGCAAGGCCGTTGGTTCAGGCCGTTAGCTTTTTGGTAAAGCCCTATGTCAACATACTGACAGAGAAAGAAAAGAATGGCAAGAACTACGTCAACATGTTCGCCCAATGTCTCTACCAGTCCAGCCTTGAGAAGTTTGTCAAGCTTGGCTTTCCTTCTTTTCCGGCTGAGCGGTTCGATTAATACCCCCGAACGCTTAGAGACACTCAAACGCTTAGGGAGGCACCAACTGTAGGTACGAATGCTACATTCGTGTCCCACTCAGAGCCTTCATAAAGAATACACAGCGCCGTAACGCCAGACGCGTTGCTCAAGGAGGGTTTGGGTTATGATAGGGAAAGGGGTGGTACTGGAAGGCTGAAGATTTGCAAGAATGGCAACAATGACGGGTGTATAACATGAAGTCAAATCGGTTGCTATTGAGTGCAGTGTACCCTTGAGAAAAGCTTGTAAAACTTGATCCCCCAGAATAGGTTGTCGGACATAATTACATGTCACTACACATCGTGAATCAAATCGAGTTTCTTGGTTCGCCAAATAGATCTGTATAGCGTTGAAGTGGCACTACGGTTTATTGTGACTGGGTCATGCCTAGAGCATTTCTGCGTCTCAATGACTTACTAGACCCATCGCTTCAACAGTAATGGCCCAGTTCTCACCTGCGGTAAGATGGTGCAGTGCTTTGAAGTTGACTTTTGAAATTATGCTTTGACTAACGGGGCCATGATATGCCCGAAAATGACTCCGCTCCTTTCTATGCCTGTCTATCTGAGAAATCTGGTGAAAATGCCGATGCAGCGCAAGCTTGGTGGTCCAACTGGATATCTATGTAAATGTGGGGTGAAATAAGAAACATTAGGGTGTGAGAGAAAGGTCTCGTGAGAGTATCTGTAGAATATAGATCATCTACGGTTGAAGTTCAAGAAGCGGCTCTGTGGTATTATTAGTATCATGCCCAGAAATGTACGCAGATGGGTAAAATGTGACTTACTCCGAGGAAGAGGATGACCAAGTTGGACCCCACGAAAGCGAGGAAGATGCCAAGGTCCCTCCAGCGGTTGACGAAGTCGAAGCCCAGAGGCTCGTAGAATTGGTCGCCGACCTTGTAGGCGCAGTACTCGCAGTTGGTGGCAGAGCTGTTCCTGATATAGCCGGGGCCACCATACTTGTCGAAGAAGTCCGACATGTAATCGCCACAGTTCTGGCCGTCTGGGGCAGGGAAAGTGTTGTACTCGCCAGATGCACACTTCACGGGGAGCTCATGCAGCGCGGTCGTGACCATACCACCAATGAGACGAGTGAAGGGATCAAGCTGGTAAAGCCATGCTCGCCAGAATCCTGGCATCTGCGGAGCCGGAATCGTTACTCCGCAGAAGAGGGCGAAAGTAATGATAACGAAGGGATCGAACTGGCTGGAGATGAAAGCGGAAGGCGTAAGTGCTGCAAGAAGTTGACCAAGGGTGACGGAGAACAGCTCGGTAATCAGAATCATGAAGAATTGGTAACCGGCACGTGAGCTTTCAAACTGGAAGCCCGGTAGGTAGTAGATAGGTAGGAAGAAAACAACGGCGCAGAGGATCGAGTACGGCATCTCGGCCAAGACCATGGAACTGGCAAAAGTGAAGCTGCTGTACATCTTGGACGACTGCTCGCGGAAGAAGATGGCTCGCTGGATGTGGTACATAACCTCGACCTGCGAGATGACGAGTGCAGGCAGGACAGTGACCTGGAAGGTAACGAAAACCTTGTACTGCAAAGACGATCGGGAGTCGTCGAGCTGGAGGAATGTGAGACCGGCCAGAAGCGCAATGACGAAGTGGTTGAAGAGTCGTGTGAACAGATAGTTGGGAGAGCGCCAGAAAGCGAGATTAGTTCGGTTGATGACGATCTTGAGTTGATGGCTGAGTGGGGAGGCGAACTCTCGTTGCATTGCAGGGTCGATTTCCTGGCCCTTACGGGACTCCTTGAGTTGTGAAATGGTATCCTTGACATTGGCAAGCTCGGGGCTGTCGTTCCAGATGTCGGCCCAGTCCTTGTCACCAATTCGAGGTGCGCTTCCGGCTCCTATGGCTTCCAACATGAACTCAGCAACGTTGTCTCGGTCGCCAGCGATAGCACCATGGCGCTTCAGGTAATCCCTAAGAACGACGGCATCCTTGCCAATGTCACCGAAGTAGACGGTTTGGCCACCTCGCTGGAGAAGCAATAATCTGTCAAAGTTCTCGAAAAGCGCGGCATTCGGTTGGTGGATGGTGCAGAGAATTGCCTGTCCAGCATTCGCAAGCTTCTTCAAGAAACGCACAATGTTGAAGGCACTTTGAGAGTCAAGACCAGATGTGGGTTCGTCCAGGAACAGCAATAACTGGGGCTTAGCAGCCAATTCGACACCAATGGTGACACGCTTGCGCTGTTCGACCGTAAGACCCGCCTCAGGGAAGCCGATGATAGCGTCCGCCATGTATTCCATCTCCAGCAATGCGATGATCTCCTCAACGTAGGCGTACTTCTCTTCTTGCGGCGTCTCGATTGGCTGTCGCAGGTCAGCGGAGAAGCGTAGGGCTTCTCGAACAGTCTGGGAGGGGTCGTGCATGTCGAGCTGTTCAGCGTAGGAAGTTGATCGCTGGAACTCTTTGCCCGGTTTGATACCATCGACGAGGATGTCTCCATGGATGACTCCAATATTCTTTCGGGCCGCCAGCACGTCAAGAAGTGTGGTCTTTCCAGCACCAGAGGCTCCCATCAGGGCGGTGAGCTGGCCAGGCTTGACGTATCCAAAGACGTTGTTGAGCAATCGGCGAGTGCCACCAGGAACCGGCACGTCATAGTTGAGGTTCTCCCAGGTCAGAACACTCTTTGACTCAATAGAAAGTGCGGTGCCCTCTTCTTGTGTTCTTGACTTTTGGCGCTCCAGACGCTTGTTGGCCAATGCCTCGTTGAGTCGCTTTCGCTCCTCGTTTGGCTTCTGGAAAACCTTGAATGTGTTGCCACCAGCGCCGAACTTGACAAATTCTCCTAGGACGACGTTCATGATTAGGAAGAACACAATAAGAGCCATGATAATACCGAAGTTCCTCCACAGGTCAGATGGATGGTAAGAGAAGCCCTGGGTGATGTATGCGGCACCACTGACCCGCGAAGTACCTGGGGTGGACCCTGCCAGAGTGCAGACCTGGTTCGTGATACTGCCATATTCTGGACCGGAGGGAATGAGTGAGTCTGCTGTGCATTCAAGGTCATTGTCCTTGAATTCATTGGCCATTAGACTGGCGAAAGCAAGACCGAGCGCGTTCACCCAGAAGATCCACCTGAGCCAAACCTGCTGGGATTGATAGGCAATCAGATAACCGGAGGTCAAGATGAAGAGTGTAATAATGATGACCGCAAACTTGATGGCATAGTCGAAGTCGGGACTGACACAGCCGACGATACGGAAAAAGAGTGTCATCGCGATATTGCCAACCATGATCATCAAATAGAAGGTGAAGAAGGCGCCAGCCGTCCTGGTCAGGTTCGTCATGAAGTATACAATAATACTAAACACGAGAACTCGAGCAGCCGAAAACGCCGTGTCGACGAATATTTGGGCGATCCAGAGCGCAGACGGACGGTGAAATGCATAAGCCTTGTGCTTGTTTACAATTGATCGACCCGTCATCGTACTGGCCAATTCCGAGAAGGCTTCGAAGGCGTTGAAGAGAAGCGACACGAACAGTAGACCACCCTTGCTGAAAGCACTGGCTGATGTTTGACCGAGATTGAGATAGAGAGTACCGAGTACAATTGCAATGACGATGCTGCGAATCCAACCCAAAATCAGAGCGAGGCGATCTTGCATCTTCAGGGCAAACTGTCGTTTCATCAATGCCCAAACTTGGAGTTGGAAGCCTGCATTATAGACGGATCGCTTAGCGCCACTGCGCTTGCTTTCACGGATCGCAGTTCGGAAGTCATCGTGCTTGGCAGAGTCGTGCTCGAGTTGCGTCTTGTACTCAGTCATCTCGGTGTTCAGCCTCTCGGTGAAGGCCGACTTCTTGAAGGCCTCGGCAAGTGTTTCGGGGCTGTGAGGCGCATTGGCTGGCGAGTATCCGTCCTGGTATTCACGTTCGTACTCGTCAGTGCAACCGGTAACGTAGTCTGGGGTGGTCTGTCTGGGCTTGGGCGCGAAACCGAGGCTCTCGAAGTAGCCTCGTGCCTCTCCCACGGGACCGAAGTAGACCTGCTTTCCAGAATCGATCACCAAAACCTTGTCGAACTGCCTGTAGATATTCTCGGAGGCTTGGTAGAGAGACACGAAGGTGGCAGTCCGGTAGAGATTTGTCTGCACACGGAGAGACTTGACGAAATCAAGCGCAGTACTGGCGTCTAGACCACGGGTGCTGTTGTCCCACGACAGGATACTGGCGTTAGTGATCATCATCTCCGCGATAGACACACGTTTCCTTTCACCGCCAGACACACCCCGAATCAGAGCATTACCAACGACTGTGTTTCGAGTGTGCTCGATGTTGAACATTTTCAGAAGCATAGTGATGACATCCTGCTTGAATTTGGTCTTGGTGGCGCCAGCGGGGAGCTTCTTCGGCGTTTTGACATCGAGAGCAAATCCTAGAGTCTGCTCTACAGTAAGTGTCGCATGGTGGATATCGTCCTCTTGGTTATAGACCGCCTCGCCACGGTACGTGTCGAATTCCTTTGCAGTGAAAGGGCCGTACAAAACATCTCCCGAAACACCAGTATAGCCGTAACGCTGGTTGGCGATTGACTTGAGAAATGTAGTGCATCCTGAGCCGGGTTGTCCAAGTACCAGAACCATCTCGCCGGGCTTGATGACTCCACGGAAGTTGTCCAGGATCGTGACCTCGTTTGGCTTGGGACCCATGCCAAGGAGGCGCTTCAGGGGGTCCCAGTAGTTGACGAAGTTGACAAAGGCATCGGGAAAAGTCTGTACAAAGTTTTCCATGCCGCCCATGCCCTTCACTGTCAGTCCCTCCCAGTACACGCCGATGTGTTTTGGCTTTATGCCGGCAGCCTGTTCGGCCTCCAGACCACCGCGAAGGGCCGACTCCAAGTCGAACACATCCTCTGTTGAGATGGAACCGGGCGACTCAGAAGCTGTGCCCGTAGCCTTCTCGACGTCACCGCCGCGGCTCGCGCGACTGTTGATACGGCTGGCTCTGGACATGCCGGAGAGCTCACGCTGTAATTCCGCAAAATCTGCCTCCGCTCGCTCCACAGATATGCCGTTCGAGACATTGGAAGTACCATTGGGGTTGCTCTGCCGGGCACGCTCGCGGCCCTCTTCCACATCCGTCGAGCTGGCAATTGACGACTCAGAGCGCACCTCCGCGGGTGCAGCCTCTGGCGCCATGTTTGCGTTCCCGGTCGTCCCCTCCAAATGATCCTTCTCTGCGTTGTTGTTGGCCATGTCGCCTGCGGGCTTGTGTGGCGGGCCTCCAAGTCAAACAGGGTCGGCTTTCTGTCCAATAATCGGTTGCGCTCGGTAGTTCAAACTATATTTCCAAACTGCCCCGTGGGGTGAGTGGTCGGCCGGGTTGGCGAATAACGGGACGGGACCTCGTCCCAAGCGGTTCACGCGTAGAGCCAACCGCGCGACGAGGGCGAAATCAAATGAGTGTGAGACGACGACGACGACTCGGACCCTGAAGCACAAAAGTCGGGGAAGAACGAACAAGTGGGAAAACAATCACGACGGAGCGGCAGATGGGAACTTTAGCTTAATCAGATAATGCATCCGCCAACGGACCTGCTCCGCAGCCGCTAACTTAACTCCGTTTCCCGAGCAGGGGCGGCGTGACTATCGGGTGCGTCTACAACTGGGAGCCGTTCAGCATTACCAATCAAGAATTATTTTTTTTCTTCTTTTCTTGTCGACAGTCGGAGTCTTGGCCGTCAAATAGGCAGGGGATCGCCCAACGACCCCACCACTATCTAACCGCGCTATTCAGCGTCTTGGGTCCCCTACTAGTGCGCCAAGGCCAGGCGGCCGTCTCCCGTCTGCCCTGCTCTTGCCTAGTCAAGTCGCACTCTGTACCATAGTAAGCCGTGGATTCTACTAAGTTAGCGACTGTTGCGGTAAGATTTGGGCGGACGTAATTCAATCGGCGTGACGTGTTCCTGGGGAGCGGGGGTTTGGGGCACAACCCGATGAACAAGTCGGCAAAGGCGCGCCAAGGCACTTGCGGTGATTCCTCTTTCGTGTTAGGTAACAAGGAGTGCGTATGTGTCTATGTGTGTCTGTGTGTGTCGAACAAAAAGTCTGGATCAGACCGATGTTTGTCCCCAGCCAAGCGGAAGCGAGAGCGAGGCCATCGAAGTGCCCCAGAAAATGCTTCCGCATGCGCAGGGGACACATTCCATCCCGCACCACGGCACGTCGCAGGCATTCCAATTGGTTTACCGGAAGTACCAAACCTTCATGTGGGCCAGCGAATACCCTTCAAAGTTCGAACATACTTCCTAGCGTACTGGAGCAGAGGATGCAATATCCATCCCTGCATCTATCACTGACTGACAAACTGGTTGGCTAACTGACTAAGGGAGTGACTGATGTGAGATTTTCGTGACTCGGCGTTGAAGGATTGGTTTCCTCCCTCGGTTTAATAATGAAAGGACTCGCATCCCACCAAAGCCAACGTCCGGGCCTCCGCGGAGCGCCGGTGCCATTGCGCAGCTCGGCGAGGGATTGCCTTGGCGAGGGATTGCCATGGCGATAGTCTCATCAACAGCTTAGGCTTGTGTGCAGCTTATGCACGTTGCCTTTTTCTCATCATGACACAGGATGAATCATTGACTATACGCTAGGAGCTCCGAGTCGACGGCAAGCTTACCAATTCTCGGAGTAACAGCGGAACCATGAACCGCCTTACCGGAAGCCGGCGTCCCCAACGGTGGGGCTTCTGCTTATTGGCAGCAATCTCAAGCATGGCAAATTGTTACGATGCCCATTCCAAAAGAAGTCTGGGCCCCCTGAGCCATGGAGATAGGAGATACTGGCGTGGCCATATCGGCAGCCAAACCTCGCAGTTCTCAACCCTTTTTCGCTCCTTGCCGACTTGCAACGATTAGCACGTGGGGACTGCCGTTGGGCGGGGCCATCAAAGCGGATATGACGACTTTTACAAATTGAGGCTCTCAGCCTCAGGATTGTTTGTGTCTGACGCCCTGACTACCGACTAAGCGGTCTTTCGGGGTCTACCAAGTCTCCGGGCCCACACTGCAGCTGCACGATGAAGGGTCTGTTTCCCACGTACCTGAATACTACTCTGCCAACACTTCTTTCCGGTGTCTGCCCCTGCTGACACTTGGTGGCGATTGCTCCAATGCCTGTACATGTCACCTCCCCAATTCACCTATCGTATACCTATTCGGTGCAGCATAATTCTGCTAGTATACTCCTGTCAAGGTCGGAGCTATAGACCACCTTACTACCGCAATGCTAGTGAGAAATACGGTGTGCTGTCGCCACTGCCCGAGCTTTGGAAAGAAAAGACTCGGTATGCGCCTGCGAGCACATTGGGCTACGTAGACTTGGCACGCACTATACTGCACACTGCTCACCACGTAATCATATGGATGACGTTCATTCTGACGGTAGTTGCATCAGATACGGAGTACGGTATCACAAGTTCACGCGCCGCAATCCCTCTGAGCTGACCACCAACTCGGCTGAAACAAGACGGGAGGGTCTTACGTACAGAGCTGGGCAAATGGCAATGTGATTATCAAGCAACTATCAGCTTTTACATACACAGGATGTGTGCTCGGCTCAACCCACCTCCCTTGCTGACTGTGTGATAGACTGCAGTTGCGACACAGAATGGGAGAGACTTTCAGGGCACCCATCTCGAACCTACCCGAGTCAGTTCCAAAAGCAAGCCAGGCCGGCATCGTGTCAGGTCATCTAGCCACTCCACCGAAACCCCAGATTGCGCACGCCACATGCCATGACCATAACTCAAGTCAAAGGCTAATTTTGACCCGGACATAAACCGAGCCGAACTTATCCCCGCCTGCTGAATCTCGGGTTGCCTTTAGTGTAGGATTTGAACGGTCTAAGATAAGGCTCTTTTCAACCTGAATGGCTGGAGTGGTATCTCAACATCGGCCCAAGAATTAACTATGGGCAATAGGTATTCCATCGCAGAAACACGCCACGACCTTGTACAGTCCTTATATAAAAGGTTATGCATATTTCTTATCAAGTTGAATGGCTAAATCTCGCCTTATTGTTTGGTGCTTTCTCATCCCGAATGTAGTTCAACCTGTGTCCCTGCTGCCGCAACGTCTCATTATGATAAAGCACTCCTTCTTCCAACTTAAAAGCACATTCCAGATCCCCCGTCCTGCATGTCTTTCCAGAGTCCCCACCCCATGATTGAGATGAATTCGCTCATCATGTTTATTGGGACAGGATATTATCACCATTCCGCGCTTCTTTGTGGGCATTATTGGCAACGTACCGGGAGCGGTGGGCAAAGATAGGGGTTGAATTCATCACTTTTCCAACCGCCTAAGGACTTAGATTGACGTATCATCAATTCCCATGCAACAGAGCCCTCTGTCCCTTCTGATATCGCCACGTCTAGTGCTCATCCGGAGCATGCTTGGTCATTTTGAGAACATGGACAAATCTGCCCTGTGTTTACCAGATTATGTCTTTAGGGTAGGACGCCGGACAATGGCATCCCCAGTAATCTAATCCTATGCGAGCAAGGAGCAGCATATCGATACGACGTATTGGCAATTGAAATTGCATAGGAAACAGTGAAAGAGTAATAACTGCTAGCGTAAATAGGACAGAGGGACTCTGCCTGCTTTAGTTTTGACAGCACTCAGCTGTCGCTATCTTTCTTCCAATCATCTGTACACAGCAGTGCAAAGAAGAATGAAAGTCTCCCAGGGTATTATCAAACCCTTTCGTCAGACGAAAAAAAAAAATGAGAAGCAAGCCTGGACTCATCTGGGCCCAATCGGCCATTTTCTCGGGGCCAAGCTCCTGAGAGTCGGGTACTACCAATGCAACTTTGAGGGTGAAATTAATGGACTTTCGGCTGCAATATTTGGCCCTCACTTGGCTGCCTGCAGTTGAGTCTACACCGCCGAATAACATAAGATCACCTCTACTTGGAGTTGCATACCTCCTACGCTTCGAACGATACTGCTTTGTATATTTGCTGCCGAATGCATCCCTACGTTCGCAGCCTCCCTCTTCCTGCATTGGGTCTATAAGTCAACCCACATTGCAGCAGCCATGGTTATTCTCGCCGAGACTTCTAGTAAGCACGATTACTCAAAATCCCTCTAGAATAGGATGCCCTCTTCCCACATAAGTAGTAAAGAGTGTCACGGTCCAAGTTCCTGGACAATCGTCGACATGTGTCGTAGTGATCAGCATCGCTTGCAAGCCCTTCACAATGGGATATCATGATCAGCTGAAAAAGAAAGCAAGAAGCCGTTCGGTGAGCGATGATGTTACCGGGAAATCTCTCAAGCGACGTCGAAAGCTTTACGTTGGCAGTCACTGGTGTTGCGCAGGCACGGCGAATGGGGCGAAAGGGCGAAAGAAAACGGTGAGAAGGCTCTCCAGAGATCAAGTTTAAAGGGGTAGAAGATGACATAGAACAGACTCGATCAACACCCAGCCCCGGGACTACATATCATACTGAGTTGCCTTGGAATGTTTGCGCTCACATGACTTTGAGGGCGTCCCCCAATACGATGGGATGCAGCCCCGACAGTCGTCGAATTCCATTGAAGGAACAGGTCAGGAGAAGGAGAAGCACAATCAGTATCATGAACGCGGGCACGGCGTAACGGGTGCTGTCAATGCAATCAATTACGGAGTGTACGCTGTCTATAAGTTCTGGCCAGAGCCCCCGTTGTCTCCTGTGGCCACGCACACCCTAATCCTATTCAATAGAGGATACGCCATGTGCTCAGCCATGTGCCATGTTGTCCACCTTTCACCCTGATGCTAGCCAGACTCTTGGAACGCCTCCGTACAAATAACCTGCCGGTTCGACGCCGGCCAATGCAATAGGAGAAGCCTAGATTCTCCCCCCGCCCTGCTAGTGAGAAATATCGAGGACAGCTAGATCTCACGGCGGCCGATCCTCCATGGCCACCGCGAGTGGAAGTATGAATGCGGCATTACTGTTCAAGTTCAACTTTTTGCCAGTCAGAGTCAAGTTACTCCGTGAAGGCATCGGCTTCAGCGCCCAACAGCCTGGTGTGTGGTGTTGTTGATAGCTCCCCGCGAGGTGAGCGGCAGTGTAATCGTGGACGAGTGGTCTCTATCCTAATGGTTCATCCTAGTGAGAAATGCTGCCAAAGTCTCCTCAGCATGGCCCTTGGTGGGGGGTTGGGGCTTGCAGTCCTTGATGGCTCCTCGTCGGGTGAGAGCATGGCTGTTCAACTCAGGCATCTGACTTTCGTCGAGTGAAATAAGAAACTGACGTTGAGGGGTTGGTCCATTGATCTCGTTGTTCTGCTAGAGCTCCGACTCGGCACCGTTTGTCTCGACCGCCATGGGGCTGCCGCCTTGACCGTTGCGTCTTCTAGGACGCAACCTACGTATGGGCCGACCGCCGGGGTTCATGCTGGCATCATCGTCATCTTCACTGTCCGGGTTCTCCTCGGCATAGCGTCGAGCCTCGTCCAGCTCTGATATATCCTGAGGCTTGTCACGGAGCCACTGCATGCGGGGGCCCGACCGCGCGACCTCCGAGACACGGAAACCGTAGATGCGCGGCCGGTATATCTTGTTGCCGCCAAGGCCGGGTGCGGTGTTGCAGGCGTACATGCCGTTCAGCATATCCTTGGCATCCTCGGAAACGCGGGCTCCGGCCAGCACCTCGGCACCTCGCTTGGTCAGGTCGTACTCGGGGAAGGTGAGGAGGAAAAGAGCGCCAAAGGTGCGTCCGAAGAAAGCACCATCCACGGTCTGGAAGCGACTGTTGGGGGGCACGTAGACATCGAGGCAGGCAGGGCAGAACAGCTTGACGGTGTCTTCGCCTGGGATATCCGATAGGCCGACGGGCAACGTTCTAGCCTGCTCACAGTGGCTGCGAGGGCATACGCCAAAATGGCCCAGCTCGTACTTCTCCGACATCTGCTGGATACCGGCGCGCGAGCAGATGAAGCGCTGGTGGATCAGGCCGTAGAGCATCTCGGCCGAGGACTCGATGACGGAGAGGTCGCTGGCAATACGGCTGTGGTTCCTACGCTCGCCGGCGCGCATGCGGTCTACGCCCTCGATGGACTCGTCCTCCTCCTCCTCTTCCTCTTCATCCTCCTCATCGTCGTCCTCAGGCTCGACATCGAGGATCATCTGGAGGGGGCAAAGGGTTCAGGTCAGCTCAGCTCGCGTGCAGGTAGCGATTGATTGGGTTACTCAAGGATTGGGTTGATAAGAGGAGAAGAACAGGGTGTGACCAACCTCTAGGGCCTCCTTGTACATTGCGACCTGGGACTGCAGGCCGGTGAGGTTGAAGTCATCCTCGATGAACTCCTCCGACACCTCGGCAAAGTACTCATGGCCGAGCAGCGAGCAGAAGGAGGAGATCCAGGACTCGGGGGTGCCGGACGAGGTAGACATCGCGTGTGGTTTCGGCCTTGGGCTTGTGCCACCCCGGCTCGACGAGGGCGGGCGGGATAGCGATATAGTACGGGGTACGGGGTGCGGGTGCGGTGCGGTGCGGTACGGGCACGGGTACGGATACGGGGTGGTGGAGGGGTCGTCGAGGGGCGGGTTTGGTTATACTGGACGGAGGGCGAAAAGTACCCCGCCGACGAAGTGCGATAGGAGGGGAGAGGAGGCCGTTTATCGCGTCGGCATGACGCGAGGCAGCGCTGGACGGGGCGGACGAGGCGTGCGGCGCGAGAGGCAAACGGTGGGCGGTTCCTTGGGCGCCTGCGTTGCGATCCCTTTCCTTTGCCGGAGTGATGCGTCGACGAGCTGCCCTGTTGGTGCCTGTCTCGTCTCGTTGGGTGAGGTTGGGAGTGGGCGAATCGGGGGCGCGCGCGCTGCCCTCGCCCTCGCCCTCGCAATTTCGCTGAGCTGTTGAGGTGCGGCGGTGGTGGTGCCCAGTTGCGCTGCAGGTGCCGTCGCCCCGGCTCCAGCTGCGGCCCGCCACAGTGGCTCGCTGGTCCTGTGGCAGGGCTTCCGTCGTGTCCGTGTGCGCTAAAGCGAAGTTGCATACTCCGTGGGCTCGCCTATCTTGCCTCCTCTAACTGCATGCATCGCGGCCAAGGGAATCCATGGATATGGGCAAGGGAAGTCACTCGTACCGATAGTGCGGATTCAAAGATTTAGGAGCTCGGGGCCAAGCAAAGCTCTGCACCTCCAGTCCCCGGTGCAGGTGTCTATCGAATGGTAGCCGAGATCTGCGACTGTAGACGTTGGCTGTAGAAGCCATCATGGCCAAGCAGCTGCCCGTGAGCTGCTTCTCCTGGGGACTTCAACGCATCACGTTGAGGCACCGAATCTCGCAACTCGGCAACCATGATGTTAGCCCCAATGTGCGCCGAGCAGCAAGTACGGTGCCGATCTGCTCTGATGGCGTCGACCTTGATGAGTTCCGCCGAACAGCCTTCATCCCAGGGTCACCGTTGCTCATTCGCGGATCACTCCCCCTTCCGGCAGTGAGGACGTGGTTCGACCACCATGAAGACCAACACATTGGCTCTCTCAGTCGGCACATCACCGACTTTGCCTCATGTATATTCCCCTATGAGCTGGTGATACAGCAAGCCGCAGGCCAGATCAGCCCGTACAGCAGATTCCAAGGCTGGTTACGTGGACAGCATCCCGAGCTCAGCCATTTGCTACCTGACGCCCCTGACCTGGGGCGCGAGGCACCAAACCGACATTCCACATTCCACCAACTGCATGCACCTCTTTTGCTTCTCATGAAAGCCATCGAGTACAATGAAAGCCAGGGCAACACCGACTGTCGGATCAAGCAGCTTTACATAGCACAATCCCAACTGAACGAGCTTCCGCAGGCTCTACAAGACGACTTGCCTGCCCCTGAACTTGTCCGACAAGCTGGTAAAGGCGACGTCTACGATTCTAGCATCTGGCTTGGCTTGGAACCGACCTACACGCCCTTGCACCGCGATCCCAACCCCAACCTATTCCTGCAGATGCTAAGCGCCAAGACTGTCAGGCTGCTTCCACCTAATCGCGGCCAGCGACTCTATGCCCAGGTCCAGAAAGGGCTCGGAGCCATGGGAAACTCCCGGTTTCGAGGCTCGGAGATGATGCAGGGCCCGGAACGCACTGCATTATACGAAGCCGTCTGGGGCCCCGGTGCCACGGAAGACATCTTGGAGGCCAAGCTTCAAGCCGGTGACCTCCTATTCATCCCCAAAGGCTGGTGGCATAGTGTGCTCAGTGCCTTCGACGATGGGCGCCTCAACGCGTCAGCTAATTGGTGGTTCCGATGATCGCTACTTGAGACGAACATAAGACAGTCACTGAATAGAAGCAGATTACTTGAGAAATATCGACCAAGAAAACGTCGCATTTGGGGCATTACGCTAAATACATTGGGTTACAAGCACGGCCGAAGACCGCGAACGCGAAGACGACTTCGCTATCCATTTTTTTTTTTCAGCCCGACTCTATCGCATCTATACCGGCGAGCGAGGTCCCGACGGGTGCTGGTTGGCCTGGTGGAAGTCAATGACATATTCGTTGGTCTGCATGATGCCCGTATTGGTCGGAACGTTATCGTCGCCCAAGATACTGCGGTCGCTGTCGTTGTCGCCTTTCGCAACAATAGATGTCGACCAGCCGTGTGAGCTGGACTTGAGGTCTCCCCCTCCGTCCATCCTGGCTCCCCCAATGGTCCTCTTGGTGCCACCCACGGTGGACAGCGGCATACCATATCTTTCGGACTCCTTGTTATAGCCGCGAGTCGACATCTTCTCCTTGAAAAGGACTCGGAGCACGGGGATGGAGGCACCGATGATGGCCACAGCGGTTTCCGTGGCGGTCCAGATTGTCACATCTTTACCATTGTCTTCACAGCGTTAGTCTTCGGTCGGGACTAATGATTTCATCAAAGACAACTTACAGAAGAAGTCCTGCTGCCGCAGCTGGACGATATAGACACCCTTCACGATAGCGCACACACCGGATCTGTGAGAATCGTTAGCGGCATGTTTGAGTAGTCCACCACAAGCTACTTACAGAATACCCATGCTCATGGCGATGGAAACACCGATCTTCTCCCTTGTCTTCATTTGGAGGCCGGAAATAAGCTTCCATGGGATGAGGGCCAGCGCAAAGTCTATCACTGTACAGTATGCCGCGTTGAAGATACCGTAATTGACTGTGATCGATGGGTCCCAGCACGTTCCTGGAATCGCCGAGTTCCAAGCTTTCTCTGACGGCGAACATTGAACCCAGGTGAAGATGGCCGACGGCAGCATGACGAGGAAAAGGGAGATGACGGAGAACCAGACAAAACGTCTCCACCAGCCGTGAGTAAGGCGCAGCAGGGTGACGCCGAACGAGATTTTGCTACCGGTGCTCGCAAAGCAAGATATCGAAGCCGCAATCGAAGTGTATAGGGCGACTCTCGAAATGTTCTCAGGCTCCATGTCGTAGACATGTCTCCCAAATCCCCGTTCATAGCCAGTCTGCGTAAGGATCGATTCGATGGCGAGCATGGCCTTTAGTCTTGTGAGCAGGACCGATCGCATAATGCGGTTTCTCCTTAATTGAACTCACCCATGAGAAGATCAGAATGTGGTCATCCTGAATGGCACTGTTAGCAGACTGGCCCTTCACGAACGAATGGTTATTTGTGTGTTACTTACCCACCACAGTCCTTGCCGACGACTGATCTTTGCGTATATTCTCACAGCGAGAAAAGCACTGCAGAGAACGAACAACATCCACGTCACGCCGATGATGACGGGACCATTGGTCTCGGTTGCCATACTGCTGCGCTGCTGGGCCCGGACGTAGCCAGGCAACTATGTGATGCTGATCGTGGGGTTGTCGAACGAGATGAGATCAGCAACATGGGGCCGGCAGTATATGTAATGATCGTCGACGTTCCCCTGTGTTGAGAAACTAAGAAGGGGAATATCTGAGGCAGATCCGGGTCGGAACCGATTCAGTCCACTTTGTTCCCAAGCAAACGCTAGATGGCCTGGCAAGCCTGGTATACATAAGCTTGGAGGATAGCGTGCTGGACTCCTCCACTGCAGTAACAAGGTGCCCCTTGACTCCTTGAGAACCCTTGCGACTTGAATCAGTTCATTTCAGGTTCAATCTACATAGGAGGTCACTGGCACATGGGGAATCTACGTGTCGAGGGAAGCTGGGGGGTCCTGTTCATTTCCAAAGAACCAGTGCACGAGTTTTTGACTTTGGGCACCAGGCCAAGTAGTGCAAAGCGGCATTCTAGATCCGCAACGGTTAGTGTTTAGTGGTGGAGTGGCCAAAGTAGTCTGACACTACGTTGGAATGCCCCGACATTCTCCAATGGCGGGTGCATCCGACCAGCGTCGGATCCGTTAGATCGATCTTCTTTGAGTGTGGACGCTGGGGCTGGAAAACCGAGCTCTGCAACACAGTACAGGACATCGCGTCTTCATCAAGGCCCACCGCCGGATCTCGCAGGTGTTCCTGATACGATGATAAGATATTTATTGGAACGTCTCACGATCCCTGATCCTCTTCAGGGCACATCCAGGACACTCTTTATTACCACCTGATCTAGACTGGCCATTGCTTGCGAGGCTTAAATGCACTGACGGTTGTCCCCCATTGAGCTGTGGATATCTCTTGGATGCCCCGCGGTTCTGGTTCTGCTCCAGCAACTCTTCCGTGATGGCTTTCCTAGTGGCATGGCTAAGCCCGCGGACCGCGTAATTTCGCGGGTTTTTTTTTTGCAAACGACGACGATGTGAACGCCAAGTCTCTAACTTAGTCGTTCTTCTCCCGTCGGGCGATCTACGGATCAGAGGCTGCAATGGCGCCGAGCTGACTCGCACGTCGCTTCGGCTGCTCTCGTCGGGAGTCGCTACTCCGACTGCGAGAGACGGATGCGGCCACTCCCAGTAGTGTGTTGTTTGGTGACCTGCAGTCTTGGAATAGGGCGAGAGCCCATGAAGAGACCCCCACTAGTCCTTGTGTTCTTCCTTTTTAAGCGACATGTTCTGACGTCCTGCACTAATTCGAGATTAAAGCACGACACTATAAGCGCCACACGTGGTAAAGGCCCGCTTGGGACGTTAGCCTGCCGAGCTAGTCATTGCTAGCTGTCTGGAAACCCCAGTCGTGAACAACGCGATTTAACCCTTTTCTTGCGCTTACTGAATGCGACCCAAGTTCCATCCGAGGCCAGACTCGCCCGCTTGCTCCCTGAAACTGGCCAGCATGTGGCTTGTGTATTGTAGCTTCGCATTCTTCTCTCACATCGGACTAGCTTCCGACGTTCTCCATGACAACTCCATAAGGCGACGTAGGATCCCTCCTCACTCCTACCGGCGACCTGAAATAAGAAGAGGCGTTGGGCCTTACGGGAACTGACTATCTTCGCTCTGCATCCGTAGTGCCTGTTCGGCGTTTTTCTCTGCCTCCCTTGGCAATTTAACGACCACTCCCAAGCTGCCTCCCCAAGCCGTAGGAGCGGGTAGTCGATAACCGTGGCTTGAGTAGCTAACTTATACCCGGGAAAGGTTCGGGATCCAACAGACCCTGCACACCCCGAAACGATAGATCCCATTGCGTGACTTTGAGCTTCCTGCCACACAAGATTGCTGATAGGTCGGCGGCTCTCGTCTTCCGGGGTGCCCTGAAGGTACCGTGCAGTTGGGACTCGTCTCTCCTGATGCAGGGTCGTATCGTATCTGGAGGATGGTGGCGCCAGATAGTCGCTACCCCTTGCTTAGTCACTTGGGAGAAGCACACTATTCTTCGATATGGCTTCTTTGACGCCACCGACCCAGATGGCCCTTGTTCTCGCAGAATGTTTACGTAGTATTGCCCGCGCTACTAGAGTAGTCCCCCTGGCAGCATCGGGGTTTATTACGAACAGACGACCCTGTCTGGTGCATCCTTCATAGCTTGCATCTTGCCTTAGTGCGTCGTACACCCATAGGTTGCAAGGGTTGTCAGCAGCCAGGGAGTTCCATGATATCGGTGACGCGACTGATGATCAGGGACAATGTCAGACAGGGTTCTCTAGATCTTACCGGGGGTATTAGCCGGCATGGCGTCCACAAGGTTCGAGACTGCGAACCCGGCTGCCGGGAAATCAGTTCCTCTCCCCAAGAGGCCCCGCGGGACTGATATCCCGATGAGCGTACCGTATCTACGCACTTTCTGCCGTGGTATGCAAGGTGAAGCATCGCAAATCAGGTCTGTGGCTGCATTCGGTTCCGATTCTCTGGGCTCCAAGGCAGCTTTCTGCGCGGCAGTTGGGGGTCTGCAGGTTGTGGCTTGCTCGGGTTTGACAACATCTTGATCGTACCCCCAACTCCGTTCCTTGGATTTGTTTTTAGATCGGGGACAAGGAAATGCAATAGTCACTCTGGTTGATCTAGACCCAGCTCCTGATCATTGGCACAGGGGCCGTTCTGATCTAATATTCCCCATCAGCCAACAGAGGTTCTCCCATACGATGAGCTCCAGACCTATCATTGGGACCGGATCCACTAAAGATGCAATTCTCCACGTTTAGTTTGTTCATTATTCCATTGCTATGGGTATAGATGAATGCCCAAATCTACAAGCCCGCGGGCCGCGCTTTCAGTCCTGCAAAAGCGATGCCGCACCCGGGCACTGTGAACAGTCATTTCTGTCCTCAATTCAACACGGTCACGTCTATCGGGTACCTCTCACCCATCCAGATCGCCCGCTGCGTGTGGTTTCTCCGCTCTATGTCAACCTCCGAGACGCCCTCCTCGACAGTGTTGGGATGGACGAGCACTGACAGCGGCCCCCTCCAGATGGCCAGCCACGGGATGAAAGCGCCAAACTGTGCGGGTGAGTGCAGGTTGACCTCGAACATAGCAACCGGGTGAGGCCCAACCGGCTTGTCCCAGAACGAGTAGATCTGGAGCTCAGGAACTGTATAGCATGGCGATTAGTCATTGGCGGCTCCCGTAGGCATGTGAAGCCCGAATGTTTAGTGGGGCCGGGGTTTGCATACACTCCCTTCTAATTCGCTCCCACAGCTCCCGAGCGTACCTCGCCTGCTGCTGGTTTTTCTGGAGGTAGTAGACATGGACATCAAATCCGCCTCGCTTTGTCTTATCCAGCGGGTCGATGAATTGCTCGTATGCTTTGCTCTTTTCCGCCGGAGGGTTGATGTAGGTCTTGTCCTCCGCCCTCTCTTCCGGTAGCGGAGCCGCGTCCTCGTACCCCGCCAACGGCCACGGGTACTTGTATGTGTTATCGTCGTACATGATGGCTGCGGTGTAAGAGAGGTGTTCTCTTACTATCTTCTCGCGATTATATGATTCAGTCCTCGTCTTGGAGAAGTCTCAGGAAGTTTACCGTTGCCTCTGTGTTATTGGAAATGCCCAGCCGGGGCCGGCAGAGGCACCGGGTGGATATATAGCGGGGTTTTTGCGCGATCCGACACCACTTGACAAATGGCTGCCGCTAGTGATCTTCTTAAGTTTGTCATCTTGGCTACACGATTCGTAATCCGATTCAGCCCAACTTCGTCAAGGCACACTGCAAAGTAGTCTAGCTACCACGCGTAACTACGTCAAACCTGTTTACTCAGGCACAGGTCCATTCAACCCACAGTACCGATGGAGTAATGCGCATGCAGAATTGAGCAAGAGACCTGGTCCGTATCTTGCACTAGGTGGGGCATTCCAGTGAAACGCTTTCCTTGCACTTGTAGGCTGAATGATGCTATGATGCCGGCTGGAAACTAGTTCTCCGTATAAAAATAACGGACTGGGAGGAAACAAATCCGACGATAATGCTTGAACCCAAGCATATAGTTCGATATCACATGTGACTGCCAATGTATCTAAGAGGTGTATATGTACGACCCTCGGCGCCTGACGGGTAAAACACCACAGAGCTGCACAAAGCATTTCGCTTTGTCCACACATCACCAATGGATGGATTGAAATGTCAAACCGCCAAAATGCCAGTATTCGAGTCAATCCTGCCGAATGTACATCACAAGGTCCCCGAAACGCTCCTGCTCTTCAGGGAACGGAATCCCTTCATAGCCTTCTACAAGCGCACGTGTCCGAGGAGAATCTTGATCCGTCAACCAGGGTCTGCGTCGTTAGCAGCGGATACTTCTATGGGAGGCGCAGTGACAATGGGCTTACGATATGAATATTGTCTCCCCGTTTACTATCTCGACAGTCCATCGGCTGTTTTCTTCCTCCTCTGGCGTGACTCGGTTCCACAACATGGCTACTGGTCTTGCAATATCGGCAACTATCTGCTTCACCGCGATGTTAGGATGGCAGCTGAATACCACGGTATCATCGTCAACAAGTGTAAAGGCCAGGCTGCCGCAACCTCCCACAACATTGATACCTTTCTCCTCCAGTATTCGTGTTGCGGTGGGAGAGTAGGCAGGGTCCTGAGCGTAGATCGGCAAAGGGTCTCGTTGCAGCTGCTGACCCAGTACCTCAGCTATTGTAAGGGCAGCGGCATGTTGTGTAATAGCGGCACGGCGTGGAAGGCCGTCGCATTTTGCCATATCCTGCAAAGTGGGATAATCCTGCGATCCCTCTAAGCTGCCAAGCCCGAAGCATACTATCTTGTTCGTAGTGGGTGGAAAGGTTGCTTTTCGTAGAACCGCTACGAGCTCACTGTATGCAGAACTTAGGGTCCAGTTGTGCTGGCTTTCGTTCCATGCAGCCTCGAGCTCGGCAAAGTCTATTGTAAGTGTTTTCTTGGATATTAGCGCCAACTCCAAGGAGGTGGGGGCAATTGTATTATGACTATCTTCCCAGTCAATGTCTTTACCGTCGGCGATTTCCAGCTCTTCTTCCTCGGCTTCATAAAGGATCTCTTGGTATATCTTAAACATGATATAATGGTGCCTGGGTTCATGTTTGTTATTTCAGCATCCGTTTCATTCAGGTCTTGGGAGTCTAACATATATCCCATATCAGGATCCTTGTCGTCAATTCCCTCAGCAGACACGCCCCTGCGCCTTTGCAAGCCGTTCACTACAGAATAGTATAATAGATCAGCATGCTGAACCTGGATCATCGGTGTCTTCACTTACTGCTCCGTACCATAACACTCGAGGGTTTTATATCGTTTGCGAGCTCTGCCTCTATGTTTTGAAACATCTCTTTGGTCCAGATCTTGGCGCCCGAGTCATAAAGACCCTTGATGTATTGCACTACCTCGAGGCCATGTTTTGTGACTCGATGGCCAACTTCATCTTGATGAAGCACATCGTCCTGCGCAGTTGGTCGCACATGCCGCGCGGCGCTGGCCACAGATGTTGTCATGTTGGAGCAATCGCTGATAGGCCGTTTGTTAGTGAGATTTATAAAGAGTATTCAAGTTCACGCCATAAGGGAAGTCGTCCATCGGTAACAATACCACTTTGCGAACTGGACAACATGAGGAGGGGTACATAGGCAGAATCCATATCACGTGACCAACTTTAGGCATCCATTCACGATAAAGGACTGACTTTCCTTCATGGCAAGCAAAACACTCTACGTCTTCATGTCGATGATAAGCCATTGCGGGATATGATCAAACGTATCATTAAAATGGAATGTGGATCAACAAACTTGGGTTCTGAGCGTAGTAACTCTATGATGCCGTCAGCAATGGTCTTGCTTATACTCACACCGGAAATGACACTTTAGGAAAAACTGCTCCCCGCGTTCTATCTAGACTCAAGTAGTTGATTCTTGACAGTATGTATCTTAAAGTTGATAAATCAACAACTCACAAATAAGAGTCTAGAGATCATCGCTACAATTATGAGGTAAGTGTGCGTGTCGTCAAGACGGCAGCAAATGCCTCTACTGAGCAACATAACAGCTTTTACATTGACCTATGCCAACAGGTACATGGATCAAGTGCCAGCTAAATCAGTATTTGCATTTACTAACAGCTCCTTTCATCGCCGCTCGCTCTTGTCCAACGCCAGGAAGTGGTGGCCCGTGGGGAGTATTGGGCATAGTGATGACTAGTAGAGTATTTGATTCGTCCTGTTTCGCTTTTCACCCCTTTAAGCATGTGTTCCAGCGTTTCGCAATGTTTTGGTGGTCCCGGGATAGATATAGGTCTAACAGCCCCCTTAAATGATTGATTTGCAGTCATCTTTGCTCAATAACCCTGTTAAAACTAATGTGCCCTCTTGTGTGATTCTTTGAATCTATTTGCTCTGACTTCGCCGTCCGGAACACTTAGTCGTATACATTTTCCCCACCCCTGCAAAAGTTATGAATACAGGCAAGTGCGCTGAGTCGACGTGCCAGACTAGCACCAGTAGAAGATTCTCCATGCTCACCAGCGAAGTAGCATTGGCAGACGCATCAATATTTTTTTTTGTGAGAATCATCTGCATTGCTTCGACCGCCTTGCCCTGGTCGCTGAACGTAGCCCAACTTTGGAAATCGAAGCTGGCATTAGGCCTTCCGCAGCCTAACCTAGTAAGGGAGAAGTCTCACTGGAGGTTACAGTACTCCGTTGTCGCCGCAGTGTATATACCAGGACGACAGCTTGTCCAATGGCAAAGGCCGCATTGTCGACAAAGGCCCATCCCACAAGCCTTAGCCATAGCTTTAAGGCATCGCCCAAAGGCCACTGCCAATACTCAGATGGTACTTTTCTCCGGAACAGCCATGATAAAGCTACGAGTAAGAAGACTACCACCTGCCAGGCAAGACCAGAGGTGCTCAGCGACCCACGACTGTCGGATAGGCTCATCTTCCTGAACCTGTGGAAGCCAGGACAAGAAGGCGACGAATGAGATGAATGGCCCGACGTAATCCAGATGTAGGTTCAGGTATATAGCTCCAAACCAACGTCTATCGCGTTCCGGGGCATCGGTCCCAGACGGGGGAATCGACAACTCGAATATCACAGGTAGGATTGATATCAGAAAATACGAGGTATACAACCCGACTACTAAAGCCTTATAGGAGGGGTTCGCTGGCGGGAGTCGTAAAACCAGGACGAAGAGAACTAAAAGACCAAGCCAGACTATGAAGAATTGTACCAGGTCGAGCCAGTTTCCGATTGTTGGAGGAGAATGAACAATATAAACGGCGAGCTCTACATTATCCACTACACAATGTAGATAGAGACATGACTGTTCTGTTGCCACGATCAAGTTGCAAAGAATGTAGCTTATTGAGATGTTATCGCACTTTCTCCGGGTACGGATAAGATGATATTGCGGGTAGAAGAGGTAAACCGTAAGAGCAGCTAGGATACTATTCAGAGCAAAACCGTTAGTGATGATAACAGGATAATTGTCGGTCATGAGTACATACACACGAACAGTGATTAGAATGAGCATTTTTGCTCCGAGGGGCGAACCGCGATATCGAGTTCAACACTGAGGCTTAAGCTATCCGTTTGCAGTATTAGTTGGCGGCTCGGTACCGCGTGCCGAGAAGCTTCGTTCGCTCTCTACAGTGTACGGGAAGAAGCAAGCAGGGAATCGTTGGCAATTTGGTTGACAGTAAGAGATTCCGAGCTGGAAATCGGTTGAAGTGCTGTGCCGTAGCAGGCAGCAGAGTAGCCTGGTGTACGAGATGAGGAATGAGGTGGTCGATTCTTAGGTCATCGTTGTTAGTGGCAGCGCTTTTGTTGGTGGTGGCGAAGTCGCTTGCGTTTCACGTGCCACTTCAGTCTCATTTTGGCTATAAGATTATTTACGCAACTATCTACTAAGCAGACTGGCACAGAAAGCTTTGTCGAAGAAGAGTTATCTGGACCAATTCTGAGTTGGTCTGGCACGCCAGGTAAAAAGCAACTGACATGCAGAAGAGCATCATTTCCTTCTCATCTATCATCTACAGATGGACTTCTGCCGTAATGCGGAGTATGTGAACCTCTGAGAGTTCGCTTTACAGCCACAAAAGTTGTAGCAACATAATTTCTCCGCATCATTTGATTCTGCAAGACTGGCGAGGCCTCCACCAGTAAACTACACGTAACGAAGTCTCTGAATTCTCAGTATTCAGGATCTAGGGAGAGATATCAGCTGCGTAGACTGACCTTCGTGAAGACACATTGTGCCACACTTTCTGGCATCATCGCCCTATAATAGGGTCTTTAGTATTGAGAAGGTTGAACTTTGTTTGCAGCGATATATTAAGGAAACTGGTGGGGAATGTTCAGAAACACTAACGATGTTATCATTCGGCCCCGTAATATTTGCTGTGTTCAATTAGTTGAGAAAAAGGCTGGACGTGGTACTGAGTACCTCATTGCTCCTGGTCAAGCAATGAGGGACGTAGGCCATGGTCTATCGAAAAGGCCGAATCGCGGCGACCCAATAGACATCATCAGCCATCACCACTCCAGTAGCAACTATTTGGCTCTGGAAGACGTGGCATACGATAGACACTGAAATCCTCGAAGATCTTAGATGACCGATAGAGGGGATATCCATAGGCGGTCTTTGTGCCCCGAAAACAACCTACGCTCTCGCCTCAGAAGAGAGCGCGACAACCCTGATGGCATTGATAGAAAGACGGTTGATTCACCGGCAGACTATATAGCACGACTAGTGGCACCAAGAGACTAACTCATCACGACCAGAACGGTAAGGATCCGGAATAGTAAGTTCTCGGCGATAGTCGCGGACGGACGCTAGATCGGAAATAAGCCTATCCACTTTTACCCGTGTTCACTTGCATGACGCCCTGGTCGTGTCTATCCGGATCCCGTTCTCTTCCAAGGTTTGTCATGTCTCCAAGCAGGCCGGCCAAGCAGTGAACCCTATCCCTGCAGCCGTTTCAACGCTGTCAAATCTAAAGCCAGTAGTCGGGATGCTGGACTGCCGGTCCTGCCGGTTCGACCACTCAAGGTCTGGCCAAGTGATAGAAGAAAATAGGTGGATTGTAAACCCGCCCCATTGATCTGGGTACGGTACTATACGGATTCATCACAGAGCACGTACGAGCGTATAAGGAGTTGAAGTGCGCTTTGCTCTCGCAGGGGCAATCCCCAAACGTCCAAAGCCAACAGACCACAAGGTCGTGCAGGAGCATGTAAGTGACTATACAGCAGGGCTTCAGCTGGGACTGACAGAGCCACAGCCGTGCGCTCAGAGTTTCCCAGGACTGTCTCGAAATTACGAATGACTGAAGTCTGATTGGGTACGGGCCACGGTATTGTCAGTCGGCGTGGAAATATGTTGCGACACCTAATGTGGTAGCCAAGCCATGCCTTGCCGGTCGCCGACAATTGCCAGCGGAGTCGCAGACTTGAGAGACATGGGTTTCTGCACCCGAGCGTGGGACCCGGAGGGCACCGCAGGAGCAGTGGAGGAAGAAGAAGAAGCGGTGCGGGAGAAGTCGGCTCGAGCTGAGTTAATCTCACGTGATAAATGTGTGAGGAATAGGTCAGCGGGCCACGGTGAGGAAATTGAGGAAGAGTAAAGCCGCAGGAGTTCGCAGGAGTCCGTCCTAGGCTGGCTACGAGGGCAAGGTGAGCAATGTGAGCAATTGCCAGGCTGAAACTCCGCGCCTGGCCGGCGGAAACATGACTGGTCTGGAGTGTGGGCAAGTGCTGTAGAAATCGGATCAGAAGTGGCCTGACAAGGCGACCGCTGGGGACGTGGGATTTCTGGGATTTCTGGGACTTCCTCGCGGGATGGCACCCTGGGTTCCGCTGGGGCGCATCGGGTACCGGCTGGCCACTGGGTTGCGAGCCCAGCACAGCGACGAAATGCGGTAACGAAGGGCACGGCCGGTCTAGTCCACCGCCCAAGTTAACATTTGCAGTGTTGCGCCCCGTGGACAACAAGCTCGCGTCGGATCCCGACGAAATATGCTCGCGTAATCGGGAGAGAGCTACGGGGCTGCTTGCCGACTGCTGCTCACGATGCTGCTCACGATGCTGCTGGAATATGCTGGTAGAATCGAGTCCCGGACGCTGGCCCAAGAGTCTGTCCATAACATTTTGCGCCGCGGGCGACGCGGGCGACGCCTGGCTAAGGTAACTAATGTTAGTTCTGTTTCGAGACGAGAGACGAAGACCTCGGGAGTCTTGGAGCCCACCTGCACCAACCCACCAGCTGCACGTGGGAATGGCGGAAAGGCGTAGATCAACGGCTTTTTTAGCGACCCCCCCCTGCCAACTGGGAGCCCCCCCCCCTCGCCCTTAGTACTGGAGATATCCCGCTTTGCCCGCCGTGGGGAACAACAAGGCTGACGCTGGCGCACATCATCAGACCACTTTCATTCCCGGCGGCCCAATCGGCCGGGGCCATTTGCGCTGGCCCCCCTCCATGTGCTTCTTCAGCCTTGCAGATGGCCTGATTCTGTAGATTCTCGCCCTCTCTCCCACTAAAACATCCCTGCCCGAACTTACTTCAAAGTCAGGCCATTTGTCCCCGTCTTCTCGTTTTCTGACATTGGGCCCGGCAGCAGTCGTTGCTGGCCACAGAAGCAGCACAATTGGTTGCTCCCGCCCGACGCGACTTGTCGGCGGCCCTTTCTCGTGCGCGATGGGTGCTGTGGGCATTAGTTTCCCCGTCGAGGCGCTGGAAGCCCCCGAACCGTTGGGGGGCACCGCTCGTACCGGCACCAGGGGGGTACACCACCCACGCCGACGACCTGCCGCGCCGGGCGTGTACCCAAGATGTAGCTGCTCAAACGGGCTCTGGGGGGGCACCAGAGGCTGGCCCAGCATATTGAATGTCAGGCCATTTCCATCGATTCTGGCCTGTCTTTCGGCTGGCTCCCGCCATTCTATAGCTACGTACCCCGGGAGACCCTGAGCTTCGGATCTGCTTCCTACGTTTGTTTGCGTGCTTCGAGTCACTTGACAGTCGTGGCCTTTAGTGTATAGACTTGATACATATTACTATCCGCTCCTGTGCTCTTGATGCTCCCGCTGGTCTGTCTCTCCCCATACAACCAACAACCCAAGGACTAGAGGTGAACACCCAACACACCCATCACCACCGCAACAGCATTGAGCACGAGTCTCCCACCGAGGATTCGCACCACTCACACACATACACGCACGCACACGCACACGCACACGCACATACAGCACGCACCTTGTCGCAGCATCGGACTTAAGGGAGAAGTGACCGGTCAACATCTGGGCACTGCAAGCATCGACAACCTTGAGAGCAAACATCTGCGATTGAACCCTTGACAGCCATCGGCCACCGTCGACCACCACGGTCTCTCTACTGGGCCTCTAGACGCTTTTTTCCGTTTTCCGAAGGGGAGGAAGCATTGAAGTGAAGAGTAGAGGCACCTCCATCGTCTGCGTTGAGCTTCGTCATGGATACGGATGTTCTGCAGAACATCGACCTATTCCCGGTTACCAACAGCAAGGTAAGGACGATCAATGCCACTCCTGCAGCTTAGCCATGCCATCGAAGATCCACTGAGACGCCCCCAGGCTATCGACTCAATTATTGACAACTCCTCCAACTGTCTCCGCCAATTCTCCTCCATCTCTTTCTGGGACAACTTTGACAACCAGGCCGCACCCAACGCCGCAGACGCCACCAAGGTTGACCAGACGCCAAAGACAACCACCGTCAGTCTGACCCAGAGCTCGCCCAAGAAGTCACCCAAGCCCGTCAAATCCGTCAAGTCGGGCTTGAAGCGGGCCCACACTCCTGACCACAAGAGGTCCAAGCCCAGCCAGGACTCCTCGGCTCTCGACTGCTGCGATTACTGGCTCCGCTTTGACAGTGACGACGACAGTCTGGAACGACTGGGTGACTTTGACAAACAGGCCCCTTCGCCGGCACGCAGGTAAGTGCACCAAGCAGCGACCCGCCAAGCAAAGATGAATTAATCACTGAGACTCTAGCCCAGAAGACTAAGCTCTATCCAACAAGCGTCAAGGATAGGACGTGTCGGTCAGTCCGGCAGCTTCAAGCTGGAGATCCCTTCAAGGACAGACGACTGGCTTGAGGACAGCGCTCTAGAACACGCCCTGTCGAGTGAGGAAGACTCTTTCTCAATGGCTCTAGACGAGGACTTCGCCACCCGCGATGCAAACCAGCCCCAGGACGTCATTCCTGACAGGTTATACTCCACGCCGCTTAGCTGGGATGCGCCACAGCCCGGCCTTCGAGACTCGTACTTCAACTTCAACTCCTCATTCAACGACCCCGAGCGACAAAGATTGCTCGCCATTGCGATGGGCTCTGGTTTGACACAGACTGCCTCCGATTCCAGGACCGGCTCAGCAATCGATTTTGACTTCAACACGCACCCAAGCCCCACGGCCACGAGCGACACAAACAGCAATCCCATTATTGAGCACAGGCGGACTAGCTCGTTCGTCATCAGCCACTCGGCGAAGACCTCTCGGTCAAATTCGCGGTCGGGACTCATCACTCCCAATGAGCCTGGCGAGAAGAAGGACAAGCCGCGCAACAGCGACCGCGCAGCACACAACGACATTGAGCGAAAGTACAGAACCAATCTGAAGGACAGGATCGCAGATCTGAGGGAAGCTATCCCCTCATTGCGATCAATACCGGAAGACTATGATGACGATGGCTCACCCGTTCCTGTCTCAAGAGCCCCGAAGGTCAGCAAGGTACGCTTACCGTGTCAGCTTTTTGCCAATTTCGGTTGATTAACAGTTTTTTCCAGGGTACCATTCTTACCAAAGCCACGGAATACATTCACCAACTTGAGCGACGAAACAGGAGCATGTCACACAAGAACGAAGAGTTACTCCGCCGGCTTCAGGCTTTCGAGCAGCTTCTCGGTGCCAGCCCAGCACCTACCTGGCAGCCACAAGGATACGGCACTGCCGTGTTCAACCCGGCAGCGCGATTTCCCTCGTAAGGAGTCGATCGCCACGCCAAAATAACAACAACTCAGCAATTCTAATATACTCACTCTCTCCACTCTCGACGACCTGACAGTCGTTCGAGTTTCTCCATCGAACCCTGAAACACACCCGCGAACAAAACAACCTATATGAAGGAATTCTTCACGAAGAAACTCGACGATTACCAGCAGTCGTCTTCCAATGTAATGTTACGACCAACTCCAAGGAGTTGGTAATCATGCCTTAAAGGCCGGAGTTATCTGGATTTGGAACATGGGACGCATCTGCAGATGCTATGAAGGTTATGGCACGGCGCAAAAAATGCTCAATATCGATCTGCTGATCGATGAGACACGGGGCATTCAGAAAATATGTCATGGCTAGCATATAGCATTGCACATGGAGTCATGTAATGAAAAAAATGGCGAGCATTCTGAACAGGACATTCTAAACAATCTGGCTTCGACTTTTGATACTATGACTTGATATTGTGACCTGACACATGAAAATATCCTCGATCAATTCTGTTGGCAAGACGGGTTGACCTGGACAGGACGGGACAGCCTGAAAGCCAGAACAGGTGAGAACCGCCGCTGCCAGACAAAAAGCAGACGCGACTTTCCCCAGCCAATCTATGCATGGTAGGCACAACAGATTTCCAGCTGCACGTCTAGAAAAAGTCCGACGAGTCTGGCTGCAGGTCTTTCACATTACCCTGGCAGCAACACTGCTGCAACAGTGGCACTCGAGACGAGCCCAACCCGTGTATCCCATCCCACGGGGGAGGTGGTTTTCCTCACACCCCCCTGAATCGTACGATTCGCGCCGCTTATCTGGTCACCACAGATCCCCTCCAACAAGGCCCAAGCCGCGGCGCGCATCGCATACGCATTGCAGCGTTGCAAGGAGCCCCGTCAGAACCAGAGAAGAGAGAGAGGGGACACCATTCGATTATATTGAAACGTGTTCCTCCTCTTCCCCCCCTTTCCAAAGCCCCTGTGCGAGCACATCTCTGCTGCAGGTTCCCTCGGGCTCTTCTGGCTTTTTAGCGACCCAAGCGGTGTCAAAAAAGAATATGCATATGCTGACAGCGGAACGCTGGCCAGGTCTGGAAGCACGCCCCAGTTTCGGTCCTTCTCTTGCAGCGTCTCGACCCTTCTAGATCGGCGATCCCCAATGCTGCAGCGTAGGACAGATCTTGTCGTCCAGGAGCAACCTACCGGAAAAGTCTCCGCCACAAGGCCTGCATGTTGGGGGCCGCTTTTTCCGGTCCCCTCCTGGTCTTCAGGCGTGTCCTGGCCTCGGCTGAGCTGGCCGGTGAAGCTTAAGACGAGACGAAGCTTGTCTGCCACTGCTTCTGAGTCGACAACCCCTTCGCCCTCCCCGAACAAGCGGACGAACGGACGAACGGCCATGGTCCCCGTGTTTCTGGACCTTAGCCGCCGGGCCCCCTCTGCGACGGTCAACTGTGACTTGAAAAGTTCCGTCGGCGTACAGGATAGCGGTGGAGTATCGGAACCGTTGGACCGATTGCTACTGCATTACCTATGTGGTTTTCTATACTGGCCGATGTTACTATACTGCTCCGGCATTCCATGTGACACGGCAGATACAATAGGTCACAGGGGAGAAAACAAAAGACTGTTTTAGGAACGTCCAACCGAGCATAAAGAATGGAGGACCCCGTGATTCTCTGGTTCCCCTTATGACATTAGAGTGTATACAGGGTCCATCTGATTGCCTGGTATTGCACATGGAATGTCAAATTACAACAACGTTGCATGTGAGAGGGGAGGTAGGAAACGGTCCCAGACTGGCTGCCCTTAGATTGATCGTCTGCTTCTCTAGTGCGTCTTGATGGTTATCGAAATCGGCCCAATCAAGCAGGCTTTGCCATAACATATTCCTTTCATTTTGTTGCTTTCCAACAGATTGTGTCGAGAATCATTACGACCAGCCCCATCTTGACCATGCAAGATGGGTACACGGCTAGGGTAATCGACGCACCTGTCCTTGGGACTCGGGATTCTTGTGACTGATTGTGCTGCGAATCTTGAGGTATCGATTGCCTTGGCCCGTCGGAGGGTTAAAATTTCAGTGAAGTGAGTGCCCGCAGCAAAGGTGCAACCACAGGACGCTACCTCTACTCTAACCATACGCCAAAATTTGGGTCACGTAGCCGTGACAAACGCTTACCATAGCCAATACTCAGGCCAGAACTTTCGTAACGTGAGGAGATCTGCTTATAATCATCGCATTCTACTCTGACCCACAAATGTCATCAGAGATTAGTCGTTGGCTGGTGTAAAATCGGCGTCCCTTAGAGCATGCTATCATTTGATACGATTATTGATTTGACTCAATCTAGTTATTATTGGCTAGTTTCCAGCAGAGAGAGCCAGGTTGGATCGCGATCATAGCACTGTCATAAGCTCGCTGGGCAGTCGGCTGCTCAACACAAACGTGCAGAAACCTCCATTGTACCGAGCACTGCGGCTTTCCCACGGCAGCTTGATGTACCGTAAACTCAGTAGAAGTTGTCCATCGTGGTAAGCCAACTCAAAACCGTGTTCCACGCTATGTCTCATACCTAAGCGCACAAAAGGATTGGTGATTTTCATTCATGAGACTGGACCAAATTGAACGTCGTATACCTCCCAAGTTTCCTTAAAGGATACCGTTACGTTTCACAAAGGCCCATCCGGCAGAGATAGATAGCGTGAGAGTGGTAATCACACAAGGCGGATCATGGATTCATGAAGGCTCCTTTCTCTTTCTTTCGACTAGGCGGGTACCAGTTCCTCACAACCATCCACCAAGCCCAGCTGTACGACTTTTCACTGTGTCAGACCTCTGCCGCTATGGGGAATGTGGATTTTCAGCAAGAAAATGTGTGAGAAAAAAACAAAAAAA